TGTTTCACAGATCATTAACATTAGTGTCGCATACTACCTCATGTTTGACGAACTGTTATCTTTTTCGTCGCATTCAACCCTTCTTTTTGAGAGATCCTTAACATATCAACATATTTATATATGATTAAAATACAATTAATTAAACGAAGTTCGTTTGACAATAATTGTTTAAAAAATAGAACAAACTGTTTTGAAATAACCGATACACTCAAAACATTGGTAGTGTTTCTCTACAAATGATACAAATTTTCAAAAATCACGAAAAGGCTGTCCTCGAGGCCTTCTGCTGATACACAGCTCTTACAGGGAATCACATATATTATATTCGAATGAATCTGCCAACAAAGGTAAAAGGCCAAAAGACTGAGAATCCATGTCTTATATGTACCGGTCATCCCCAAACAGCCAGCATATATATTAACAATCTGATCATCAACGCACCCATTTGATTATTACACAATAGCCGAGAAAATAAAACATTAATCTCAATTTATTATATGCATTTTTTATTAGAACATCCAGCATGTGAGACGGAAGTTCTTCCTATCTTCGCGATCACGTGGTTCTTTATCGCGTGTCCTAATCCTCCATCGACTGGCTGACACGACATCACGTCACAGGTCCATCCCAACCAACACGTTACCATAGAAACCGTATCTGACATTTTTGAATGGGTCATATTTTATTCATATTTTGGGACCGTTTAAGGATGAAGAAATGACAGGGATTTAAGACTTAACCCAGGAGCATCCAATCAGTACTGACCTTTTCATCACGACAAAATGTTTGGTGCGGCTGGGGCCATTGGGATGCGAACGTACATATCTAGCATTCATTGAAATCACACAGTTCTAAAAATATGATATGAAAGCAAATCTCCCTCTGAGGCAGTCCGCGCTTACAACATAAGCGCAATCATATACATGTAGTGTATAGCTAACATTTAGTCAGTGTTAACTCATGGACAGTCTCCCACACACCACCAGAGACATAACCACAAACGTTTTCTTTAAATACATACATGTCTATTATGCCTTAAAGATGTGTCGATTGCGATAATAAGTTAAAAGATTATTTCAACAGACACTCGATGTTCCAATGTGGCCTAACGTTACCACACTGATGGCCTATCTCGGTTTGTATTCCTATGAAGCTTATCTTTATGAGGGCTTTTTCTAAACAAATGATTTTGTGGTCATTTGTCTGATGAAGGTGACAGTGCATATCGTACAAGTCTTCGACACGTCACACGTCAAGACGTTACTGGTTGTTGCGCCAAATGAACCTGTAAATATGTATTATTCAAAAGAGTAAATGTCGATGTTCACTTAACTTCTGTACTCCATAACAAATCGGCAGTATTGCAACATAGCAAACCTGCATAATAAACTCCGATAATTCCGAAAACAAACTGTTACAAAATAACCGACACACTCTAAACATTGGTAGTGTTCCTCGATAAAACAGCTTGTTTTGATACCTCCTGTAGTAGGAGTATTCTATTAGCACGCTAGGGCTGAGAACATGGGATTCCCCAGTCAAAACAAATGCATGACGTCACGTCAACTATGTTTTTACGTCACATCAATAGAGAGGTTTAGCAACCTTACGGGTACGTGTTCACGTACAGGTACAAGTACACGTAAAGCTGCTAAACCTCTCTTAAGTTGCATTGAGCCTGTGCGTCAACATTGCACTATGTAGATGACAGTGTCAACAGGATGAGAGAAAAAAAATCACTCACCCCCTTGAGGTGAAATAGAGGAATCTAACCCTCACGGAAAGATTCTCCTATCTATCCGCCAAGGGGGTGAACGATTATATAGTGTCTTATACATTCGAAACTGTTGTAAATAGACTCGTTCAATATGGTGGTGGCTGCCTTCATTAAATGGTTTAAACTCCCCTCCCCCCGGCAACGTATCGATATGTGTCAGATTTGATTCAATCATTTATAATCCTTATTTAAAGTCCAGATTAACTAAGGTTTTTGCTTTTGTTTACTTGTCATGAGAGCTCGGATAATTTCGATAACCACCATTACCCGACTGTAATTTATGAAGTCATGCCCCTTTAATCAATTGTTGAAATAGTGTCCGCTCGATCGACATCTTGAGTATTTTTCAACGGATTGACTTCAAACTGCATTGGAAGGTCAATTACCATAAAAGCTCGGACAAACTCGATAACCACTGTTATCCGACTGTGATGTAGGGATTGGTTAGGTTTAGTATTGTTTAACGTCCTATCAACAGCTATGGTAATTTAAGGACGGGTGATGTAGGGAATGATGCCCTTTTAATCCATTGCTTAAACAGTGTAACAATGATATATTTTTCAGATTGTCTCAACGTTAGTTTGTCAAAATTCCAAGATTTCTGACACTGACATTATTGTCACTACATTATCTGCCGATACTACGCGATAGTGAGCAGGCCGGTTCATTGGAGAAGTCACTAACCTATGTTGACGGGGTTGTAATCGTCTCTTAGAACTTGTTGTAATTCAGGACCGAGTCTACTGTCTTTCGGGATGTTGGGAGAGATTATCTAAGAAGAGACTAAGTCGTATAGACTAGTACTATGAGGAAATATTGGGTGTAAGGCAAGGAGATACACTTTAGTCCTTTAATTCCGAAAAACAAGAAAATATGTTGTTTTAAATAAAAAGGCATTATGGGATAAGTATGAAACTTTCACAAATTGATTATCATCATATAACTAATATATATGCCAAGTTGCACGCTTATCCCAAAATGCCTTTTATGTACAATCAGCCCTTACTATTGGAAATAGGCAGAACAATTGATAAAACAATGAAATTGGTTAACTGTAACGATTAAAACAAACACTTGCTTTGAGGCTAGGAGACTTCAAATTATCAGCAAATCAAACTTCACATATAAAATTTATCATTTTTCAATAGTTGTGGTGGCAATGCCATTTTTTTATTTGTAAGTTAACTTTGATAAGTAAGAAAACAAATCAGTAACTGGAACTCACTTTAGCCACCGGTGTTGAGTAAATATTATATGATATATATAATATACAATACTAACAATTGATATATTATACTTATAGCATATAAAGGGTGTCATGCATCTTTTAACTCACTTAAGATAGAGAGATATTTGAAATAGCCAAGTTTGAGATGTGACCAGAAGCCAAAACTCAGTATTAAACAAAAGGAAAGTGTGTAATGAATATGCATTTTATGTAAGTGTACTCAAATAAGTAAAATTATAAATTTCAATTCAAAATATACATTGGAAAGGAAATTATTGAGAAAACTAACACTTTTCATTTGAAAATCACCTAAAACAACCCCCTGACTTAATCCTCCATTTTATTTAAACAGTCTTTAAGTGACGATTGAATTTCTGTAATTTTTCTTTCTTTTATTTATGCCTGTTTCATTTACACATGCTTTCAAAAACAGAAATGATATTATTTCAGTTTTTAAGCTCATATTGAAAACAGCAAATTGTTTTGTGATTTATCTACCCCTCTTGGTACCCCCAAAAACTCACTTTCAGTTTAACTTTTACCCTAGTTTTCCGCATGCAATACAATAGGACATCTTTGAAGAAATTAAAGAGTTGAAAATCCGAAAATACCGGGGGCCAATAAAGGGCCTTATAGACACTCCTCCTTTGTAGGTCACTGTAAGGTTGTCTTTTGGCGTTTGGAGTTCTGTAACGTACTGTAACTAACAGTGTATGCGATGTACTTCAAAATACACGCAATCCTAATAGTAGGTATAGATAGTGTTCTCTATTGGATTTTCAGGTTTCTTAATGTGGGATTTTTGACAATTTTGAAAAGTACACAAGTCTTCAAACATTAATGAAAGTGAAAATGGAAATTGTAATGAAAAATGGGATAAACCACTTATACTAGATATACATATAAATACGTTAGAGTTGATATGATATCATTTTGAAAAGGTTATCAAAAATAGTTGAAATGTACCCCATATGATACTGAAACATGGGTATGTATGACACTGTCTCATCATAAAAACTTAATATGTTCGACACTGTATCATATTACATTCTTAGTATATATGACACTCTAACATGCTAAAACCTGGGTGTGTATGACTATACAATATCTAAACCTGTATTTCCGACTTCATACACACGTCACGTACACGACCTCATTATATGTATATATAATTAACAGCTTTCTGCGATCTCATTGGACAGACCAGAAGGCGATATAACAAGTAATTAACAAACACAATCCCACTGTTATACGCCAGCATAGGAGAACAATAGAAATAGACGCTTAATATGGTTTACGTTGATCCTTTGTAAAGAAGACGTCATACACCTGCATAGCGCGAGCTAATATAAACACGCCTCTCTGTTCGCGAACCAACAACGACATCGAGTACAGCTCTAAATGCAAATGAGCAGCAACCCCTGTCCATGGTGCACTAGGAGGACACCGTCAGTTGCCGTACAGACCTCTGTCAGGAGAGATCACCATCACGTTCTCAGAAGAATCTCGTTCAGGTTACGTATCGTTTTACACACAGCATGTTCATCTTTCGCAGACATGTAAAATCTGTTTTGCAATCATTTTCTTAAAGTAATGTGGATTCAAACTCTAACGAATGACGAATACTTCGGAGTTGGTTTGAATATTTCGACCTCTTTTAGCTCTAAAATAACCTTCTCCTGTCAACGTTGAGCCCACTATAATTTTTACCTTTATATAAAATATGATTTTAACATGTTACGTCACATAAAATGTACATAACTGTAAATTCTAAATTGAAAAACTTAATTATTAGAATATGATTTATGAAATATGTTCTTTTTTACAGATTAGAAGATCAGTTGTCTGAAATATAGTGTGGTCCTGGTGTCTGGATTGTTCCTTATTGCTTGTGACGTCAGACCGCCGCCTGGACTTGGTATTTAACATCCTGTAGTAGGTCCAACAAACGGGTCTTTCCTTACCAAACTTTCCGTCGTCCGTACTATCCACTGATCAAGCTGGGTAACTGTGTAGAAGCCTATAAGGCTGCGTTACGGACGACAGCCATCTGTGGCCAGACAGAAATGGACCGTCGGACGGACGCGGACCGACGGTTAGAGACAGAACGTCGTGCAGCAGAAATAAATAGTACAAACACAGAAAAACGTGATGTTAGCAAAGCGGAACAGTTCAGACAAAAGCGGAGATGTAAAAGCATATCAGCGCCAACCGTTAACGAGATAGCGGAATTAGAGGTAAAGTCATTCTCCATTTTCTTACCAAAAAAAACTATTCACATTTAATAACGACAAAATCATGATCTATATTTCTTGCTGCTTGACTGGTTTTTTATATAGAAGTAATTAATGTCAAAGTTTCGCCGGTAGAGATGTTATCGCCAGACTTCGCACGTTTTAGCGCTTGTCTGTAATTATAAATGTAGTCTTGTTGAAATGAACATTTAATAAAGCCAGGAGAAAATATGAAAACTTTAACGGCATTAATGACATCTTATGTTTAATAATAATAATCAAACAATCAACACAATAAATTGAATGCTTACAAAATATATTGCTAGGATGAAATTATCTCTCGAGACATGATTATATGGATCAAACAGTTTTGTTTTTGTTTTTTGTTTTTGTTTTTGTACATGACGATTCGACGTTTCACCAAATATTTCAATATATACGATTAAACATTGAAGCATCCGTCCAAAGACAAGAACGGCATACTAGTGTATATATGATATCAGTTAAGTCTACTGTCAACGTTAAATCTGTACAGCTTTATGCTGCAGTTTATTGCATAGTTTGACATACTCTGTCTAGAACCAAAATTTAAAGGCTCCTCTTTCAAGCTATACGGTGTTAGATTGTGCTGGTGGAAGTGTCAGTCCTCGAGGTCTGCCGTAACCTTGACGGGCACAGTGATAGTATTGGATTAGTGACACGGTTCATAACACTTTACTAATGATTTAAATACAAAATTGATCAGTTCTCCTCTAAATTTGTTTAAATTCATCAAGTAAATGGTAGAGTAATTTAGACAATTTGGGTTTACAACGTTTGTCCCCTAACATCACCGACAAGTCCCAGAAGGACGAAACACCTGTATGATGTAGTGTTAATCATGTTTTGGCGTCCTGTGTCTACTACTGTACCGAACTAAAGGGTTAATCACCGTTTCGTGTGTAACGTTCATCTGTAAAGAAATGTTGTTTATGCGGAAATGTTGTTTATGCTGAAATGTTGTTTTTTTTTATCTATCTACATTACAAGAAACAAATTGTGGTCAGCGATGGATGTGAATCATATTGGAAAACGTTTCAAGCAGGTGTAGCGCAAGGACCAGTTTGAGAATTATTTATATTTATATCGCATAGAAATAGATTTCCATCGTCATATTATTTGCATACAGCATTTTATCTACACGGTGGTATTGAGGAAAAAAATATAAAACTGTTGAGAAGTAAAATGGTAATCTGAGAAAAAAAGTTCGATTTGGACGAAAGAATGGGGACTTACTTGTAATCCAGATAAACAGAATCTCCCTTCTTCTCAAGGCGGATCGTCTGTGAAACTCTTCATCATTTTAATGCAAAAAAGACATTTAGAAGTGTGTTCTTCAATAGGCATGCTAAACTGACCTAAGATTATAAATCATACTTATGAAAAAGATTATACAATGTATATGCTAAGAAAGTTGAAATAGTTATATAGACTACATTTATAAGCCAATTTTCAGAATATTTAAATTTGGGGAACTGTTTCCAGACAAACTGTAACGTCGTGGAGCCAATGCAGCTAAAGCAGACCATTGAAGTCGTACTATGTTATAGAGAGAGACTGGCACAGTGGCACTGTACATTGTATAAAAGAAACCTTAATTCAGGCATATATCAATGATAACACTGATAAACGTTGTTTTCGTCACAACAGACCATTTGGTCTCCAAATACCAAGAAGAACTCATTTATGTATTGCTAGTTTTACCGAAACTTATGTCAGAGTAGAACAATTTGTCTGTGTCCCACAAACACATCCATCTATTTTACCTAATGTGGTTGTTAAACTATCATGTACTATTAGTTAAAAGATGGTAACTGTAACCATTACCTAGTATTAATTACGAAATTATGACAGCAATCTGAACTCGGATCTATCACATTTCCTCCTAAATGTTATTATTGTGTCTAAGTATGTTTATCCTGTTTAAGAAAGTGGTCATTTCTTCTACCACTGTCGTCTCTATACTAATCAACGGTAGTCGCTTCTTCTACCACTGTCGTCTCTATACTAATCAACGGTAGTCACTTCTACCACTGTCGTCTCTATACTAATCAACGGTAGTCACTTCTACCACTGTCGTCTCTATACTAATCAACGGTAGTCACTTCTACCACTGTCGTCTCTATACTAATCAACGGTAGTCACTTCTACCACTGTCGTCTCTATACTAATCAACGGTAGTCACTTCTACCACTGTCGTCTCTATACTAATCAACGGTAGTCACTTCTACCACTGTCGTCTCTATACTAATCAACGGTAGTCACTTCTACCACTGTCGTCTCTATACTAATCAACGGTAGTCACTTCTACCACTGTCGTCTCTATACTAATCAACGGTAGTCACTTCTACCACTGTCGTCTCTATACTAATCAACGGTAGTCACTTCTACCACTGTCGTCTCTATACTAATCAACGGTAGTCACTTCTACCACTGTCGTCTCTATACTAATCAACGGTAGTCACTTCTACCACTGTCGTCTCTATACTAATCAACGGTAGTCACTTCTACCACTGTCGTCTCTATACTAATCAACGGTAGTCACTTCTACCACTGTCGTCTCTATACTAATCAACGGTAGTCACTTCTACCACTGTCGTCTCTATACTAATCAACGGTAGTCACTTCTACCACTGTCGTCTCTATACTAATCAACGGTAGTCACTTCTACCACTGTCGTCTCTATACTAATCAACGGTAGTCACTTCTACCACTGTCGTCTCTATACTAATCAACGGTAGTCACTTCTACCACTGTCGTCTCTATACTAATCAACGGTAGTCACTTCTACCACTGTCGTCTCTATACTAATCAACGGTAGTCACTTCTACCACTGTCGTCTCTATACTAATCAACGGTAGTCACTTCTACCACTGTCGTCTCTATACTAATCAACGGTAGTCACTTCTACCACTGTCGTCTCTATACTAATCAACGGTAGTCACTTCTACCACTGTCGTCTCTATACTAATCAACGGTAGTCACTTCTACCACTGTCGTCTCTATACTAATCAACGGTAGTCACTTCTACCACTGTCGTCTCTATACTAATCAACGGTAGTCACTTCTACCACTGTCGTCTCTATACTAATCAACGGTAGTCACTTCTACCACTGTCGTCTCTATACTAATCAACGGTAGTCACTTCTACCACTGTCGTCTCTATACTAATCAACGGTAGTCACTTCTACCACTGTCGTCTCTATACTAATCAACGGTAGTCACTTCTACCACTGTCGTCTCTATACTAATCAACGGTAGTCACTTCTACCACTGTCGTCTCTATACTAATCAACGGTAGTCACTTCTACCACTGTCGTCTCTATACTAATCAACGGTAGTCACTTCTACCACTGTCGTCTCTATACTAATCAACGGTAGTCACTTCTACCACTGTCGTCTCTATACTAATCAACGGTAGTCACTTCTACCACTGTCGTCTCTATACTAATCAACGGTAGTCACTTCTACCACTGTCGTCTCTATACTAATCAACGGTAGTCACTTCTACCACTGTCGTCTCTATACTAATCAACGGTAGTCACTTCTACCACTGTCGTCTCTATACTAATCAACGGTAGTCACTTCTACCACTGTCGTCTCTATACTAATCAACGGTAGTCACTTCTACCACTGTCGTCTCTATACTAATCAACGGTAGTCACTTCTACCACTGTCGTCTCTATACTAATCAACGGTAGTCACTTCTACCACTGTCGTCTCTATACTAATCAACGGTAGTCACTTCTACCACTGTCGTCTCTATACTAATCAACGGTAGTCACTTCTACCACTGTCGTCTCTATACTAATCAACGGTAGTCACTTCTACCACTGTCGTCTCTATACTAATCAACGGTAGTCACTTCTACCACTGTCGTCTCTATACTAATCAACGGTAGTCACTTCTACCACTGTCGTCTCTATACTAATCAACGGTAGTCACTTCTACCACTGTCGTCTCTATACTAATCAACGGTAGTCACTTCTACCACTGTCGTCTCTATACTAATCAACGGTAGTCACTTCTACCACTGTCGTCTCTATACTAATCAACGGTAGTCACTTCTACCACTGTCGTCTCTATACTAATCAACGGTAGTCACTTCTACCACTGTCGTCTCTATACTAATCAACGGTAGTCACTTCTACCACTGTCGTCTCTATACTAATCAACGGTAGTCACTTCTACCACTGTCGTCTCTATACTAATCAACGGTAGTCACTTCTACCACTGTCGTCTCTATACTAATCAACGGTAGTCACTTCTACCACTGTCGTCTCTATACTAATCAACGGTAGTCACTTCTACCACTGTCGTCTCTATACTAATCAACGGTAGTCACTTCTACCACTGTCGTCTCTATACTAATCAACGGTAGTCACTTCTACCACTGTCGTCTCTATACTAATCAACGGTAGTCACTTCTACCACTGTCGTCTCTATACTAATCAACGGTAGTCACTTCTACCACTGTCGTCTCTATACTAATCAACGGTAGTCACTTCTACCACTGTCGTCTCTATACTAATCAACGGTAGTCACTTCTACCACTGTCGTCTCTATACTAATCAACGGTAGTCGCTTCTTCTACCACTGTCGTCTCTATACTTATCAACGGTAGTCACTTCTTCTACCACTGGCCTCTCTATACTAATCAACGGTAGTCACTTCTTAACTCCATTTCTCCTCCAAGAGATTTACGTTCAAACGTTTCTGTATGGTTGTCAATGACTTTATGTAATCATCAATATATCTATTCTTGAGTTGATTACGAGATTCATTATCGATTCTGGACGTATATCAATTATTAGATGTTCACTTATTCGTACAGATGTTTGTACATATCCCGATCTGACTGTCAACGACTGATCTCGGCCAAGAATAGCGCGAGTGTAGAGACAGTTCAACTGGGCTGGCAGTCAGTTTGCAACAATGGCTGTATATCATAATTCCGAACAAACGTTTCATGCCGTTTTATCCAAAAAATAACATTTATAATAGATTAATTATTCGAGTTAATGATTTTATATTTATACAACCATTACGATGTTTATACAATGCCTATCATTTTTAAGGAGAGACTTTTCATAGTCTGTGCCTGCTCCCAGTTTCCTAATGTGCGTAATACCTATACAACAAGATAATTTGAAATGAAAAAATATTTACAATGCATATCGCCTACCTAACAGTTACCATACAAACTCGTAGTGTAAAACTTAATGTAATATTAATCGATAAAACTTACTTTGATAATTTTAATTTTTGGAATGATTAGAATATTAACAAACTTTATGTAGTTTGTGAAATTTGGAATAATTTGCACTGATGAAATTTGATTTGCGAAAACAACTGATATTGGATTTCACGGAAATAATATAGCATATATTGTTATGTAGCTATTCGATCCTTAATCAAGTATAAATGCTACTTACAATAGCCATAACTAAGACACAGAACACATATTTGGTAGGTATTGGAAATGTTACGCTGTTGCATGTCGCACTATAACTAGTATTAACGTAGCACTATAATATATCCGACAACACAAGTAAAACTGATTCAAACATAGGCATACATTTACAATATCCCCGGCCTAGATAAACTGTAGGTCACTTCCACACCTTCCATCCATACATGCTATAATAGTATGTTCCTACCATACATATATTTTAACCTTGCTTTAAATGTCACATTTGTAATACGACAAAGCCTGAGGAATGGCGCCATACTGGAACAGTTCTACGTATGTCATCATCAGAATGGTATCTCATATAATTTGTAATATCACAGAAATACCTATATATAAAATACTGTACTTACCATGATAATTTCAATTCAGGAAAACCTGAAGAAGATTGACGGTATATACAGCCCGTCTGGTCTAGGGAAGACCACCTCTATTGTATTCACGCTCCAAAACCAGGTGGGCTGTCTCATCAAGGCGCTCCGGATATTCCAGGTGAGTCTTTACCAATCCTAAATAACATCTAACACATACATACTACTTTTTAAGGCTTCAAGACGATAACATTGATTTGAATTTTATATCTTTTTTTTTAAATTTTATTTTGTGTTAAGTAAGTGCACTTAATTGAACCCAAACAAATATATTTTACCGTAATTTGTGATAAAATATAAATTTTAAAAATAACAGATATGAATCCCATTTAATAAACCTCTTCAGAAATGGGAAGCAGAATTAGTTTGATATAATAATCGGAAAAATACTCATTCAGAACACAGTTTATTATATTATTGAAAACAGAAATATTTTGAATAGGCTTTTTACACTTTTTCCAATATTATAATAAGCGTTTCCAAGGCAATATGTGTAGACTGACTATCCCAAACATTAATCACACTAGCCACTTAAACAGTGCTTCTTCAAACTATTTCCCAGTATTACTGTGCAAGCCTGCCATAGAGTTTGGTTGAAGCAAGAGTCACACGATATAGATGTCCGTCATGAGGTCCAGATAACGACGGAACAGAAAAAACCCATTAAGGGCTGTTGTTGCTAACACATACTTTCTGGAGTTTTTGTTTGGCTTTTGTTCTTTTGACTGAAATGGAGTGATTAATCACAGATTTGTTTGGCTTTTGTTCTTTGCGACTGAAATGGAGTGATGAATCACAGATTTGTTTGGCTTTCGTTCTTTTCGACTGAAATGGAGTGATTAATCACAGATTTGTTTGGCTTTTGTTCTTTTCGACTGAAATGGAGTGATGAATCACAGATTTGTTTGCAGATGCTTATGTCCATGTCCTCATTCAGAATTCAGGTGTTTAAATTTTCCTTCTCATTGATAGTTGATTGCTGAACGCTTGTACTCTATAAGTATTCCTAAATTGATATAAAATATACATTTGGCCGTGATTGACTACATTGACATACATGTATGATTCTGTCCTACATTGACATACATGTTTGATTCTGTTCTACATTGACATACACGTTTGATTTTGTCCTACATTGACATACACGTTTGATTTTGTCCTACATTGACATACACGTTTGATTTTGTTCTACATTGACGTACATGTTTGATTCTGTCCTACATTGACATACACGTTTGATTTTGTCCTACATTGACATACACGTTTGATTTTGTTCTACATTGACGTAGATGTTTGATTCTGTTCTACATCGACATACATGTTTGATTTTGTCCTACATTTACATACACGTTTGATTCTGTCCTACATTGACGTCCATGTTTGATTTTGTTCTACATTGAGATACACGTTTGATTCTGTTCTACGTTGACATACATGTTTGATTTTGTTCTACAGTGACGTACACGTTTGATTCTGTCCTTCTACATTGACATACATGTTTGATCCTGTTCTACATTGACATACATGTGTGATTCTGTCCTACATTGACATATATGTTTGATTCTGTTCTACATTGGCATACATGTTTGATTCTGTTCTACGTTGACGTACATGTGTGATTTTGTCCTACATTGACATATACGTTTGATTCTGTCCTACATTGACATTCATGTTTGATTCTGTTCTACATTGACGTACGTGTGTGATTTTGTCCTACATTGACATATACGTTTGATTCTGTCCTACATTGGCATACACGTTTGATTCTGTCCTACGTTGACATACATGTTTGATTCTGTCCTTCTACATTGACAAACATGTTTGATTTTATCCTACATTGACATACGCGTTTGATTCTGTTCTACATTGAAGTACATGTGTGATTTTGTCCTACTTTGACATGCACGTTTGATTTTGTTCTACATTGACGTCCACGTTTGATTCTGTCCTTCTACATTGACATACATGTTTGATTCTCTTCTACATTGACATACATGTTTGATCCTGTTCTACATTGACATACATGTGTGATTTTGTCCTAGATTGACAAACACGTTTGATTTTGTTCTACATTGATGTAGATGTTTGATTCTGTTCTACATCGACACACATGTTTGATTTTGTCCTACATTTACATACACGTTTGATTCTGTCCTTCTACATTGACAAACATGTTTGATTTTATCCTACATTGACATACACGTTTGCTTCTGTTGTAGATTGACGTACATGTGTGATTTTGTCCTACATTGATATACACGTTTGATTTTATCCTACTTTGACATACATGTTTGATTTTGTTCTACATTGAGATACACGTTTGATTCTGTTCTACTTTGACATACACGTTTGATTTTTTCTACAATGACATGCATGTGTGCTCCTTCCTATAAACAAGCGTATCAAACTTACCATTATATTTTAACTGACAAGGGGAGTAGGGCTGCGTACTCTAAAAATGTATTACATGCTATTGATATCCAGACTCATATCGATCAAGAAATGTAGCTGTTTATAGAATTAAATTAAATCATGCACTTATTGTTTACGTTGTTCCAAATCTGGGATATTATATATAGCTCTGTTAAGACGTCGTTAGAACGCCAAACTGAGAAAGCGTATGACGATATGAGCATTTCTATCAATTATAAGGTTGTCAGACAGAGAGGTACAACTAATCTGTGTAACAATCTTCAGCACAATTTGTCCGAATTTTTTTTATTAAATGTTTTATATAAAACTTCCAGGAAAATCATATCAACGTTGTACATATAGAGTCCCGGAAGTCAAAGAGGAGTGATTCGGCGTTTGATATTTACGTTGACCTCGAAACAGACAACATTCGCCTGGAAGAATTAATCAAGCGACTGAAAAAAGAGGTCGCCAGCATCAGCTACAACGACTTGCCCGTACCCCCTTCACCCGCCACCTCCATACGTCTACCACCATCAGGTAAGGAATGGAAAATGTTCGTTTACCATGACGTCTACCCTACAAGGAAATGGATAAAATATGTTCATTTAGCTTTAAAGTTAAAGGAGTGAGAGTGTTTAGTTACTGTGACATCTAATCCATCAGTTAAAGGATGCAGTGCGTTAAGTTACCGTCGTGAAAACTCCATTAAATAAAGGATGGAGCTGGCGTTGTTCCCGTGACAACTCCTTCATTAGTTAAAGGATGGAGCTGGCTTTGTTACCGTGACAACTCCTCCATTAGTTAAAGGATGGAACTGGCTTTGTTACCGTGACAACTCCTCCATTAATTAAAGGATAGAGCTGGCTTTGTTACCGTTAAATAACTCCTCCATTAGTTAAAGGATGGAGCTGGCTTTATTACCGTTAAATACCTCCTCCATTAATTAAAGGATAGAGCTGGCTTTGTTACCGTGACAACTCCTCCATTAGTTAAAGGATAAAGTGGATTTAGTTACGATAATAACATATACATCAGATAGATGGCACATCGTGTTTAGTTACAATGACGTCGACTCAAACGGTTGAAGTATGTTTACTGACCGTGACAACTACTCCACCCGTTTAAGGATGGAGTGGATTTAGTTACTATGACAGCTACTCCATCAGATAGCGTGTTTAGTTGCCATGGCATCTACTCAATCAGCAAAAGAATGGCGCGTGTTTAGTGACTATGACATCGACTCAATCAGTAAAAGAATGACGCGTTTTTAGTTACTATGACATCTACTCAATCAGTAAAAGAATGACGTGTTTTTAGTTACTAGGACATCTACTCAGTCAGTAAAAGAGTGGCGTGTGTTTAGTTACTTTGACATCTACCAAATCATTAAAAGAATGGCGCGGGTTTAGTTACTATGAAATCGACTCTATCAGTAAAAGCATGGTGCGTGTTTAGTTAAGATGACCTCTACACAATCAGTAAAAGAGTGGCTTGTGTTTAGTTACTTTGACATCTACCAAATCATTAAAAGAATGGCGCGTGTTTAGTTACTATGACATCGGCTCAATCAGTGAAAGAGTGGCGTGTGTTTAGTTACTATGAAATCGACTCTATCAGTAAAAGAATGGTGCGTGTTTAGTTAATATGACCTCTACACAATCAGTAAAAGAGTGGCGTGTGTTTAATTACTATGACATCGACACAATCAGTAAAAGAATGACGCGTGTTAAGTTCCTTTGACATCAACTCAATCAGTAAAAGAATGACGCGTGTTTAGTTACTTGACATCGACTTAATCAGTAAAAGAGTGACGTGTGTTCAGTTACTATGACATCGACTCAATCAGTAAAAGAATGGCGCGTGTTTAGTTACTATGACATCGACTCAATCAGTAAAACATGGCGCGTTTTTAGTTCCTTTGACATCGACTCAATCAGTAAAAGAATGGCGCTTGTTTAGTTACTATGACATCGACTCAATCAGTAAAAGAATGGCGCGTGTTTAGTTACTATGATATCTACCCAATCAGTAAAAGAATGGCGCGTGTTTAGTTACCATGGCATCTACTCAGTCAGCAAAAGAATGACGCGTGTTTAGTTACTATGACATCGACTCAATCAGTAAAAGAGTGGCGTGTGTTTAGTTACTATGACATCGACCCAATCAGTAAAAGAATGACGCGTGTTTAGTAACCATGACATCGACTCAAGTTAATATGACATCTACCCAATCAGTAAAAGAATGACGCGTGTTTAGTTACTTGACATCGACTTAATCAGTAAAAGAGTGACGTGTGTTTAGTTTATATAACATCGACTCAATCAGTAAAAGAATGGCGTGTGTTTAGTTACTATGACATCGACTCAATCAGTAAAAGAATGACGCGTGTTTAGTAACCATGACATCGACTCAAGTTAATATGACATCTACCCAATCAGTAAAAGAATGACGCGTGTTTAGTTACTTGACATCGACTTAATCAGTAAAAGAGTGACGTGTGTTTAGTTTATATAACATCGACTCAATCAGTAAAAGAATGGCGTGTGTTTAGTTACTATGACATCGACTCAATCAGTAAAAGAATGACGCGTGTTTAGTAACCATGACATCGACTCAAGTTAATATGACATCTACCCAATCAGTAAAAGAATGACGCGTGTTTAGTTACTTGACATCGACTTAATCAGTAAAAGAGTGACGTGTGTTTAGTTTATATAACATCGACTCAATCAGTAAAAGAATGGCGTGTGTTTAGTTACTATGACATCGACTCAATCAGTAAAAGAATGACGCGTGTTTAGTAACCATGACATCGACTCAAGTTAATATGACATCTACCCAATCAGTAAAAGAATGACGCGTGTTTAGTTACTTGACATCGACTTAATCAGTAAAAGAGTGACGTGTGTTTAGTTTATATAACATCGACTCAATCAGTAAAAGAATGGCGTGTGTTTAGTTACTATGACATCGACTCAATCAGTAAAAGAATGACGCGTGTTTAGTAACCATGACATCGACTCAAGTTAATATGACATCTACCCAATCAGTAAAAGAATGACGCGTGTTTAGTTACTTGACATCGACTTAATCAGTAAAAGAGTGACGTGTGTTTAGTTTATATAACATCGACTCAATCAGTAAAAGAATGGCGTGTGTTTAGTTACTATGACATCGACTCAATCAGTAAAAGAATGACGCGTGTTTAGTAACCATGACATCGACTCAAGTTAATATGACATCTACCCAATCAGTAAAAGAATGACGCGTGTTTAGTTACTTGACATCGACTTAATCAGTAAAAGAGTGACGTGTGTTTAGTTTATATAACATCGACTCAATCAGTAAAAGAATGGCGTGTGTTTAGTTACTATGACATCGACTCAATCAGTAAAAGAATGACGCGTGTTTAGTAACCATGACATCGACTCAAGTTAATATGACATCTACCCAATCAGTAAAAGAATGACGCGTGTTTAGTTACTTGACATCGACTTAATCAGTAAAAGAGTGACGTGTGTTTAGTTTATATAACATCGACTCAATCAGTAAAAGAATGGCGTGTGTTTAGTTACTATGACATCGACTCAATCAGTAAAAGAATGACGCGTGTTTAGTAACCATGACATCGACTCAAGTTAATATGACATCTACCCAATCAGTAAAAGAATGACGCGTATTTAGTTACTTGACATCGACTTAATCAGTAAAAGAGTGACGTGTTTTTAGTTTATATAACATCGACTCAATCAGTAAAAGAATGGCGTGTGTTTAGTTACTATGACATCGACTCAATCAGTAAAAGAGTGACGTGTGTTTAGTTCCTATGACATTGCCTCAATCAGTAAAAGAATGGCGCTTTTTTAAGTTCCTTTGACATCGACTCAATCAGTAAAAGAATGGCGCGTGTTAAGTTACTATGACATCGACTCAATTAGTAAAAGAGTGACGTGTGTTTAGTTACTATGACATCGACTGAATCAGTAAAAGAATGGCGCTTTTTTAATTCCTTTGACATCGACTCAATCAGTAAATGAATGGCGCGTGTTTAGTTAATATGACATCGACTCAATGAGTTAAAGAATGGCGCGTGTTTAGTTACTATGACATCGACTCAATCAGTAAAAGAGTGACGTGTGTTTAGTTACTTTGACATCGACTCAATCAGTAAAAGAATGGCTCGTTTTTAGTTCCTTTGACATCGACTCAAACAGTAAAAGAATGGCGCGTGTTTAGTTATTATGACATCGACTCAATCAGTAAAAGAGTGACATGTGTTTAGTTACTTTTACATTTATCAATCAGTTAAATGGTGAAGTATGTTTAGTTACCCTGGCATCGACTCTTATTCATGAAAATATGAGCATAGGAAGTTATCAATGGTTCACCTATAGCATAAGAAATATTCCGCGATAGATGTCAACTGCTGACAGACAAACTAACAACACAGGGTTTCCAGGGATTTAGAATAGTCGCCATGACGATCCGATTGGGAACTGTCTTTTTCCGGTGTGATACGAAGGTCAATGTTTTTGATAACAATCAACAGTGTGCATTTGTTTTGTCCATTGTCACTTCGCCGTTTCTCATTTTAATGACATGACCTTATTTGGTTTTGACCTTGGTTTACATGGCGGATGTAGTCAACAATGTAGACAACTCTCCCTCCGAAACACCTAGTCCTATTCTCTATGTACTGTTTCTATGGTTTCAATGGTAATATATTTCCCTGGCTCCTATCATGTCCTGGTTGTATCCGTTTTGACTCGAATAACGCTTTTGATGACACTCCAGCATTCTGTTGACGTTATTTTCTGTTATTGAACCACAGAGAACATTATGTGTAATTTGTACTTTAGCGGAGGATCTACTTCTCGTCGCACCATGGTTTCCCAGGAAGATTTCCGACCTTGACCATTCAGCCAACCGCGTCCTTATGTATGGGATTGAACTCGATGCTGATCATCCGGTAAATATTGCCAGAAATGTTTTGCTTTCATTTACCTTGTCATTGAAATACCATTTAAAGGCAAAGTAATGTGTCAATAGACTTACAATCGTAGTCAAACTTATTACTGTAAGGTCAAGGCCATCATAATTGTTATCCTTCTAAACGAATGTTATTATTATTTTGTATACAGTACTGACAGTCCTATACCACTACACTGTTTTATTTCGCAGGGTTTCAAAGATAAGGTGTACAGACAGAGGCGGAAATACTTTGCAGATATTGCTATGGCCTACAAATAGTAAGTGTGTGCTGACAGTTTTTTTCTTATAATGTATACCTTGTACTTTTTGTTTGGTTTATGTCCTCTATCCTGAATTCTATTTTAAGAATTACCATGGTAGTTTATGTTATGTTTCGCCATAACGGTGAGCTGTTTCTATTTAAAGAAATTTGAGGGGCCGCGGTGACCAAGTGGTTAAGGCGTCTGACATTCTGCTACGACTAGCCCTCAACCACTGGGTCGCGGGTTCGAGACCTACGTAGGGCAGTCGCCAGGTACTGGCTGTAGGTCAGTGTTTCTTTTCCGGGACCTCCGGCTTGCCATAAATGACTATAGCTGTTCATAGAACGTTAAACATAATGTTCCTATTTATGTTTTGGTTCTTACTTTGTCATTTCTAACCTGTCAGTATGGTATCGCTGTTCAGAATTATCAAGCAATAGCTAACAATATATATATGAATTTACAACAGATATTCGACATTCTGAAATATCAAATAGGTGTTTCCTAAGTCAATATACACAACTATGTAGCCAGCCCCGAGGTTGGCCGTAACCTTGTAGCTAATGGTGGACTAGCAGCCCCGAGGTTGGCCGTAACCGTGAACCTACTAATGTATTAATAGCCCCGAGGTTGGTCGTAATCTTGTATCTACTGATGGACAATCAGTACCCGAGGTTGGCCGTCACATTGTAGTTACAGGTGGACTAGCAGCCCCGAGGTCAGCCCCGATGTTGGTCGTAACCTTGTGTCTACTGATGGACAATCAGTACCCGAGGTTGGCTCTAACCTTGTAGCTGCTGGTGGACAATCACTCTCCCAGGTTGGCCGTAACCATGAACCTACTAATGGATTAGCAGCCCCGAGGTTGGTTGTAACTTTGTAGCTACTGGTGGACTAGCAGTACCCGAGGTTGGCTCAAGGTTAGCAGTAACCGAGGTTGGCCGTAACCTTGTAGCTACTAGTGGACTAGCAGCCCCGTTGTTGGCCGTAACCTTGTAGCTTCTGGTGGACTATCAGTACCCGAGATTGGCCGTAACCTTGTAGCTACTGGTGGACTAGCAGCCCCGAGGTTGGCCATAACCTTGTAGCTACTGGTGAACTAACAGCCCCGAGGTTGGCCGTAACCTTGTAGCTACTGGTGGACTAACAGCCCCGAATTTGGCCATAACCTTGTAGCTACTGGCCTGGTGGACTAGCAGCCCCGAGGATTGCCGTAACCTTGTAGCTACTGGTGGACTAACAGCCCGAGGTTGGCCGTAACCTTGTAGCTGGAAAACACCCGGCACGGTTCACATAGAATGCTAGCTAAAGAATAAATTAACCTGTTGTAGCAAAGCCGTCTATCGTTAAGGGGATTTATGGGCACCTCCCCACTGTCGCTGTATTTCTACCTTTGTTTTGGAACGCTTCAGAAATGACCACTGATGAGTCCTAAATTGCCAAATGGAAGCATAAAGTATTTGCTAAGTTTGGCTACATCCATATATTGAATTATGTAAAAGGAGTTTACTTCGTATTGATATAAATGATTTTCCATCAATTATCTAGTACAGTACGCATTTCAGAGAAATCACAGAATATAGTAATAATAATAATATACTACATTTATATAGCGCCCTATATAATAATTTGTAAAATTACCTTAAGGCGCTTTACAACATGGATAATAGTAATGGTTAGAATTGTGAAAACAATCAACAAAGGCTTGACATCACTTTCATACATTTAACAAGCAATGTGCACATAATTGAACAAATAAAAGGGTGGTATTTACATGACGTCTTTGAAAGATTCTAAAATGCAGACGTGAAGAGGTGAGTTTTTATGTCCCTCTTGAACTTGGCCAGGGTATTTGACTTCCTAATAGCAGATGGTAAGCTATTGCACAACGTAGCCGAAACCCTCCCAAAGCATCTGTTTCCGTAGGTCACAGTACGAGATTTTGGGACACACAACAAAGATTCTGACTCGGACCACAGTGATCTTGACGGCTGATACAGGGTAACAAGTAACTGTAGGTACTGAGGAGCTGTTCCATTCAGTGCCTTGTATGTGTATACCAGAATTTTGTACTGCATCCTGTATCATACAGTTAACCAGTGCAACGAATAAAGCGCAGGTGTGATGTGCTCTCTCTTTCGAGTACGAGTAACTAGCTGTGCTGCAGTGTTCTGGACCCTCTGTAGACGACTAGTTAGTTTGTCAGATATACCACAGAGCAGGGCGTTACCATAATCCAACCGAGAGGTAACAAGTCAATGCGCCAAAATCTTGCACGCATCTGCAGTTAAAAACTGCCGAATACAGCCGATGTTCCTGATCTACAGAGTGGTGAATGTCCCATATTTGTGATGTATATAGCTGTTATAAGTATTGCTTGTACGAACAAAGATTTTGTGAAGGAAACGAGATCATTCCCAAGGCATCCTTTATGGTTTATTGGAGAGGTGGTACTTCTGTAAACCTACAAAGTGGAAACATCATAAACCCACAAAACGTCTTCCGTAAATGGTTCAGAACGCGAAATATCACGTGAAAGGAAAGGCTAATCTCAGGGATTTCGGGGCTTAGTCCGTAACCATGACTACAGGGGTTTTATTATTTCCTATGAATTTCAATAACACTATTTATAATTAAAGGCTATGAATAATATTAATGTAACAATGAATGACAATGTTTGAGGGGGTGTACTCTCAGCGTAAACTTGTGTATCTTTCTAAATAAACAAACTATTTTTAAACACACGTCTTTCACAGTGACGTAGATCTTTATTCAAAGGAAACAAAAAGAAAATTGCTGAGTCCAATGTATTTTTGTCGTCAAACACGCCTATTTTTATACACTGAGATTTGGTCAGATATAAAATGGAATAAAAGGAGATCCACGTCGGGTTATATATGCATGACTGGGCTATCTGAATGCTAGGTTTACAATTGCTTTCATTTGATATAATTGGCCTCTGTTGGGTTCGGGCCGGGCTCAGCTCGTCCTCCTTGCCCCAGCCTCATCCATATTTATTGGCTTTTAGGCAATCGATGCACATTTCTATTCATAGATTTAGCGTACGGGGTTAGACACTGCGTATGCCACGTCGGTTTTTGTTTGGTTACTTCTATGACATTTAACCACGTCCCGTGTAGATGTAGGTTACGTCACACGCTTTAGGTGATTGGTTTTTAGTCAAGCGTGTACAATTCTTCGTAGTAGTAATTGGTAGCATAGTTGACAAAACGTCTTTGACAATATTCACAATCTGTGTCGAATCTAGAGTTAACTTTGATGGACAGACTTTAATTTTAGTAAAATCACCTTTAAAATCAACAACATTGTAAAGCAGAAAAACACAATACAGCAATGGAACACTATGATAGTTAGCTACACAAAGCTTGCCTATTCTCCTGAGAGGACACTTTAAACGAGGTCGACAAATCGATCCGATATACAACACACATATAGAATTTTCAATACGTGAATCATTTAATGACGTATACACAGTAGCCATGTATTCTGATTGCCACCGTCACCAGGAATAATTACTACAAAAGAAAGCAATACATTTTCCTATTACAATAATGGTTGAAAAGTCTTGCCAGTACGGAATCTTGGAAATGTACAAATGCATACTGGGTATTATCTACCTTCATAATACTGCACTGTTTGTAATACCTCCCCTTTGTACTACTGCATTCTGGGGAATACCTACTCTTTGTACTACTGCATTCTGAAGAATACTACTGTACTTTAGGGCAAACGTACCTATCAAATTACTGCACGTCTATTCGACAAATACATTGTTGATTCGTCTTTTGTTTCTTTCTTTCTCTTTCTATTATTATATCATATTTTTGGTCCTGGATTTAATTCATAAAGAATGTTTACATATACAACTGAGGTGTACAAGTAACACGTATGCCGATATAAAACATGTACAATAAAGCTAAAGACGGTTTTGTTAAGCATTAAATACCGATTCAGTGAACTGCCATTTCTGATTTACCCAAAGCCGTATGTCTACGGAGATCGATGGCAGACGTGGTTAGCCGTATACAATGCATTCAATCACTCTCCTGATTACAGACAGTTTGGAACGACACCTAGTCTATAGAATAAACGTCCATCGACGTAGGAAATCCTAGAAATATGTTTGCCAAAGAAAATTTGCTAGTGCTAATAATGATAATATTGTGAAAATAAAATGGCTAGTGAGACAACAGAGGTCGGGAAACCATACAATGTGTCGTGATACAAACACAATAATATCACAGCATTCCTAGTCAACAAATGATTGCCAACTATTTAAAGTTGCTGCCAATTACTCAATGGTGTGGCATATTTTGCTATGCAATGTATTTCAAACAAAGTGAGGATTTGAATTCGTAAAAATTAATTCCAAGATATATGTCTAAATGCCCCCTTTAAAAACTATTAACGTACAAAAAGATTTAATTTATGATTGCGCTAATTGAAATTTCTGTATACAACTATTGTATTGCTTGTATTGTGAATGCGCTTATGTGTTAAATTCGACAATAGCCCAAACTGTTGACCGCTGATTTAAACACCTTTACAGTAGTTGTAGCATGTTCGTGGTTGATTATCCTCTCAGATCAGACGCAGACATCACGAAAATATGAATCATGCAAAATGTAAATAATAAATAATATTAGATGGTGACATTTCTTGTAGCCTATATTTACATCTCCAATTAAACATCAGTAATGAGATATACAAGTTAGACATATTGAACCCTAACTCGGTCTGTAATAAAGCGTTAAGGCTGATGCCTTCATACAAATAATTCAGCAATAACATAACATTTCAAGTTCATTTGTTAGCCAACTGAATGCTATAAAATGATCTAAACAACGTCAAACATCTAAACAAGTTAATTTGACAGAATCATTGGAAGCTTTATTTCTCTGTTTCTAGCGGAAGGAAAACATATGGCCTCAAATGAAGATGATTGGGGCTTATTAACACCTCGAAAATCGTAGTACAATACCTTTGTAACAGTAGGTCATGTGACTTATATTAGAAAAAGTATTTCTTTCTAACGGTTGGTGTTGGTACTTCCTAGTTAGAATGTTTGTAACATGTCCAGCCCTAAAAAAACACGTTTCCCGAAAGAAGTACTAACTGACTTATATGATTTGCTAGTACAATATATGATGAAGATAATACCAACAACTATGGTATAATGACAAAACTAAAATTGATAATAAACCAGCTTATTTCAAACAATGGGCAAAAAAAGGTATAATGTTTGTACAGGACCTATTAAACATACGGGCTGAAACTATTAACTCTTACGGACACTTTTGTGAAAAATACGAGTTAAGTCCCCAAATACCTATGTTCTATGGTTTACGCAATGCAATTACAGATCTGTGTAATACAATACAAAACAGGCAGCGTACCACCATATTACCAAATTGTCCAAGATACATCTAATTATAATAACGAACAAAGAGTTCAGTCAATAGATGGTTTAGTTGTCAAAGAATTGAAAGTGAACAACAAGTATAAAACAAAATGGTCCGAAGAATTAGATTTAATAGTAGATTGACATATGGTGGAAAAATAATGATAAAATTTCTTTCAAATGTACATTAGATTGCAAACTTAGATGGTTTCAGTATAAAATCACTCACAGAATTATGAGCACAAATACATATCGCCATATGATAAAGAGGAAAGACTCCCACTCTGTACAGCTTGTAATAGATATGTAGAAACTATATTACACATGCTTTGTGAATGTTGAATAGTGGACAGCTATTGGAATGAAATTAAAATGTGATTACAAACAAAAACAAATAAAACAACACTTCTTCAAAATACGTGTAGTGATAAAATCTTAGGCAAAGTGTCAAACAGACAAGAATTAACCTCTCTTAATACAATAATACAACAAAAGAAGGTAAACAAACTACCCAGTATTACTGGGTTCAAAACAGTGCTAGAGTACCACATACAAACAGAAATAAGATCCAAAACAAAAAATGGCATATGAAAAATAAAAAATAAAAGGCATCAAATAAAGTAAACAGTTGCGCAGTGTCATTTTGGCGTTGTCATTTCAAAATTTCACAAAATAGAATGAAAGCGAGTGTGAAAGAAATGTAGTGTTCTGTCCAAAAGAAAATAATATAAAACTTTCTGTATCTCACAAGTTTAAAAATGTGTTATAAAACATTTTACAAAACAAGCAATAACAAAAGAAACATATCATTTGAACATGTATTAAAATAAAATGTATGCATAAAGTATGACAAGAAATAGCAGGCTAATTTCAAGTATCAAAATGTGATTTATGTGGAAATTGAACAAAAGTAAGTAAGAATTTACCTAACAAGAGCAAAATACTTGTTTAAGAATCTTGTAGAAAATGAAGAAGCAAAACAACTGAATTTCATATTGTAATACAGTGTATGTACTTAATTAAGGCAATGTATATCATGTATAAGATGCATAAAGATGATGAAAAAAACATTTAAAAAAACCCAAGTCTAGCACATTTTGAATACATTGTATGGTGTAAAAGGACGCATTATCTAAAGTTCTTTTATCTATCTAGGACACACGACTCTGAGATTTACATTTATACATCGTTAAAAATGTTACCGAGATGTTATATAAAGATGTGTGTGGTTTCCAATCGCCCAAACCATCTTGAGTTGCGGCCAGTGTGTCTCAGAAAAGCTAGAAAAGGAGAAATACAGCCGATCACGACCTAGATGCATAGATTAGATAAGGCTGAATTTCGTAGCATTCACTTTGGTCACAAAAGAGAATATCTTGTCAGAATGTTTATGGACTAATTTCTTGGAGGCATCAGCCTTAACGACTTTATTAAGATTAAACACCATTCGCTATTTATGATTTAATTAATAACGCTCAAATCTAATAGATTCAATCAACATACAGGTATCTCAATACCGATATTTTATTGAGGTCCCTAGGTATGACTTATCATGGGGTTGACATTTACTGTGACCATATCTTTTCTTAGGGGGTAGGGTGGAGGGCTCATTTGATCTTAAAGAAGAGTATTACTTTGTAAGGTAATCTTGTTTTTATTTTACTAGTGGAGAGCCCATCCCCAGGGTAGAGTACACACAGGACGAAGTCCGTACATGGTAAGTTATTTCACCTTCTGATAAAAATTTGCCTAATTATGACATGCTTATAAATATACACCAAGTACCAACATTCGGTAAGTGATCATACAACCACGTAAGGACACCGAGTTGGCATCATGCGAAGTAAACATATCTCATAATAACAATGTATCTAGTGCCTTAAATATGTTTTATTTTCCTACTTGACGCTTTATCTAAAATGATATGTAGCATGAACTAAGATTGTGTTATAGAAGCTCTCATTGACAAAGCATATGAAGTCGTTTACCTTTTATGGGGTACATCTTTTCTTGTATTGACGCGAATGTTTAAAATGTCCCTGTGTGTTGACGTTATGTATGTAATTTGTCCTTGTGTGTTGACGTTATAGTATTTTGTCCTTGAGTGTTGACGTTTTGTATGTATTTTGCCCTAGTGTGTTGACGCTATGGTATTTCATGTCTTTATGTGTTGACGCTATAGTTAATCTTTTCTTGTATTGACGCGAATGTTTAAAATGTTCTTGAGTGTTGACGGTATGTATGTATTTTGTCCTTGTTTGTTGACGTTATGTATGTATTTTGTCCCTGTGTGTTGATGTTATGTATGTATTTTGTCCGTGTGTGTTGACGTTATGTATGTATTTTGTCCGTGTTTGTTGACGTTACGATGTATTTTGTCCGTGTGTGTTGACGTTATAGTATTTTGTCCTTGTGTGTTGACGTTATGTATGTATTTTGTCCTTGTGTGTTGACGTTATGTATGTATTTTGTCCGTGTGTTGACGTTATGTATGTATTTTGTCCTTGTGTGTTGCGTTATGTATGTATTTTGCCCGTGTGTGTTGACGTTATGTATGTATTTTGTCCTTGTGTGTTGCGTTATGTATGTATTTTGTCCGTGTGTTGACGTTATAGTATTTTGTCCGTGTGTGTTGACGTTATGCATGTATTTTGTCCGTGTGTGTTGACGTTATGTATGTATTTTGTCCTTGAGTGTTGACGTTATGTATGTATTTTGTCCTTGTGTGTTCACGTTATGTATGTATTTTGTCCTTGTGTGTTGACGTTATAGTATTTTGTCCTTGTGTGTTGACGTTATGTATGTATTTTGTCCTTGTGTGTTGTCGTTATAGTATTTTGTCCTTGTGTGTTGACGTTATAGTTGTTTGTCCTTGTGTGTTGACGTTATGTAGGTATTTTGTCCTTGTGTGTTGACGTTATAGTATTTTGTCCTAGTGTGTCGACGTTATAGTATTTTGTCCATATGTGTTGACGTTATAGTATTTTGTCCTTGTGTGTTGACGTTATGTTTGTATTTTGTCCTTGTGTGTTGACGTTATAGTATTTTGTCCTTATGTATTGACACGAAGTTTTGCATTATCCTTCATGGTTGGCAACATATTTATATTTGTCCTTGTTTGTTAAAGCAACAGTTTATTTAGTCCATGTGAGCTGACGCTGTGGTACATTTTGTCCGTGTGTGTTTAAACTATGGCATATTTGTCTTTTTGCGTTGATACCGTTTTGTATTTTGTCTTTCTGTGTTAACGCTATGTTTACCCCACCAACATCAGATGGTAGGCTATACAAATCAAAATATTTGTCCTTCTGTCCGTCCGTCTTTAAAAAATTCTTGTTAGCGCTATTTCACAGAAAGTACCACATGGAGGTTCCCATAGCCCCCTAGTTTGCTCATCGAATTGGGGTCTGTTGCGAAAACCAAGACGGCCGACAGGTAGCCATCTTGAATTTTGAGGCTTAACATTTGTTAGTACTATTTCTCAGAAAGTACTGAAGAGATCTTTCAAAAATGAAGTTTCCCCCTATGCATGTCGTATTTTGGGTTTGATCGGAAAACCAAGATTGCCAACAAGCGATCTAAAATTTCGAGAGTTAATGTTTGCTAGCGCTTTTCTCAGAAAGCACTGGATGGACCTAATTCAAATTCATAATAAAAGTTTGTAATTGTGCATGGTTACTTTTTACTTTGATCGAATTTTACTTGATTGATGTAATCCTAATTATTATTGTTGACAGGGGAACGGTATTTTCAGAATTGTTGAAGTTATACCCAACACACGCATGTCGAGAGTTCCTTAGAAACCTGCCGCTGCTCATCGACCACTGCGGTTACAGGTAAAGAAACACAATTAGCTTATTCAGTTAAGGAGAGGGGTTGTATAGGCTATGACTGTTGCCCAATTCCTATTATACTTAAGTTCTATACAATAAAATATTATGAAAAGAAAATTCTTTGAGTATCAGCAACTGTTGAACTATAATTGTAAGTTTTGAATTTACTGATATTTAAGAAGAAATTTATAACAATTATTATATTCTCGTCCATTGTTAAGGTTATCAGTTTCATAAATTAGAGGCAGACGAGTTATAAACAACAGAGAAGGTACAATCAACGTAAATGTTTTTTGTTTTTTAAAGCGTGTTTTTTTAATTCATTAGTACCGTTTACCGAGTACTTTTAAAAACTAGTTCAAATAAAACCACTTCCGTTTTAATGGCCCTTTCTGAAATGTTCTATTTTCCTTTCAGAGAAAATAATCTACCACAACTAGAGGACATATCAGAGTTCCTTAAAGGTAGGAATATTTTCGTCTTGAATCTTGTGAAGTATTTTTCCCTCCTGGAAGAGAAGTAACATATTATTTCAACTGAATATATTTATGTCCTAAACTGATACTTGCTTTTAAGTTTGTTTTTATAATTATTAATATTTAATGTTTTCCGTTGATTGTGGAAGAAAGTTTGATTTTCAATAAAAAAAAATAACAGTATTAGAACTTTTTAACACCAGTGTTATGTTGAATGTTTTATTTCATTTTGTTCAGTTATTAGCTGTGACTTCATCCCAATATGTATGCTATTTTCTTCAGAAAGAACAGGTTTCCAGCTGCGTCCCGTGGCAGGGTATCTATCATCACGTGACTTTTTGGCAGGACTTGCATTCCGTGTTTTCCATTGCACGCAATACATCCGCCATCGATCTGATCCGTTATACACACCAGAACCGTGAGTATATTGACAATTTATCACACGGAATTTAATATATCAATTATATAATAATACATAAAACATAATCTAAATAGGGTTGCATCCATCTACATCCATCACCCGCACAGTTATGATAATAAACAAAACAGAATATTCAATCTCATCGACCGTCATATTTATACACTGTAATAATACACAACACAGAATATGTATAGGGTAACATCGATCACATTGGCCGTAAGTATTATAATAATGCACAACACAGAATATGTAAAGGGAAACATCGATCACATTGGCCGTCAGTATTACAATAATACACAACACAGAATATGTATAGGGTAACATCGATCACATTGGCCGTAAGTATTATAATAATGCACAACACAGAATATGTAAAGGGTAACATCGATCACATTGGCCGTCAGTATTATAATAATGCACAACACAGAATATGTAAAGGGAAACATCGATCACATTGGCCGTCAGTATTACAATAATGCACAACACAGAATATGTATAGGGTAACATCGATCACATTGGCCGTCAGTATTATAATAATGCACAACACAGAATATATATAGGGTTACATCAAAAACATTTTAATACCCACAGCAGAATATATGTATAAAGGGCTACATCAAAAACATTTTAAAACCCACAGCAGAATATATGTATAAAGGGTTACATCAAAATCATGTTCATGCCCACAAAAAAAAAAATGTATATAGGGTTACATCAAAAAAAAATTAATACCCACAAAAGAATATATGTATATAGGGTTACATCAAAAACATTTTAATACCCACAGCAGAATATATGTATAAAGGGTTACATCAAAATCATTTTCATGCCCACAAAAGAATATAAGTATTCAGGGTTACATCAAAAACATTTTAATACCCACAAAAGAATATAAGTATATAGGGTTACATCAAAAACATTTTAATACCCACAGCAGAATGTATGTATAAAGGGTTACATCAAAATCATTTTAATGCCCACAAAAGAATATAAGTATACAGGGTTACATCAAAATCATTTTAATGCCCACAAAAAATATATGTATATAGGGTTACATCAAAAACATTTTAATACCCACAAAAGAATAGGGTTACATTTATCACATTGACCGTGATTTATATCAGTTAACAGATGCCTTACATCATTACAATAGTTTATTACACAGAATTGATTCATAGTTATTATTTCAGTATTCCAATTTTCGGCATGTCGTTATATTTTACAGTGACTGCTGCCACGAACTGCTTGGTCACATGCCGCTGTTAGCGGATCCAAGCTTTGCACAGTTCTCCCAGGAGCTTGGATTGGCGTCGCTCGGGGTCTCTGACGAGGAAGTACAGAAATTAGCAACGGTAAGTAGGGTGTAATAAACTATCAAATTGCACGTGTTCTAGTTGCTTTATGCATGTGGAAGTGTTTTGTCCTAGTGCGGTTATAAGCAAAATTGAATTGAATACACTATCGAAAATGTCCGTACTGTTATCACCAAATCTTGCAATATTTATGATTTGCCGCTAATTTGCTAGGAGAGCCGATCTTCAATTAATTATTCTGATGTACAGTATGGGACCCTCACACCCAAACAAATATTGACAAGTTGGAAATGGTCCAGCAAAGGGCAGCGCGCTATGTGCTCAATAAGCACAGGTACAACCATCATACCTCCAGTGTGTCAGAAATGTTGGACCACCTAAAGATGCGCCCTCTAGCAGATAGACGTAGAGATGCTCGTCTGACCATGCTTCATAACATTGTAAACCAGAAAGTCGCTATCGTAAAATCAGACAGATTAATCCCTACAGTTAGAAAATCTCGAACAATCCACCAGTTTTCGTATCAAATTCCCCACTCAAAAACCCAGACCAGAAAGGCATCATTCTTCCCTCGAACTATACCCGAGCGGAATAAACTCCCACCTGACATTATTTCGAGCCCCACAACGGAATTATTCAAATCAGCCCTCTACCGTCACTTTTCAAACGCAAATAAGACCATCTCGTATCTTTTAAAAACAATCTCTTTCCATGTTTCACTCCTCGTCTGACATTTTATCTTCAAATTGTTGAAGTTGGTCAGTACCACTTAGAAGTAGAAGTAGAAGAGGCCTTTGTTCCTTTCTAAATTAGAACAACCACAATAATATTAGCAAAACTTCTGCGATTTTCATTACAAAGCGTTTGTAATAGTATATTTATGATATGGCAATGAAAATGTTTGAGAAAATTATGTTGTTTTTTTTTTATTGCAGTGCTACTTTTTCACGGTTGAGTTTGGAATTTGTAAACAGGATGGAAACCTGAGAGCATACGGCGCGGGTCTGCTATCTTCTATTGGGGAGTTGAAGGTGAGCATATCCAGTCCCCGTTATTTGAGATTATATTCAATTATTGTTAACAAAACGTACACATCAAGGCAATCAATATAGCCAAGCACGGTAACAATCAAAATACTAACACAGTTAATGTCGAAATCGCTACTCCGAACAATACAATAATTGTAATGTTTTGTCATTATCTTGTGGCTACCTTCGCCAACACAAAAAAAATGTTTTTATAAATATGAACGTTGTTTTAAATGCAATTTTAATCGCTATGTGTTGTGCTTGCAACTAATAAAGCGATTATAAAAATTGCGTACAATTTCGTTTCAGTTAGAAGCCATATAAGTAAGCAGAGCACGTGCTAAATCGCTAACACTTCTGACCTTTTAAAAAAATAACCAGCGTGTTATGTTTCATTTATCTTGTTCTTGTGTAATACTGTTAAAATATTATGACATAACCATTCAGCATGCATTGACGAGTAAAACTGAGAAGATTCCCTTCGAACCGACCCGTACATGTCAGCAGGAGTGTTTGATTACAACCTTCCAGGACGTTTACTTCTTCACCGACAGCTTTGAGGAAGCAAAAGACAGGATGAGGTAAAGCCATAATCATACTTTTACCAGTTGCTATGGAAACCCATCAACTAATCAAGGAGTTATGTCAATCCTGTATACCATAAAATTATATATCTTATATAATTTAAGTTAACGCAGAATCGGCATTGCTACTTGAATAAATTTAAAGCTGGCTTGTCAAAGGTTACTCTCGCTTCTGTGTATCTCCTGTACATGATACATATTGCCATGGGAGCAAGCATATACATGCAGGTTTGAGTGTTGATGGTCAATTTTGTGGTAAATGCTGAGACTTTGTGTAATTATGATGACAGTAAGTATTTCGTACAGCACAACTCCCAATTGTGACGTAGAACGTTATGTTTCTAAATAACTGCAAATTGTCTGCAAATGGTTTTGCGAGAGTGCTTCAAAGAGGATTCGTGGGAATTTGAATTCGTGAACTATGAGTATGATTTCTTCGTTAGAGTCGCTCGTTTTTATCACCTCTACGTGTTAGTGCCGTAGATCGCGAGTTCGATGCCAGTGCAGGGCATCAGTCAACGTCTATAAACTCTTTTGGTTGTGAAAATCGTTGCCTTCTTTGTTTTTTTACATTGAAATAGTTTATTCTTCCATGAGTCAATCTTTACTCTATATATTTTAATTGCATTACAGACAATTCGCTTGCACCATCAAACGTCCGTTTGCCGTGCGGTATAATCCGTACACCCAGACAGTGGACGTCCTTAACAATACGCGCTGTATCGCATACGCGGTCAGCGAACTTAGGGGAGACCTCTGCATTGTATCTGACGCACTCCGTCGACTCCAACAACTCGAGCTTGCCATGGACGAACAGGAAGAGGCAGAGCGACTGGAAGGAGAGACACCCCGATGACGGTCTGGCAAAGCAAGAACAAAAGATAATGAACGTTATGATAAACTGAAGAAATTGTTTAAATCATATGGAACGAAAAGAATACAACATGGTTTAAACTACTATCTTAAATACCGTATAGTTATGTGCTCATATTATAAAAGACATTGTGATTTTATTTTATATGTACTACTAGATCAGCACGATACATGCGTGTAATGACGCAACTTTCGTGTGCTATACCCATAATCAGGTCTGTTTTTTTCATATATGATTGACTATAATAGAGGGTTAGTGGCGATTTAACGGATGGTATGTTAAAGGATGACAGAACACCGGGGCAAGTTTTAGCACTGTAGAGACAGATCTCCATAGAGTAAGTCCCAATAATCTAGTGGCATCCCCATCAAATAAACAGTTCCATTTCTTAAATGATCATGTTTGAAGTTACGCGTTACTTGTAAGCTTCTCAAGATACACGGATTTTTATATCACCGTGATTAAGCGATTATCAATTTGAACAAAAGTATGATAACTCAAGACGTTACTTTGTGGTCTGATATTTGTTACAGGATTCCTGAAGGAACAGAGCTATACGTGGCTCACAAAATTGATCGTGTAGAGCCCACACAACGGAAGTTCTTATCTTTCAATTTATACCACTAATAATAGCAAATAGGTTTTCAAATAAAAATTAGTTTTCCTGTTTGTTGGAGCTCAGAACTAAGCTTATTTTTAGTTTAACAAATTCCACCGGTACGTTTTTATATATACGTAGTCAATCTCTTTATCGTGACGATAACATTTATCATAAACTTATGTTTGTAAACGTGTGGAAAGATTATACTATTGTAAAGTAGAACCGTCTGAATCCTTGATGAAACCCCATGGCCCCCATTCAGAGTTCGTCTTTTCTTAAACGTATACAATTATCTCATTAAATTATCATAGATTCAATATAATAAAACATGATAACCATGCTACAAATACACCAGACATAAAATGTATAGATTTCAAGGCGTAAGAATCATTTTCTCGGCTACACAAATGATTGCATTAAACGGAGCTATGTACTTGGGAATGGCTGGTTATTGACTATGTTAGTATATGTTTAGAGAGGAGAGCTAGAGAGTCGCCATTCATCTGATAGTTATATATAACATTAGATTAACACTGTGTTTATGGATTATGAATTTCGGACAATGGAAAGATCAGGCCATATGTCGTGATTAATCAATTAGCACCACCTACCGCGTTGATATATTGCTGTTAACAGCTTTCGTGGCATAGAACAGGGGTGACTACCTCCAATACTGTCGAGCTGTAACAGGTCGCCGACACTCGTCATCAAATGCAATATAGATCAATTAACACTATCAATAAGGCGTTGTATGTGCACCACGTTTTCCGATATACATAACTGCCGTAGCACACGTATATATGAATATTATATCATTTCATCCAAGTTATTGAGTCTAATTATGTTAATAAATGTATATTCGCAACAGTTTCTGTGTTCTCTTAAATGTGTTAATTATTTCGGATCTTATGACGCTGATCCTGATGTGCACTGACAAATAGAAAAAGTGTGAGAATGCTCGCTAATTTTTCGATCAGTCGACGCCGAGATTAGCACAATTGTCTGACACCCACATAGATAGCAGTGAAACAGTTATCACATAGCCATTATTTGGATGAGCTACACCGCACACATTTTCTATAAAGGAGTGTAAACTCAGTCATTGTGACATATGAAGTTGACTTTTTATGTTAAGAACCGCCATTGAGATATTCTAACATAACATCCTGTACTTAATCATCCTTAATATCCAAGGGTTTATATAACATATTTTCTCTGCACCCATGGATTATGACAAAATCGAAGGCTGGTGGTAAGCTTTTTGGATTTAGGTATGAAAAAAAATACAAATTCCAAGGCTGATACTTCTCCTCTTAAGATAAAAGATAAACTAAACCTAACTTCCAAGCCTGTCAGTTTTACCGTTACACTACAACGCAATCTTTTTTATCTTCATTAAATACATCAGACTAGTCTACTAGAATCATTCACAGAGTCATAACATGTTCATTCACAGGGTCATAACATGTTCATTCACAGGGTCATAACATGTTCATTCACAGGGTCATAACATGTTCCAGAGGTGCAGAGAAGTATAAATCCTTGGATTTTGAGGACACATGTTCTGCGGTTATCAGAAAGTCGATAATGTGTCAGCGAACATCATATAAGGTCAACGTAACAATGAAAACACCATTTAAGGTCAATATAACAATGAACACCATATACGGTTAGTGTATTGATAAAGCCCCATACGTTCAATGAAACGATGAACGATATACAGGGTTAGTTAAACTTAACGACGAACAACAAACAAGGTTCGTTTAATGACGAACAATAAAAAGGGTTAGTTCAAAGACGAACAACAAACATTGTAAGTTTAACAATGAACAATATATAACATCATATAAGGATCAGTGTAACGATGAACAACCTGTAAGGTCAGTGTAACGATGAACAACCTGTAAGGTCAGTGTAACGATGAACTGTAAGGTCAGTGTAACGATTGACATGAACAGTGGAGTATAGATATGTGAATGTATTTGTAACAATCACGATCTAAAACTTTAAATGCCATCAACATGGTTATTTTTGTTTACAAGAACAATGTGTGGTCAACGTCTGAACTGTAAATTGCTTTCCTATAAGGCATCTTTTAGCAAAATTGATTTTTAGCGTAAGAGGTTTTTCTTTCTTTCTAAATTACTTCTTTAACTTTTAAAAAGTACAATCAGAAAAACGGAAATCTTTATATTCCTTGATTCATTTGAACTGTAACTATACTGTCCTACTCATAATGTAAGTCAAGCTTTATATGTATTTCTGGTATTTTAAGAGCTCTTTGACTGACATATTTAAATAATCAAAACATACTTCAGTCCCTATCATTTTGCAGACACTTTAGAAACAATCTATGTGAATGTTTGACTTAATGTCATGTTAATCAAGGTTCGTTGAACAGTCTAGTTCCCTATGCAGATTCGTCTGACCTTGTTTTTATTTTTGGTTCGTTTATTTTACAACAAGCAGATTGCAATGCGTGCCAAGGTTGGAACCCTTTATCAGCTATCGTATATGTATGGCAAGCCAACTAAAGAGACACGTCATATACTGTAGGAGACATCACATAAATCTACTACGTCATATACTGTAGGAGGCATCACATAAATCTACTACGTCTTATACTGTAGGAGACATCACATAGATCTACTACGTCATATACTGTAGGAGACATCACATAAATCTACTACGTCATATACTGTAGGAGGCATCACATAAATCTACTGAGACGTTCCTATTAACGTATGACATACTTTATACACAATTACATCGTATATAGTCCTAAATATATAACATATCTTTAACACATTTAAAGATACTTTAATTCATTTGGAGGTGTATTTAATGCATAAATTCATTGCATCTAAAGATATCTGTATTACATCTAAAGATGTCTTTATTAAATTTAGATAAATATATTATATTTAAATATATGAATATTTCATTTAAATCTCTTTTAAAACTAACATCAGATATATTGTAAAGACAATCTAAAATAGATATCTCAGTTTCAATTTAAAAAAACTCTATTTCATTTGGGATAAATGTGATACTTTATTGCGAATTCTCTTTATTTATTAAATGTTAAATTGGCTAACTATATATATATGAGGTGTCCTCAGGAGAAGGATTCATGATCTTTATCCTTCTGTCATTCGTTTTTCCTTTCTTGTTCCGATATATTAATATTTTTTATCCTCAAACATTCCTTATTATCTCCCTTTGTAAACGTATCCACACGTACACAAATTAACAACCAATAATGTCATTGACTGTAGTCTTGATAAAAAAACCGCCATATAACTGTCGATGTGGTAAGCAACACATCAGAAAAGCTGACATTACTGGAACGTTGTCGCAAAAAAAGACAAAAGGAAATAAGCACAATCAAGAAGAGGAACAGGTTTAAGCATCCCATCCAAAGACGATTCCATTATCATTAATAAGCCGACCAAGGAGGAGCGGCCTGTAACTATGGATAATGACTCACTCAGACTGTAATCAAACTGAGGTCACGATGCGGCATACACAGATTTGAATTTAAAGGTCAATGGAAATATAACATCAGTCGAGACATTGAAAACTGGATAGCCGCCCCACAGAAATATAACATCAGTCGAGACATAGAATACTGGATAGCCACCACACAGAAATATAACATCAGTCGAGACATTGCATACTGGATAGCCACCACACAGAAATCTAACATCAGTCGAGACATTGAATACTGTGGAGAGCCACCACAGAAAGATATAACATCAGTCGAGACATTTAATACTGGATAGCCACCACACAGAAATATAACTTCAGTCGAGACATTGAATACTGTGGAGAGCCACCACACAGAGATATAACATCAGTCGAGACATTGAATACTGGATAGCCACTACACAGAGATATAACATCAGTCGAGCAATGGAATACTGGATAGCCACCACACAGAAATATAACATCAGTCGAGACATTGAATACTGGATAGCCACCACACAGAGATATAACATCAGTCGATACATTGAATACTGGATAGCCGCCACACAGAGATATAACATCAGTCGAGACATTGAATACTGGATAGCCACCACACAGAAATATAACATCAGTCGAGCAATTGAATACTGGATAGCCACCACACAGAGATATAACATCAGTCGAGACATTGAATACTGGATAGCCACCACACAGAAATATAACATCAGTCGAGACATTGAAAACTGGATAGCCACCACACAGAGATATAACATCAGTCGAGACATTGAATACTGGATAGCCACCACACAGAGATATACCTGAATTCGTTTTACTGAAATAACTCTTAGATATTTGGAAGTATGATTATATCGTAAAGATTTGACTTCGATATATATCAACGAAATGTGAAAACGAATCCTGGGTGATTCTTTGATCATATGGCGAAAAGAGTATGATACATTATTGGAGTTTAAGCAACTACTGAACGCTTTTGATATAGATAAAGTGTTTACTATAGAAAAAAAACCATTCCTTATCAAAGACCATCAATACAGATACTATAAACCAAACGACATTTTACAACTTAGCAACAATGATCTACACCAACATGAAACGAAGAAAGATACAACAAAATCATCCAAAAGAACTGTACAAGTATCTGGAAAATAAATTTCAAAGACACCGTCAAAGATAGGGGTGGAAAACCTGGAAAATAAATCTCACATACACCGTCAAAGATAGAGGTGAAAATGTTTTTTCATTTTCTTTGTGGGACGGAAGGCCTGACAAAATCAAGAGAAATGTAATGTATAGTGATTATCATAATGGGGGACTACGTCTCCCACATGTTTTAACTTTTTGTCATGCACTCAAGATGTCTTGGATTAAAAAAAATATTAACCCCTGAAATCAGGCAGCATGGAAAACACTATTATAAGACAAACTAGAATGTTTTGGAGGCGATACAATTTTCAAAATGACAAAAGACGGATTACCAGTTTAATTACTTAAGCATGCTCTTTAATTACAATGGTAAATTGTATGCCACTCAAAAGCATGTTGCAGATCAGGGTAATAAGGCATATTATGCGCTTTGTAATAAGTTCAAAAATCATAATTTTAATATCAAAACACAATGTTCTGTATTCGACACTAAAATTAATAGCGTCTTAAGTTACAGTGCAGAAGTATGGAGTTTTCATAAAGCTCTTGATGTTGAAAAGATACACATACATTTTTGTAAAAGGCTACTCGGAGTCAAGAAGAGTACGTGTAATAATTTAGTTTATTGTGAGTTAGGAAGATTACCATTGTCTGTATGTACAAAACTGTGGGTTTTTTTAAATATTGATTAAAATTAAAAACTTCGAATAATTACATTTTAAAAACATGTTACGAGGAAAAAAATTGGCAAAGGATAATTGGATTCTTGATATCCGCACTGAACTCAACAAATTAGGTTTAACTTCCCTTTTGGAAAATGTAAGCAATGCTAGAAATATCTATACAATCATTGAGCAAAGACTTTTTGACTTTTACCGGCAGGAAATCTTAACTAATATCCAAACAACTCCGAAAGGATTCCTTTATCAACATCTAATAGATAATTTTTCTTTGCAATCATATTTAATAAAACAATTAATAATTCATATACAAAGCCTTTAGCTCGCTTTAGACTAAGCTCTCATAATTTAAATATTGAATAGGGAAGATATAGAAACCTTCCTAGAGAACAAAGATTCTGTAAATTATGTAACTCTAATGATATTGAAGACGAATTTCATTTTATATTAAAGTGTAACTTTTATAACGACTTAAGGCGCGAGTTTATTAAGCCTTTTTATTACAAACGATATATGGTAAATTAATCATAATTAACAACGTCGCAACATCTACGAGTATTTTCTATATCGTAATATCACTGTCACTAACATCAGGTGTAACATCGTATTTATTACACTATGACAGTGTATTTTATTGTTTTTACTGTTCTACTAGAGTGTATTAATTCGTGACATATGTGCGATACAATGTATGTAACTATATTAATCCAGTTATCGTTACCTGTAACGTCATTGAAAGTTATACTATTGTTATGATTTCACTGTATCGGAATCTTACGATGTTGGTGTATTTCAGTGGAAAATACTGTCTCTTATTATATGTCATTTTGAAGTACTGCACGATTAATGACTATTATTGTATACATGTATCATTGTAAATTTGTAATATACTGTACTATTTGTATGGCTACTCTCCGATGTGTGTTACACAAGGAATAAAACAATCTGAAAACATTGCTAGTCAAAAGATTTAATACCTTTTGGATGGAAGTATTTACGGCTTGGGCCTCTTTGCAAGAAAATGTGTCCCCCACAACCCCAGAGAATGTGGTCTCGCAACCAATTTGGTATAATTATTTAATTAAAAGAGGCAATAATTGCTTTCTTTATGAAAACTGGTGTAAAAGATGTATTTTTTTGTTTCTGATTTATTAGAACATAATCAATTCATGTCTTGTGATAATTGTTCTTAAAAGTATAATATTAATGTTAATTTTATAGATTACTATGGAGTTATTGATGCCATACCAAGAAATTTGAAAGACGGTTTGCAAAATATAAATGGTGACATACCTTAAATAACTTATAAATCAATAAACAATCTTAATACACATGATAAAGTTACCAATTATTTCTATCATATTCTTATCCAAACTATCTCTTAAAAACCGGTGAATAGTCAAAGAAAATGGCAAGAAGATCTCCATAGTAATATTAGTGAAGAAGCTTGGGAATCTTTTAACTCGATTCCAAGGGCCATAACTGATGACACAAAACTTATTAACTTTCAGTATAAAATCATACACAGAATCATCTTTGCCAACACAAAATTAATGAGATGCAAATTAGCTGAAACTGAAAGATGCACCTTTTGTGCAAATGAGAGAGAACCTATTAGGCATCTTTTTTGGGAATGCAGTATAGTAAAAAAACATTTTGGTTATGGCTGATAAATACGCTAGAAATAAGTACCAAATTACCTTGCCCAGACACCCAACAACCTTTAATTTTGATGTAATAGAAAAAGAATACAGAGACGAAATTAATTTTGTATTTCTCATTATGAGATACTATATATTTTCATGTAAATTAAAAAATCACAGCTCCTACCATTTTGAAAGGGAAAACATACCTTTACTTTTATAATAAAATAGAAGTTATGGGTCTGTATGCCTATCACAACAAAGGCAAGAAAAAATAAAATGCAAATGGAACTTTATCAATCATTTACTTACTTAATAAGCTGACATTGTTTATATATTTTGGGTAAAGTCTTTAGAGCCATATATTCCTGTCGGATAACTTCACGTCTAAATTTATTCAAAATAGCAATGATCTGTCTTACTTACAGATGTCATGGTACTCTGTACTTGTCTTTAAAAAACGTGAATATATTCGGATAGAAATATACTCTAAATTAATACAAACTTTGTACATACATGAGTAAACAGTTCGACTGACATGTATACCGATTCTGATTGTTATATTGTTACAGAACGAATACATGTATATGAAACAATTGTAATGTTTATGTTATCGTAGTAAAATGTGATTATGAAAAAAGTTGAATAAAAAAAGAAAAATTTGAATAAATATGGAAAGGACAATTGTACAATTTGAATAGGAATAACTTCATAATAAATCCGTTAATATCGTGTAATATACTTAATTTTAACATGTGTAATTACTTGTCCATGTTGTAATGAAAAAAAGAGTGTAGGGACTTGCAGATGATCATTAATGACACAGGTCAATATACATACACAGCAAATACATACACAACAAATGCATAGACAACAAATACATACACAGCACAAATACATACACAGCACAAATACATACACATCAACACCATACACAAGAACACCAAACACAGCAAATTCATACATAACAAATACATACACAACAAATACATACACAGCAAATTCATACATAACAAATACATACACATCAAATACATACACAGCAAATACATACACAGCAAATACATACACAACAAATACATACACAGCAAATACATACACAACAAATACATACACAGCAAATACATACACAGCAAATACATACACAGCAAATACATACACAACAAATACATACACAACAAATACATACACAACAAATACATACACAACAAATACATACACAACAAATACATACACAACAAATCCATACACAACAAATACATACACAGCAAATACATACACAGCAAATACATACACAGTAAATACATACACAGTAAATACATACACAGTAAATACATACACAGCAACACCATACACAGCAAATACATACACAGCAAATACATACACAGCAAATACATACACAGCAACACCATACACAGCAAATACATACACAACAAATACATACACAGCAAATACATACACAACAAATACATACACAACAAATACATACACAACAAATACATACACAGCAAATACATACACAACAAATACATACACAGCAAATACATACACAACAAATACATACACAACAAATACATACACAACAAATACATACACAACAAATACATACACAACAAATACATACACAACAAATACATACACAACAAATACATACACAACAAATACATACACAGCAAATACATACACAGCAAATACATACACAGTAAATACATACACAGTAAATACATACACAGTAAATACATACACAGCAAATACATACACAACAAATACATACACAGCAAATACATACACAACAAATACATACACAACAAATACATACACAACAAATACATACACAACAAATACATACACAACAAATACATACACAACAAATACATACACAGCAAATACATACACAGCAAATACATACACAGTAAATACATACACAGTAAATACATACACAGTAAATACATACACAGTAAATACATACACAGTAAATACATACAAAAGAACATCATACACAGCAAATACATAATCCTGAATATGGGAAGATCAAATTAAGCGAACAGATTCATGTATGTGGACAGAAGATTAAATAGCCACAAATACATTATATATGGTCAGTGTAACTTCTTTACAAACAACCTTAATTTTTTTTAATGTTTTCCTTCCTTCATTCATTCTAAACTGGACTGTGAGAGAAAACAAATCATGCATTTCAATATTTAGTCGATGCCGGCTTTATGAACGAAAAAAAAATGATATGAAAAACTGAACTACTGTGCGATAAACAAGTTTTATACGTCCCTGTCTACGCAAAAGAAATCTAAACAAGAAAAATATAATTTTGAATCTGGAAAAAAATAAGTATGCAATATTATTTTGGAAGATAAAAATCGGTTTCTGTAAATTTGAAAATTGCATTCTGGACAGCCCGAGCCATAGATTTTCCTGTTATACATTTCTTATATACGTATGTCCAAAATATGGGAGTGTTATAAAATTGTCGCCATAGGTAAAGGCACGTCTAATCTAGTAATTCCGTGGTAAAGGTTTTCTGCAACATTATTCCCCCTGCGATATTACGCACAATTTCCGTAATTTCAGTTACGTACCCATGTTCGACTTCCGGCTTTTAGTTTGCACTTGCATTTGTTTACGTTCCGGTCACGATGTGTAGGCAACTGCAAATATAACAACATTCTTAACATCCTAAGCAAGGAAAACATTAGTGAAGAAATCTCAAATTTATTATGAGTAAGTGTGCAATATTACAATATCTAACATATTTTGACATGCAAAATAAGATTTGTTTTCACGATTGCTGTGACATTGATGGCATTGGCCTGTTGCAGGGTGATTTCGAAATAGGCCGGTTTTTTAATCCATTTTCTGTCGGTCTAGCCTTTGTAAAGGCCTACCAATTTTTCACTACCCATGTGTATAAGTAAAATGCTCATTTATATATGAATTTTTAAACAAGAATAATTAAGCCTTTGCTGATATTTTTATCTGGCATCTTTAGCTTTACCAGAAAGTACATTCATCACTGCAGCAATGTATTATTTGTTACATTTTATTTCTGTTCACAATCTTGGTTTTATTGCAATAGTTTATGAGGGGCTGTTGAAATGATTTTTTAACTCGAGAAAGATGTTGTTTCCCATGGCAATGCGCAAAAGACCAAAGGAAAAATAAGATTGCATTTTTTATCTTAGCAGTTTGATAAAACATTGTTTGACTAGGCCCTATATTGACTGATAGAAAAAATTACAATTACTTTAATGAGATGTGTTTGACAGATCTATATGATCAACTGTTTGGGTAATTAGCAAATTCATGTAAAGCAGATGATGGGATAATGTTATAGTAACTACATGTATAATATCATATATGCAGTTGTTTTAAATTATCAGTTTAATCTGTACACAGCACGTACAGTGTACACCACCCTAGTATATTCCTAGCAACACTTCTGCTATCAAATTCCTCGCTGTCACATGAAATATCACAAATAATCTTTCTTTACATGTACCATGTATGTCTGATACTATCATGACCTTCAAATCTCAGCTCTTAATTCTCTAACAATTACTAATATTCTATCTCTGTAGGAGGTTGGTGACACAACTTCTGTCTAAGTTGTTAAGTAGAAATCCAGGTAAGATCAACAATAGTCTTTAACATCCAAGGAGAGATGACAATAAAGCTGGTGCACTTCAATAAAATTCTTACCAAAGAAAGGATTAGCTTGAGTTTCCTATATTAGCTCTGACACCAGACTTTATAAACATTTTGACAGATAGACATCTGGTGTGGCCCACACCAAACATCTATCTGACAAAATGTCTAAGTCTGGTGTCAGGGCTCAAACCAAACATCTATCTGACAAAATTTCTAAGTCTGGTGTCAGGGGCCACCCCAAACAAATATCTGACAAAACATCTAAAGTCTGGTGTCTGGGCTCACACCAAACATATACATCTATCTGACAAAATGTCTAAGTCTGGTGTCAGGGCTCACACCAAACATCTATCTGACAAAATGTCTAAGTCTGGTGTCAGGGCCAGAGGAAACTCGGGCTAAGAAAGGATCAGCTATGTTAATTGTCATCATTTCTTGTATTACCTTAATACTCTACCTGTTGTATATAGTTTTAACTTGTAATGTTTATGTTCTTTTCCCCATGTACATTGCTAGACCTATATAGCTATCTTCCTTGTCAGGTAGGAGGCAATTATTAGAAGAACTTTAGTTAAGTATATTACATTCACACTTCTAAGTTACTGTTGTTAAATGAAACTTTACTGAAATGCTGCTCTCTGATTAGATTAGAAAGTGGCACTCCCAATCCAAACTCCCTTAACGCTACTGTATATTTGTATGAAAATACTATATTATGGTATATATGTCAAAGGGTACATCTGTGATAACTATGATAACATGATAATGTGTACATAAACTTGAGTACATATTGATGCTTTGATAAATGATTATGCCTTCCTTTTTGTGATATGACTAAGTTTCAGTAACATGTCATTTTTACCTGAATTAATGTAAAAGAAAGTAAAAACCAATTTACCTTTTCCAGTTAGTCAATACATTATAAATGTTCCAACTAAAATGGATCTATTGCAATGCTACTGTATCACATGACATGTAATTACATATACATATAACATACTGGTATGTAAAATTTCATAAGTCAGTATATATACTGGTAAATGTTGTATTTATAAAAAATGCTCACTCCAGATAATGGATCTTGCCAATTTCATTTTACAGTCATACATAATATTTTTGAAGTCAAAGATGGTGTACTGTTAACCTCTGATCAATGGCCGCGAAATACTCGCGACTGCCCACCGAGGACAGCGTGAGTCTGGACTTCTCTTCTCCATTTACCTACGGTGTTAGTGACCATTCAACCATGGACAACTCGTACTACACCTACGGAAACACCTCGAAAAACAAATACCGTTCACATTACACATACGATGGGCAAACTGATGATACCAGGGATGCAAGAATACAAGTGGGTAAGTAATTAAACTTTCATGTAGTGATCAACCATCTTAATTAAATGCAAGTCATTTTTGATGCTATGACATTTATTGCTGGGTATCTTAACCCGGATGTGTCAAATACCTAGATTATGTCAAACTTGATTTGATGCAGTGACACTAACAGTAACTCCTACTTATTTACCACTGTATAACACTGCCACTATATAACCTATCAGATTCAATTGTACTTTCCTATCTGGTAGGAATGTCAGGGTCCAATATACCAGGTTATATTTGATTGATGTCATCATTGCTAGGACATAGCCTATTTGTAACATTAGACATTAACCATTGGAAGGTTGCTGGTTTTTTTTACACGTTAAACAAAAGTATACAGTACACTTTAAAAGACATCTTTTTTAGGTCACCTGAGCTTTGCTCAAGTGACCTATTCCAATCGCTTTTCGTCCGTCGTGCGTCGTGCGTAAACTTTTACATTTTCAACTTCTTCTCAAGAACCAGTGGATGGATTTTTTTCAAACTTGGTCAGAATCATCCTTGGTAGATGAGGCTTCAAAATTGTAAAATTGGGATTCCTACCCCCACCCCTGGGGCCAGGGCGGGGCCCCAAAGGGAAAATTATCCAATATTTCAAAAATCTTCTTCTCCAGACTCAGAGGTACTACAGTGATTTTCTCTACGTGGAAAGAAAGATCATCAGGGGCTTTACTTAAATTGTAAATTTCAGGACCCCCGAGCTATCCGTTCTCCCTTGGGGAGGGGGTAAAGTTTACTATAGTTTATATAGGGAAATAACACTTTTGGGTATATTTTGACAACTTTCTGTAGGAAATTATTTTTACTTGGTGAGAATTATCCTTGGAGGTAGATGGTTTCAAATTGTAAAATTGAGATTCCTACCCCGACCCCTGGGGCCAGGGCGGGGCCCCAAAGGGAAAATTAATCAATATTTCAAAAATCTTCTTCTCCAGACTCAGAGGTACTACAGTGATTTTCTCTACGTGGAAAGAAAGATCATCAGGGGCTTTACTTAAATTGTAAATTTCAGGACCCCCGAGCTATCCGTTCTCCCTTGGGGAGGGGGTAAAGTTTACTATAGTTTATATAGGGAAATAACACTTTTGGGTATATTTTGACAACTTTCTGTAGGAAATTATTTTTACTTGGTGAGAATTATCCTTGGAGGTAGATGGTTTCAAATTGTAAAATTGAGATTCCTACCCCGACCCCTGGGGCCAGGGCGGGGCCCCAAAGGGAAAATTAATCAATATTTCAAAAATCTTCTTCTCCAGACTCAGAGGTACTACAGTGATTTTCTCTACGTGGAAAGAAAGATCATCAGGGGCTTTACTTAAATTGTAAATTTCAGGACCCCCGAGCTATCCGTTCTCCCTTGGGGAGGGGGTAAAGTTTACTATAGTTTATATAGGGAAATAACACTTTTGGGTATATTTTGACAACTTTCTGTAGGAAATTATTTTTACTTGGTGAGAATTATCCTTGGAGGTAGATGGTTTCAAATTGTAAAATTGAGATTCCTACCCCGACCCCTGGGGCCAGGGCGGGGCCCCAAAGGGAAAATTAATCAATATTTCAAAAATCTTCTTCTCCAGACTCAGAGGTACTACAGTGATTTTCTCTACGTGGAAAGAAAGATCATCAGGGGCTTTACTTAAATTGTAAATTTCAGGACCCCCGAGCTATCCGTTCTCCCTTGGGGAGGGGGTAAAGTTTACTATAGTTTATATAGGGAAATAACACTTTTGGGTATATTTTGACAACTTTCTGTAGGAAATTATTTTTACTTGGTGAGAATTATCCTTGGAGGTAGATGGTTTCAAATTGTAAAATTGAGATTCCTACCCCGACCCCTGGGGCCAGGGCGGGGCCCCAAAGGGAAAATTAATCAATATTTCAAAAATCTTCTTCTCCAGACTCAGAGGTACTACAGTGATTTTCTCTACGTGGAAAGAAAGATCATCAGGGGCTTTACTTAAATTGTAAATTTCAGGACCCCCGAGCTATCCGTTCTCCCTTGGGGAGGGGGTAAAGTTTACTATAGTTTATATAGGGAAATAACACTTTTGGGTATATTTTGACAACTTTCTGTAGGAAATTATTTTTACTTGGTGAGAATTATCCTTGGAGGTAGATGGTTTCAAATTGTAAAATTGAGATTCCTACCCCGACCCCTGGGGCCAGGGCGGGGCCCCAAAGGGAAAATTAATCAATATTTCAAAAATCTTCTTCTCCAGACTCAGAGGTACTACAGTGATTTTCTCTACGTGGAAAGAAAGATCATCAGGGGCTTTACTTAAATTGTAAATTTCAGGACCCCCGAGCTATCCGTTCTCCCTTGGGGAGGGGGTAAAGTTTACTATAGTTTATATAGGGAAATAACACTTTTGGGTATATTTTGACAACTTTCTGTAGGAAATTATTTTTACTTGGTGAGAATTATCCTTGGAGGTAGATGGTTTCAAATTGTAAAATTGAGATTCCTACCCCGACCCCTGGGGCCAGGGCGGGGCCCCAAAGGGAAAATTAATCAATATTTCAAAAATCTTCTTCTCCAGACTCAGAGGTACTACAGTGATTTTCTTTACGTGGAAAGAAAGATCATCAGGGGCTTTATTTAAATTGAAAATATCAGGACCCCGAGCTATCCGTTCTCCCTTGGGGAGGGGTTAACGTTTAATATAGTTTATATAGGGAAATAACACTTTTCGGTATATATTTTATATATTTTCAGCAGAAAATTGCTCAAACTTAGTCAGAATCATCTTGGGTAAATGAGAGTTTTACTTTGTAAAATTAGGATTCCTGCCCCATCCCCAGGGGCTAGAGCGGGGCCCCAAAGGAAACATTTACCAATATTTTCAAATTCTTATCCATTGATGACATGACAAGTATTGAATTTCACTTAGTATACATGCTGATTTCCACATCACATCTAAACAATAAAATAAAGCTACCAGTATCTATGATATAACTCAGGTGACCGCTAAGGCCCTTGGGCCTCTTGTCTTAAATTGAAAAGACGTTATTGATCACTGCTGTTTGTGTTAGATTCAGATAATTTATATTCATATTTTGTTTATTTTCTGAAAATAGCATTTTTAATATGTAATATATATATATACTTTTAAATCACTAAATACTGATATCTCCAAAAAAATGTTTCATTAAGATGAACACTGTGAAGAGGGATAACTCTTGTATAAATTTATTATTTGTTTTTGTGCATATTTGAATTTCGTTTATTTTTTTTGATGAATTTACACCTTCCTATGATGTTTTTAGTTGAAGTTATATTTCATTTTGAGGTTAAGCAATTTTAACAAACCTTTCATATTTTCAGATTTTTGATCAGAAATTGGTGTAAAATCATTATCATTCCTATGTATATGAAGTGTTAAAAGATTCCTTAAAACTTGTGTATTTCTGTATAGTTTTCTCTTCAGTCCTACTTTTTGGTCACATTACCATTTTCAGACACTAACAAAATGTATATCTGTATCATAATATTTAAACAAATATTTTTGGAGTGATCCAATAAAAAGAAGGTTAAATTCTGTCTGGGTTATCCTGTTCAACAAGAAGATACTTATCATGAGTTCACAAGATTAAAATAAACATTGTCCATTATTATGAAAACTGTTCCTACTCTAAACAAACCTGTGTATGTCTATTAATGTATATTTTTTATATATTTTTTTGTTTTGCAGAGAAACGGTCACTGATGTCAAATGTCTGTCATTATTTCGTGATTGCCCTGAGTTTCCTACTATTAATCATCACCTTTCCTATTTCGGGATGGTTCTCTTTCAAGGTCAGTACATCCTTTATTTAAATATATTTTCATAAGAAGCTCTACTAGTATGTAATATACTGTACATCATTCCCTTGTTACGTTACCGCCATTTGTCCCACTCAGATTTTGATGGTAACTGGGTGTGACTGTTTAACATGTGAGGAGAGGGAAGCCTTAACGACTCTTCAGAAACATATGCTAGATGACTTGTCAAATGAGAAAACCAAAAGTTGAAAAATCAGTTTGGGAAGGGTTACCTGTGTAGGTAGGGGTTACCTGTGTGGATATGGTTACATGTGTGGGTATGGGTAAGGTTACCTGTGTAGGGTAGGGTTACCTGTATAGGGTAGTGTTACCTGTGTGGGTGTGGGTAAGGTTACCTGTGTAGGGTAGGGTTACCTGTGTGGGTGTGGTTAGGGTTACCTGTGTGGTTAGGGTTACATGTGTGGCTAGGGTTACCTGTGTGGGTAGGGTTACTTGTGTGGGTGTGTGTAGGGTTACTTGTGTGGGTGTGTGTAGGGTTACCTGTGTAGGGTAGGGTTAGGGTTACCTGTGTGGGTATGGGAAGGGTTACCTGTGTAGGGTAGGGTTACCTGTGTGGGTGTGGGTATGGTTACCTGTGTGGGTTGGGGTTACCTGTGTGGGTAGGGTTATCTGTGTGGGTAGGGTTACATGTGTGGGTAGGGCTACATGTGTGGGTGTGGTTAGGGTAACTTGTGTGGGAAGGGTTACCTGTATAGGTAGGGGTTACCTGTGTAGGTAGGGGTTACCTGTGTGGATAGGGTTACCTGTGTGGGTGTGGTTAGGGTTACCTGTGTGGGTGTGGTTAGGGTTACCTGTGTGGGTGTGGGTAGGGTTTCTTGTGTGGGAAGGGTTACCTATGTGGGTAGGGGTTACCTGTGTGGGTAGGGTTACATGTGTTGGTGTGGTTAGGGTTACTTGTGTGGGTGTGGTTAGGGTTACCTTTTTGGGTGTGGGTAGGGTTACCTTAGAAAGAATTTATGTTTTATTAGGCCTCATGTAGTGAGACATGATACCTGCGGGTGATAATTATATAAAAGTAAGCTTATCTATTGCCAGCTGTCACTGGGACTAGAATTTCAATAAATAACCCACAGTGTATGGCCTTGTATTATACAACATTTGTAGTGGTTAGGTGATGGATGCTGTTGTTAAAAAAGAATTGTTGTTAACAAAATTATAAATTAACAATCCTTTGATTATTCTGTTGACAGAAAGTGACAGAATTTGAGCGAATGGTAGTGTTAAGACTTGGACGTCTATATGGAGTCAAAGGACCAGGTAATGTACATGAAAACTTTCAACTTCAAGATTTAAAATACTGTAAGTTGTGTTATGTTGGGTTATCTAGAGTCAAGTCCAAATGTAACCAGATATAGATTGATGCCTCAATCACTGTTAAAAAAAATAGAATTATATTTTATTCATAGAAAGGTTGCTGTTGTGAAAATTTGCTGCAAAGATACAGGAACCACAGGAGATAAGGGGAGATAAATCTTTGTTTTCTCATACATCAGCCATGTGTCTTTCTCAAATTCCTTTGTCGACTTTTTGTTTCAATGATTAATTGATGTGATTCATTCCATGTCTTGTATTGGAAGGATATGACAGTCACTCTCATGATAAAGCATGCAGTCAGTCAACCTAAATCCAAATTATTGTTACATCTGTGGCTGTAATGGGACATGAACTCCTTATAGTTGTTGTGAGAAGGAATTCTGACTTTTGAATCAAGATTCCAGATAATTTGAACTAAATCATGTTATGAGGCCATGAGTCTCAATATCTCTCTTATACTTTTTTTAGGAACGGCATTTGTGCTGCCCCTTGTAGACCAGGTTGTGAAGGTAGACATCCGTGTGAAAGCTTTCAACGTCCCTCCTCAACAGGTGATTACTCTGTATTACCGTCCTTGTAGTTGATAACGGCTGACTTGATCATTATTGAAATAGAAGATTAAGTGTGTTAATATCTATGTATTTGACAATTCATCTGCGACAATACACCAGAGGTGGTATGCAGATTATTGGAAGAAAAAGACAGTCACCGACAAAGCCATCATTGGGATGGGAAATAACTCTGTGTTACTGTCCTTGAAATGAAGAGCTTTCGACTTTCCATCACTACTTGGTTAATGTCCATGTACTTGACAGTCACTGAGTGAGAAACAATTAAGATGGGAGATAACCTTGTGTCACTGTTGTGAAGTTGAAAATTACTGACCAACCTATCAACGAGATGGAGATAATTATATATTTCTGTCATTGTAGTTGATAACTGCTGACTAAGCCATCATTTAGATGGGAGATAACTCTAGGCTTCTGTCATTGTAGTTGATAACCGCTGACCAAGCTATCAATGAGATGGGAGATAACTCTATGATTCTGTCATTGTAGTTGATAACCGCTGACTAAGCTATCAATGAGATGGGAGATAACTCTATGTTTATGTCATTGTAGTTGATAACCGCTGACTAAGCCATCATTGAGATGGGAGATAACTCTATGTTTCTGTCATTGTAGTTGATAACCGCTGACCGGGCCATCATTGAGGTAGGAGCGGATGTCCAGTATCAGATCATTGATGTGACTAAATCAATTACTTGTATAGAGAATCCCATTCACTGTCTGAGGGGGCTGGTCAAGGCCTCGCTCACAAATCATCTGCTGCGCAAGGAGAGTGCGGTCATTGAGAAACAAAAGTTACTGATCATTGCCAGTATTGAGGTTAGTCTATGGAGTACTAAACAGAATATAAACCTACCTTTTCTAAAGATTTTCCATCTGCTGATCTAGATAATATCTTTTATATGTATTTACAGCTATAGATTTGTATTAATGCCGGTATAGATGTCAGTAACATAGCTTTATCTATCAGGAAGTTATATTGTCAAATTATTTCTTAGATAATTCAGAATTGTAGTTTAAACATAACTATAATGTAAATCGTTGTTTATGCCATATCCAGTATTACTTAGTACTATAAGATTCTAACCTAATAAGGAGGTGGAGAAAGAGAATGTAAGTCAGACCCAAACAAAGTATTTAGATTGATGAAGAACTGAAATTCTTAATTAGCTACAGAGAAAAGGCTCCATTGTAAGTTGTATTGTTCAGTGTTCTACTGTTCTATATACTGCAGAGTACTTCATATCAGCATGCTAATTACACTCTTTAACTTATAAATTTAGTACAATGTTTTCTAAAGAACGGAAGAAGTAAAATATGCTCATCACTTGTTGATTTAAATTTGCAGGAGGACAGTAACAGAACAGCCAGTAACTGGGGACTGGAGATTACCAGAATACAACTGTGAGTACATTGTACTGTAGGAACATTGTCCTGTAAGTACATTTACTATGGGTAACTTGTACTGTAGGTACATTGTACTGTAGGTACATTAACTATGGGTACATTGTACTGTAAGTACATTGTACTGTTAGTACATAGTAATGTAAGTACATTAGCTATGGGTACATTTTAATGTAAGTACATTAACTATTGGTACATTGTACTGTAATTACATTGTACTGTACGTACATTGTACTGTTAGTACATTGTACTGTAAGTAAATTAACTATGGGTACATTTTAATGTAAGTACATTAACTATTGGTACATTTATTCTGTAAGTTCATTAACTATGGGTACATTGTACTTACAGTACATTAACTATCGGTACAGTGTACTGTAGGTACATTGTACTGTAAGTACATTAACTATGGGTACATTTATTCTGTAAGTTCATTTACTATGGGTACATTGTACTTACAGTACATTAACTATCGGTACAGTGTACTTTAGGTACATTGTACTGTATGTATATTGTACTGTAATTACATTAACTATTGGTACATTGTACTGTAATTACATTCACTATGGGTACATTGTACTGTAAGTACATTAACTTTGGGTACATTGTACTGTATGTTGTTCACTTTGGGTACATTGTACTGTACACTGTACAAATCAACAAACCTCTAAATATAAGGTGAAAAAGTCATGGTTGATATTCCAACACGTATGGTATTCAAATTAAAAAAGGAGAAATTCTGGCAGATACTGGGCCATGATTTTCTCTGTTACATCACAGGAGCCTTAAATTATGTCAAAAATTAATAATAATAGTTATGCAAAGAAAACTTATAGGTAATAGCATATTATATGTTTTCAGCTCACTTGCCCTTTGGGCAAGTGATCTTATGTCATGGTGCCGTGTCCGTCCGTCAATTTTTCCTTTAAACAACTTCTTCTGAAGAATGAACATGCATAGAGTCATCATATTTGGCTGGTGACTTCCTGGGAAAGATACAGACAAAGTTTGAGAATGAAAATGACCTCAACATACTTTCAAGGTCACAGGGGTCAAATATGTCAAACGCTTCAAACAACTTCTTCTGAAGAACTGAAAGGTATAAAATCTTCATATTTGGCTGATAGCTTCTTTTGGTAGAGCCTGACAAATTTTGAAAACGAAAATGACCTTGACCTACTTCCAAGGTCACAGGGGTCAAATATGTCAAACACATCAAACGACTGCTTCTAAATGATTGACAGGCCTAGAGTCATGATATTTGGCTGAAAGCTAAATTTGTAAGAGCCTGACAAAGTTTGAGAATAAAAATGACCTTGATAATCTTGCAAGGTCACAGGGGTCAAATGTGTCAAACCCTTTTAACGACTTCTTCTGAAGAACTGAAAGTTATAGAATCTTAATATTTGAAGTTTGCGAATAAAAATGACCATGACCTACTTTCAAGGTCAGAGGGGTCAAATATGTCAAAAACATCAAATGACTTATTCTGAATGAAGGAAAGATATAGAATCATAATATTCGGCTGGTGGCTTTTTGGGATAGAGCTCATCAAAGTATGCAAATGAAAATGACTTCAACCTACTTTAAATGTCACAGAGGTCAACACACACTTCAAAAGACTTGTTCTGAAGACCTAAAATGCATGGATTCATATGATTCAACTGGTAGCCGCTTGGGATAGAGCCAACAAAGTTTGAGAAGGAAAATAACCTCAAACTACTTACAAGGTTACAGGGACAAATATGTCAAACAACTTCTTTTGAAGAACCAAACAGCATAGAATCATATAATAATATTTGGCTGGTAGCTTCAACGGATTGAGCCGACAAAGTTTGTGATTGAAATATTTGTAGTACAGTATAATATTTAATGAGAATAATTTGCTATGACTGCTTAAATATCCAGGTGAGCGTTACAGGCCCTCTGGGCCTCTTGTGCTTTGTATTACTGTTAAAATAAGTTTGCATATTATACTTTTGTTTTTTGTATTACTGTTATTATCAACCCCCTGCCCCACCCTACCAACAACAAAGTAAAGGAAGTATATAGCATCCCTCAGCCCCACCCAAACAATATCAAAGTAAAGGAAGTAAATAGCATCCCCCGGCCCCACCCAAACAATAACAAAGTGAAGGAAGTAAATAGCATCCCCCGGCCCCGCCCTACCAACAACAAAGTAATGGAAGTATATAGCATCCCCCCACCCCACCCTACCAACAACAAAGTAAAGGAAGTATATAGCATCCCCCGACCCCACCCTGCCAACAACAAAGTAAAGGAAGTATATAGCATCCCCCCACCCCACCCTACCAACAACAAAGTAAAGGAAGTATATAGCATCCCCCGGCCCCACCCCAACAATAAAACAAAGTAAAGGAAGTAAATTGCATCCCTCAGAATTAAACAAGGAGTCAATTGACCAATGGTCAAGGTTACTGGGTCAAAGGTCACAGTCAAATTTTGTATCTTTTCCCTGATGAACATTTTGTTATAACTTTAAGAAGCAAAGTTGGTCGGAATTTAATAAAGAGTCAATGGACTTAAGGTCAAGGTCACTTGGTCTAAGGTCAAGGTAAAATTTAGTATTTTTTGCTGATGAACATTTCATTATGACACTTTGAAGCAATGTTTGTGGGAATTAAACAAGGAGTCATTTGAACAAAGTGCAAGGTCACTGGGTCAAAGGTCAAGGTCAAATTTTGTATCTTTTCACTGGTGAACTTTTTGTTATGATATTATGAAGCAAAGTTGGTCGGAATTAAAGAATAAGTCAACTGACCAAAGATCAGGGTCACTGGGTTAATGGTCAAGGTAATTTGGGTCCAAAGGTCAAAGACAAAGTGGATCTCTGACTTTGACCCTGACTCTTGATGGAGGAGGTATATAAGGTGAAATAAAACAAATCAAAATATGAAGGTGGAAGGAAACAAGACTCTTATCATAGTACATGTAAAATGTATATTTTGCTTCCTTGCGATTCTTTTTGAAGTCCAAATGTCAAACGTCAAGCTCAGCTATATGGACAGATTGCTTCTTGATGATTATGGGGGATATATTCCCACAAGACGGTGCCCTTACTGACCTGTCAGTGTTCTTCTAGTTCCTTAGGCAGTTCCTTCATTCTTATTGGTCGTTGCTTTCCCGGAATTTCTTTTTTGACTTTGATTGATGTTTGTTTGATTCCACTGCAAAGCCCAAGCATAAGATGTTACCAGGTAATAAGGCATTTGTGATATCATGTTTTGAAACTTTTGTTACTTCTAAATAGAGCTATACATGAAATTATTGTTTCAGGCCACCCATCAAGCTACTGAAGCCTCCCGAGGCAGCCCCTAAGGGCGGGGCCCCCAACTTTATGATGCCCCCCGGACTCCCTCAGACATTCCAACAACTAACCTCGGTGTTCATGCAGGCAGCTGAAGGTGAGAGGACCATCCACTGTTCTAATGTACTTGGCAGATTTATTTGTCTATTTGGTCAATTGACTTGTGTAAAATGAAAGTGTACTGTTGTGTTTTGTAAATTTTTGTATTAGGTTTACAAATAATTCAGTAATGTTATTAAAAATTTGATTTGGTTCCAAGGATAAAGAAAAATGGAGGTAACGGTTGAGAAAAGTTTGATTGTTTATTTCAAATAAGAATGTTTGCTCTGCATTTATGGCTGTAGTTGGTGGCATTTCGACACTTAGACCTATAACTACTTGAATCAATTTCTCCACTAAACATGTTTGACTTGACCAAGATTACTTTATGTGTTGGTCTGATTTTGATGTTGCCTTTTCAAATGATGCCCAAGATTTTAATGAAATTGGTGAGAAATCTTGTAAATCTGCATTATATGCATTTCTGTCAGTTTTAGAGAGAACCCCTCTCAGTCTCTAAAAGGCCCAAAATATATTATAAGACTGTTAAGTTTTGTTATTTAATATGAAGTTGATATTTTAAAGGCTGAATTTGTTTCTATGTTACTGTGCTAATGAACCACACCTGTTGTTTTGTCAGCCAATCAGAGCCATGGAGCTGAAGGTCAGACTGTTGACATGGCACAGCCAGAGGTCGTCACTATAGTACCCTCCGAGGATGGAGCTGTGGGGAGCAGTGACATATTGTCAGAACAAGCTCCTACCCCGCGAGAAATTCTCCTCCAGACCAACAGTCTCCTCACTGAGGCTATGGTCAGGAGTGTCAGGGCCGTGTACCAGTTTAAGCTCAGTGGAGAAAATGGTGGCTCGTTTTACCTGGATCTGAAAAATGGTACCTTGTTCTTAAATCAATTGTACAGTTCCTATTACCTGGGGGTAAAACTGATAATGCTCAATTAGGATTTCACATCGAAATGCAATGGTGTCCCAATAGTTGTAAAAGTTAATTTGTTTTTAGTTGTGGTATAAAATCCTTTTTAGTTAATTTTGAAAATAAAAAAAGTGTTGATTAATTTTGGAAACTAAAGTGTGTAAACTAATGCATATGATGTTCCATGAATTCTGTTGTATTCCTGGTCAATTTACAGAACAGTGAAATCTTGTTTAGAATAGAATAATATTCTGATAACATAGATTCAGTTAATGGATGTTTTATACAGAAAGATTCAATATGTTGTTTTATAAATGATACTTTCCATGGTGTATTATTCACAGGTAACACTGTATCAGTGAAAATTTATTATGCCCAACCTATGTAATCTAAAAACAATTCAGGTAATTCATTGTACATAGTTCAAACTAAAATCCTTAATATTGACATTCGGGTAGCATTAAAGGTAAGATTCCTTTTATAGTTTCCAAACTACCTGTAGTAGGTTGTATTAAAAGAGGTTAGGAAATTCTAAAAAAAGTCAAACACACATAAATTTCCAAATGTCATTCAAACTTGATTTGGCATTTACTCATTACAAATTTGTGTTAATTTTTGCAGGAAGTGGTCACGCTGGTGAGGGAGCGCCCCCTGGTGGTGATGCTGATGCTGTTTTGTCGCTTTCTGTGAACGATATGCAGCGCATGTTTATGGACAAATTCAAACCAATGCAGGCCTATATGAGTGGACGATTAAAAGTGTCGGGGGATTTATCAGCTGCTCTGAAGCTGGAGGATGTTATAAAACAAATTGTCAAAAAGATGAAAGGTACACAATCCGGAGTCCAAATCGTTTAATGAACAAAATATTATAAAAAATGGCCATATAGCATACTTATTACATGCATAATGTTCAAATACTTTTTTTTTTGATATTCAAAATTATACTTATATAAACGAATCATTATCTCCTAGGTGTCAAATACTTTGCAATATTTACACTCAATCAATAGCCTAAGGTCCTGCAAACTGGAGTTCTCATCTCATAACATGGCCATAGAACGTGACAGGTTTCTGTGATGTTGACGACAAAACAAGTGGGCGGGGCGCTATGCAAATTTTCTACAAATGAGACACAATTATGTGATGTCAACAACAGTAGATCTGGGCGGAGTTAACCAAGGCGTATGCAAATTTCAGGCTGTTATTTTTATTGAACTGATCACACTTTAATAAATATTTAAAATGAAATTTGTGTCCCCTGATTCAACTAATGAATAAAACAGTTCACAGAAGTAGTGTAAATACAAAGGAAAGTGTTCTATTTTGGTCAGGTTATGATCCTGAGTAGGTGATAACTGGAGTTGAGCACGAGTATATTTATCACAGATGACTTTGCCATCTACTCAACTTACACATGCTTAACTGGAACACCTCATAACTTGACACAAATATAAAGCTATGCCTTAAATATATTTATTTTTGTTCTCAGCAGAGAGAAAAAAAGTCATCATATAAAATTTACGATGGTGTAATGAACACAACAGCATATTGTAAATACACATATCTGTAGTAAGTAAAGGTACTTGCTAAATCTCCCCACCTTGGAAGGAGATACTTTTAAACTCTCAGATTTTACTTTTGAAATCAGCAGAATTGTCTACATCTCATTCTTTGTACAAATTAATTTAATTCATCGCAGAAAACAGTCTTGAACTATTTTTTCGTCAAATAAGTACTTATTAGATATCTAAATTTTGTCATGCTGTTCTTCCTCTGTAAATACTTTTAGAAATGTCAGCAAGTAATGTACATACTTACATGGTACATTAGATAATATATATTTGTAATATGTATATGCAAATTATTTTGAAAAAAATGTAAGAAAAGAATTGTGAATGACTGCTATGTTTGGTGTAACATGTAATAAGTGTGTTTTAAGTATCAGTCTATGTCCAAAGTGTGAGATACTTGGTACACCTAAATAATATATAATATGCTGTCACTCTTCACTGACCTAGTTTGTTAGTATACATTCTGCTTTATATCAGTACAATGATAAGAGGTAGATAGCAAAGATGGTGTATTTTCTAGATTTCTTGTTGTGTAAGGAGCTCTCTATAGTTCTTGTTTTGTCCATAAGTGATAGGATTTGCCTACTTCATAGAAATGCACAGTTTTAATATACAATGTACATGTAGATTACATTTAGATAGGGTCCTTTATCTATGTTGTTAATCGTTTGTGCTTAATTCACATCCTGGATACTTCAGGGGTTACGCTCACTTATCATATATTCTCGGCACTCCTGGAATATGTCATAGCAAATTGAAGGCATGTGGCTAGCTATTTGATTGGTCTCACGTAAAATAAAACTGACCAATCACTACGCTGATACCTATCCTTTGAAGATAACAGAGGAGCGACGATCAACTTAAAAGCCAGTCAATTTTACCGTGGTGTGACCGCAAGAATTCTTTTAGTGTACATTACAGGATCAAACTAATCTTCTTGTCTCATCCACAAGGTAGTGCACACTGAGCTGTTAGTTTTGTCATGACTTATTCCAGGAGTGCAGTGAGCGTAACCCCTGGAGTATCAAGGATGCTTAATTCGTAGATAACTTATACCCTTAATCAGTCAGTTTTAGAAATCCTATCTATTTGATAAATTTTACTGTTGTTTTGAAGTCTTATTATTATACAATGTACATGTGATACATATTTCTTTGTTTAAATACATATGTGATTGCTTGCATTAATTTTTTTTTGTGTTAACCATTTCTTTATATGTTACTTATTCTATTGTAACCACTTTTCTTTTTAGTGTCATTTATCTAATATGTACATCAATTTGTTGTGAAATAAGATTGAATGATGAAATACAGCATTTGTTAAAACACACAAAAGCATTTTTTTTCTTTTTTGACATAAACTTATAAGATCAGACTCCTGGATCTGGAAGCAAATCAATCTTGATGGAAGTCCAAATTTGAAGGTTGTCCAATTTGTTCAATATGACTTAAAAATGCAATTTTCTTACATATATGTAGACATGTAAGAAATTATTATTTACATACATGTAGATATGTAAGAAGTTATTATTTACATACATGTAGATATGTAAGAAGTTATTATTTACATACATGTAGATATGTAAGAAGTTATTATTTACATACATGTAGATATGTAAGAAGTTATTATTTACATACATGTAGATATGTAAGAAGTTATTATTTACATACATGTAGATATGTAAGAAGTTATTATTTACATACATGTAGATATGTAAGAAGTTATTATTTACATACATGTAGATATGTAAGAAGTTATTATTTACATACATGTAGATATGTAAGAAGTTATTATTTACATACATGTAGATATGTAAGAAGTTATTATTTACATACATGTAGATATGTAAGAAGTTATTATTTACATACATGTAGATATGTAAGAAGTTATTATTTACATACATGTAGATATGTAAGAAGTTATTATTTACATACATGTAGATATGTAAGAAGTTATTATTTACATACATGTAGATATGTAAGAAGTTATTATTTACATACATGTAGATATGTAAGAAGTTATTATTTACATACATGTTACCTGTAGACATGTAAGAAGTTATTATTTCACTTAACTCTAACTGATACTCCAAAGAAGGTATTGTACTACTTTGAAAACTGAAATTTGGATTTGATTCTGTTTTATGAAAAGGGCAATAACTCTGTTAAAAGTGAACTGTAAGTTTTGAAAAACAAGATGCCCAGAGTTCCTGTATTATTCATCTGGATAATATGGCAACCATGGAAATTTATTCTTATTACACATAATACTGCAACTATTTCCAAATATTTGTCTGTCTGTCGGCCTCTCATTAGGTCCCTTCTTTCTGCCCCCATAAATTGCGGTGGGTTTTAAACATTAAGATAAAATTCCCCTATTGGGCCCACCCCTCTGCCCCCTAAGAGCAACGCACTATTTATACAAAACCGAGTCCCCTTTGCCCAAGGATGCTTTACACAAAATTTGGTTAAAATCCCTCTACATAATTATTACTATATGTCCTCCCTACTGACCCCTTCCCCTTTGCTCCCAGGGTGACAGCATTCTCTGTTAAAACAAATTGAGTCCCCCTTGTCAAATGATGCTCCTGACCTTTAGTTAATATAACTCAAATCATAACGTAGGAGAATGATTTTTATGCCTTGGCGCGGCGTCCGTCGCCCGTCAACTTTTCCTAAATATCGCTACTAAAATCCTTCTTCTTCTGTAGGAATGAAAGGATTTGTTCCATATTTAGTCTGAATTTACCCTATTGCCCCCCTCTGCACCCCCCCCAAAAGCCACACCCTCTCTTTATACAAAATTTAGTCCCCTTTGCCCAAGGATGCTCCAGGCAAAATTTGGATAAAATCCCTCCAATGGTACAAAGAAGAAGGATTTTAAAGATTCAAACCTCAAATTCTCCTACTTGGCCCTCCCTGCCCCTATGTACTCAGAGGGGCCACACCCTCCATTTATACAAAATTTAGTTCCCTTTGCCCAAGGATGCTCCAGCCAAAATTTAGTCAAAATCCATGAAGCTGTTCAGAGCTAGTAGCGTTTTAAAGGAAAAGTTGATGGACAGATGACAGACACCGCTGTACAGCATAAGCTCACTAAGGTCATTCTTATATCCTCTTTCATTTTTGTCTGCTGGAGTTGCAGAATGGATGATAAGGATGGGTTTTTAGGTCACCTGAGCTTTAGCTAAAGTGACCTATTGCTATCCGTCTTCGTCCGTCGTCATCCGTCGTCCGTTAACATTTTACATTTCAAACTTAAAGTCAAGTTCTGCTGGGTCGATTGAACTGAAAGTTGGTAGTAATGATCGACTCATAGTCCTGACAAAGTGTTGTTATTTTTCGGGTCGATCAGAAATCCAATATGGCCGCCACGGCCGCCATTTTGAAAAACTATTTCAAACTTAAAGTCAAGTTCTGCTGGGCAGATTGAACTGAAAGTTGGTAGGAATGATCGACTCATGGTCCTGACAAAGTGTTTTTATTTTTCGGGTCGATCAGAAATCCAATATGGCCGCCACGGCCGCCATTTTGAAAAACTATTTCAAACTCAGTCAAGTTCTGCTGGGTCGATTGAACTGAAAGTTGGTAGGAATGATCGACTCATGGTCCTGACAAAGTGTTGTTATTTTTCGGGTCAATCAGAAATACAATTTGGCCACCACGACCACCATTTTGAAAAACTATTTCAAACTTGAAGTCAAGTTCTGCTAGGCCGATTGAACTGAAACTTTGTAGGAATGATCGATTCATGGTCCTGACAAAGTGTTGTTATTTTTTCGGGTCGATCAGAAATCCAATATGGCCGCCGTGGTCGCCATTTTGAAAAACTATTTCAAACTTAAAGTAAAGTTCTACTTGGCCAATTGAACTGAAACTTTGTAGGAATGATCGAATCATGGTCCTGACAAAGTGTTGTTATTTTTCGGGTCAATCAGAAATACAATTTGGCTGCCATTATACTTAACTATTTTTTACTCAAATTGGTACATATTTCAACAACAAAAATAAATACTGTAGGACTCAGGTGACAGTTAAGTCCCATGGGCCTCTTGTTTATCACAATCTTTGCCTGATCCCTTTTACCTGGACTGGCTCCATCATTTTATCGAGGATGTTATGGAACTGCTGAGGGAGTCAGTCTGCAGGGATGTTTAGTTTTGGGGACTAACATATAGCTAATTGAGGAGTAACACCCTTGACAGCAAAGTCAAGGCAGTAGCAGGGATATAGTTAATTTAGTTGATTTTGATATAAAATAAAGATGATAGAGTAAGAACAGCGAGTCGGGATGGGACAGACATTGGTAACACTGTATGTCTCCCTCTCAGGCATCAAGATATCCTTTATCTTACATTATCAAGATATTACATTATCAAGATATTCTTTATCTTACATTATCAAGATATTCTTTATCTTATCTTATCAAGATATTCTTCTTCTTATATTATCAAGATACTATTAATCTTATAAGGTCACCTGAGCTTTAGCTCAAGTGACCTATTGCTATCCGTCTTTGTCTGTCGTCATCCGTCGTCCATCGCCCGTCGTCCGTTAACATTTTACATTTTCAACTTAAGCTGAAATACTGGCAAAGGGATTTCATTAATATTTCATGGGAAGGTTACTGACATCTCCCTGAAAAAGTGTTGTTATTTTTCGGGTCGATCAGAAATGCAATATGGCCACCACCGCCGCCATTTTGAAAAACTATTTCAAACTTAAAGTGTAGTTCTACTGTGCCGATTGAACTGAAACTTTGTAGGAATGATCGACTCATGGTCCTGACAAAGAGTTGTTATTATTTGGGTCGATCAGAAATCCAATATGTCCGCCACGGCCACCATTTTGAAAAACTATTTCGAACTTAAAGTCAAGTTCTACTGGGCCGATTGAACTGAAACTTTGTAGGAATGATCGACTCATGGTCCTGACAAAGTGTTGTTATTTTTCGGGTCGATCAGAAATCCAATATGGCCGCCACGGCCGCCATTTTGAAAACCTATTTCAAACTTTAAAACAAGTTCTAATAGGTCGCTTTAACTGAAACTCGGTCTAGGAATGATCAGCTCATGGTCCTGACAAACTAAAGTTAACGTTATTCTTAACTATTATGTTCTCAAATTGGTACATATTTCAACAACAAAAATAAATACTGTAGTACTCAGGTGACCTTTCAGGCCCATGGGCCTCTTGTATTATCAAGATAATCTTAATTTTGTATTACCAACATATTCTTTATCTTACATTATTAAGATATCCTTTATCTTACATTATCAATTCTTTATCTTACATTATCAAGATATTCTCTATCTTACATTATCAAGATATTCTTTATTTTGTATTATCAAGATATTCTCTGTCTTACATTATCAAGATATTCTTTATCTTGTATTATCAAGATATTCTTAATCTTATATTATCAAGATACTCTTTATCTTATATTATCAAGATATCCTCTATCTTATATTATCAAGATATTCTTTATTTTGTATTATCAAGATATTCTTTATCTTGTATTATCAAGATATTCTTTATCTTACATTATCAAGATATCCTTTATCTTACATTATCAATTAGTTATCTTACATTATCAAGATATCCTTTATCTTGTATTATCAAGATATTCTTTATCTTATATTTTCAAGATATTCTTAATCTTATATGATCAAGATATTCCTTATTTTGTATTACCAACATATTCTTTATCTTACATTATCAAGATATCCTTTATCTTGTATTATCAAGATATTCTTTATCTTGTATTACCAACATATTCTCTATCTTACATCATCAAGATATTCTCTATCTTACATTATCAAGATATTCTTTATCTTATATTTTCAAGATATTCTTAATCTTATATGATCAACATACTCTTTATCTTGTATTACCAACATATTCTTTATCTGACATTATCAAGATATTCTCTATCTTACATCATCAAGATATTCTCTATCTTACATTATATTCTTTATCTTGTATTATCAAGATCAAGATATTCTCTATCTTATATTATCAAGATATTCTTAATCTTATATGATCAAGATATTCTTTATTTTGTATTATCAAGATATTCTTTATCTTACATTATCAAGATATTCTTTATCTTGTATTATCAAGATACTCTTTATCTTATATTATCAAGATATCCTCTATCTTATATTATCAAGATATTCTTTATTTTGTATTATCAAGATATTCTTTATCTTGTATTATCAAGATATTCTTTATCTTACATTATCATGATATCCTTTATCTTATATTTTCAAGATATTCTTTATCTTACATTATCAATAAGTTATCTTACATTATCAAGATATCCTTTATCTTGTATTATCAAGATATTCTTTATCTTATATTTTCAAGATATTCTTAATCTTATATGATCAAGATATTCCTTATTTTGTATTACCAACATATTCTTTATCTTACATTATCAAGATATTCTCTATCTTACATTATCAAGATATTCTTTATTTTGTATTATCAAGATATTCTCTATCTTATATTATCAAGATATTCTTNCTTAATCTTATATGATCAAGATATTTTTTATCTTGTATTACCAACATATTCTTTATCTTACATTATCAAGATATTCTCTATCTTACATTATCAAGATATTCTTTATTTTGTATTATCAAGATATTCTCTATCTTACATTATCAAGATATTCTTTATCTTGTATTATCAAGATATTCTCTATCTTGTATTACCAACATATTCTTTATCTTACATTATCAAGATATCCTTTGTCTTACATTATCAATTCTTTATCTTACATTATCAAGATATTCTTTATCTTGTATTATCAAGATATTCTTTATCTTACATTATCAAGAGATTCTGATGCAGTTCCAGTCCTTTGAACAAATTGTTTCATTTTCACATAAAAATACTTCTCTTGGATGTCTTCTCAAATAATATTCATGAGTTTGGGCCTCTTCCATTAGAAAACTTTGTATCTGCCTGTGTTTATTGTCAATAAGAAATAATTTTGATGCACCTAAATAAATTACAGCAAACTACATGATGTGTCTCATACATAATGGTGATACTATCTGAAACAGTGTGGCCCAATAAATGGTCAACATATATAGGAGGTCAATTTTTATCTGAAATGGCAATCTTAAGTTCTGCATACAAATTGTAACAAGACATTTTTCATAAAAATATAATTTATTCACAAACATACAAAAAGCAAGTACTATTGGATCTGTATCACTTGCCTTGTATATTGCAGGCAATAAATTGTTCAGTCATTTCAATTAAAAGGTATATTATTGGGGCTATTCCTCAATTTATTGTATGGGGGAGGTGGAAGGCACCTGTTTTAGTATGTTATGAGTGCTGGGGTTAAATCCAGATCTGCCTACCATTCCCTATATTAAATCACTTTTAATATTTTATGGGTGGTGGCCATGGGGTCTCTGAAAAGGTGCATCCCATTCCTCCCCTATAGATAATTATAGAGCAGCCCTTAGCAATTACAGGTTAAAATAATGCCATTCCATAAAGTCCTTGACAAGAATCTGAATTTGTACAGTGTAATTGACATGTACAGTGTGAATATTCAGATTCCTAGGATTCAAGGTCTTAATGTAATGGCATTATTTAGATCTGCAATTGCTAAGATTATGTTCTAATACATTAAGGCCTCGAGAACCTGAATATATAGTGTACCTGTCAGATATATTTCAAATACCACATTCTGATTACTCTTGTATATAATTATACCTAATGAAATACTAAACAAGAAGAAGAGGGTGTATCCCACAGTAGTTATAATAGTGCAGGTATAGAGGTGTAACGAGGCCTATCCAGATACAGCACTGTAGTTTGACTTTTGACCTTTCATGTCCGACTTTTACCTTGTTCTTGAGTAAAAGCCATCCATAGTGTGACACATGACTGTTTCATGTTTTAACAATATAGACCCAAGGAGTACCAAAGTACAGCAGTTTGACTTTTGATCTTGACCAATGACCTTGTGTATTTTTCATAGGCAATATTAATCATATATTGACCAATGTGTGAACACAATAGCCCAAAGGAGTACTTAGATACATGGAAATATTTCAACAAATCTGAATGATCTAATAGCATGTCTGATTTAATGGATTATTTTGATCACATGACAGGGAAATAAAACACGGTGCCCTCGCACCCTCAAGTTTTCCTAGTTATATTTCTTTTATTTGGAGACACTCCAGAAAATTGACAAGAGCAACCACAAGTAAGTTTCAACTGATTTAAGGATGGGCAGACAATAACATTCACAGGTGTGTAGTGTCCATTCACAGGTATGTAGTGTCCATTCACAGGTATGTAGTGTCCATTCACAGGTATGTAGTGTCCATTCACAGGTGTGTAATGTCCATTCACAGGTGTGTAATGTCCGTTCACAGGTGTGTGGTGTCCATTCACAGGTGTGTAGTGTCCAGTCACAGGTGTGTGGTGTCCATTCACAAGTGTGTAATGTCCATTCACAGGTGTGTGGTGTCCATTCACAAGTGTGTAGTGTTCATTCACAAGTGTGTAGTGTTTATTCACAGGTGTGTAGTGTCCAGTCACAGGTGTGTAGTGTCCATTCACAAGTGAGTGGTGTCCATTCACAGGTGTGTGGTGTTAAATCACAGGTGTGGTATATTCCTTCAAAGGTGTGTAGTGTTCATTCACAAGTTTGTAGTGTTCATTCACAGGTGTGTAGTGTCCAGTCACAGGTGTGTAGTGTCCATTCACAGGTGTGTAGTGTTCATTCACAAGTGTGTAATGTCCATTCACAGGTGTGTAATGTTCATTCACAAGTGTGTAGTCACAAATGTGTAATGTCCAGTGTCCATTCACAGGTGTGTAGTGTTCATTCACAAGTGTGTAATGTCCATTCACAGGTGTGTAATGTTCATTCACAAGTGTGTAGTGTCCAGTCACAGGTGTGTAGTGTCCATTCACAAATGTGTAATGTCCAGTCACAGGTGGGTGGTGTCCATTCACAAGTGTGAAGTGTCCACTCACAGGTGTGTAGTGTCCAGTCACAGGTGTGTAGTGTCCATTCACAAGTGTGTAATGTCCAGTCACAGGTGTGTGGTGTCCATTCACAAGTGTGAAGTGTCCAGTCACAGGTGTGTAGTGTCCAGTCACAGGTGTGTAGTGTCCATTCACAAGTGAGTGGTGTCCATTCACAGGTATGTGGTGTTAAATCACAGGTGTGGTATATTCCTTCAAAGGTGTGTAGTGTTCATTCACAAGTTTGTAGTTTTCATTCACAAGTGTGTAATGTCCAGTCACAGGTGTGTAATGTCCAGTCACAGGTGTGTAGTGTTCATTCACAAGTGTGTAGTGTTCATTCACAAGTGTGCAATGTTCATTCACAAGTGTGTAATGTCGAGTCACCGGTGTGTAGTGTTCATTCACAAGTTTGTAGTGTCCATTCACAAGTATGTAGTGTCCAGTCACAGGTGTGTGGTGTCCATTCACAGGTGTGTAGTGTCCATTCACAGGTGTGTGGTGTCCATTCACAAGTGTGTAGTGTTCATTCACAGGTGTGTAGTGTCCAGTCACAAGTGTGTAGTGTCCAGTCACAGGTGTGTGGTGTCCATTCACAAGTGTGTAGTGTCCAGTCACAGGTGTGTAGTGTCCAGTCACAAGTGTGTAATGTCCTGTGTAGTGTCCAGTCACAGGTGTGTGGTGTCCATTTACAAGTGTGTAGTGTCCAGTCACAGGTGTGTAGTGTCCATTCACAAGTGTGTGGTTTCATGTCACAGCTATGTAGTGTCCAGTCATAAGTTTTCAGTGTCCATTTAAAGATACAAGGTGTTATGACTAGTATGAAGAGCCACTATCTTCTTTAACTCCTTTTCAGCATGTGGGTTTTTCTGAAAAATAATGTTAGAATGAAATTTGGAGAAAAAATATACATACGTATGTACTATACCAATTTGTCTTCACTGAGGAAACAGTAAACTACAAATATCATCAATGAGGAAACATGAAACAACAGATAATCTTCACTGAGGAAACAGTAAACTACAAACATCATCACTGAGGAAACATGAAACAACAGATAATCTTCACTGAGGAAACTGTAAACTACAGTTCATCTTTCTTTTGATGTTGAAAAATAAGAAGAAATTAAAGAATTTATTATCATGATATTATATCTCTTTGTTAACTTCAAGTATTACACCTATTTAAACAAAATTATTCAACGGTCCCTTCTTTAATCAAAGAAATTGTCCTTTGAAATATACCTGTATAACATCTTTGATCGGTGTGGAGTTGAGTAAGGGGATATAAGTCTTCATCATGGCGGAGGTCAGATAAATGGTGTCGGTGTAACAACAGTAGAGAACTGCTCTGTGGCCATGAATCTGACAGCTGCTCAGCACTACAAATAACGAAACAAAACCACTGAAACAATACACCTCTTAACTCTTAATAATAAAACAAACATGTATAGACAAATTACATTACAGCATAAACATTGGAACTTTAATGAAACTTGATTAATTTACCAAATATGGTATAAAAAGAACCAGTATATGTAGGAACTCATGACACATGGACCAAGAATTAAATCAGTCTATACATAAAATGACTTACGCTGGGCAGGTAATCCAGCAATTACATTTGGCTGTTCAACATAGGGACAAAGTGGCGTTCCAGCAAACTTGGCTGATTTCAAGGCCCTGAGGAAAGGGGGCTGCATGTCCAGTATAGGAATGTCACTTTTATATTCACTGGTAGAACATGTACATAATATAGATATGTAGGTAGTGTTAAGATTGATCCCAGCAAACAACTGAAAAATAAAATATAAAAAATATACCTGGAATGCTTAGTATTCATTCTACTCTAAGATTATAGATAAGAAACACTTTTTTCTCATGAAAACTATATTCAATTATCATACACTAATAACAGCAGCTCAGAAACTTTCTATGACAGTAAAAGAGTTGTCAATCTGGCTCTGGTAGGGTAGAGATGACAGTAAAAGAGTTGTCAATCTGGCTCGGGTAGTGTAGAGATGACAGTAAAAGAGTTGTCAATCTGGCTCTGGTAGTGTAGAGATGACAGTAAAAGAGTTGTCAATCTGGCTCTGGTAGGGTAGAGATGACAGTAAAAGAGTTGTCAATCTGGCTCTGGTAGGGTAGAGATGACAGTAAAAGAGTTGTCAATCTGGCTCTGGTAGGGTAGAGATGACAGTAAAAGAGTTGTCAATCTGGCTCTGGTAGGGTAGAGATGACAGTAAAAGAGTTGTCAATCTGGCTCTGGTAGGGTAGAGATGACAGTAAAAGAGTTGTCAATCTGGCTCTGGTAGGGTAGAGATGACAGTAAAAGAGTTGTCAATCTGGCTCTGGTAAGGTCGAGATGACAGTAAAAGAGTTGTCAATCTGGCTCTGGTAATGTAGAGATGACAGTAAAAGAGTTGTCAATCTGGCTCTGGTAGTGTAGAGATGACAGTAAAAGAGTTGTCAATCTGGCTCTGGTAGGGTAGAGATGACAGTAAAAGAGTTGTCAATCTGGCTCTGGTAGGGTAGAGATGACAGTAAAAGAGTTGTCAATCTGGCTCTGGTAGGGTAGAGATGACAGTAAAAGAGTTGTCAATCTGGCTCTGGTAGGGTAGAGATGACAGTAAAAGAGTTGTCAATCTGGCTCTGGTAGGGTAGAGATGACAGTAAAAGAGTTGTCAATCTGGCTCTGGTAGGGTAGAGATGACAGTAAAAGAGGTGTCAATCTGGCTCTGGTAGGGTAGAGATGACAGTAAAAGAGTTGTCAATCTGGCTCTGGTAGGGTAGAGATGACAGTAAAAGAAAGGCATCCATAGACGAGCAGCAATTTGACCAATTACTGTTGATTCACTGCTAAAGGATGTTCCGAGACAGAAGTCAGAATATCCTGAGAGAGATGATCCTGTCTAATGACATTTGTGGTAACAGCATTCCAGTAAATGTATTCAAGTAAACATGTATATGGCAAGGTGAGTACTACCACAAAAAGTGTTCCTATGTATGAGAAATATAGGATCTTACATGAATTTTCATTTCATATGAGATTTATGAATGAAAAGATTTTTTTCAATTTAGCGAGCCTCAGGCGAGCCATAAATTTCATATGAAATGAAAACAAGTTTAAGATCCTCTTTATCACATAATCAAGATCTGTGGCATTTATTCATGTAAAACGGCAACTTTCATGAAATGTAAAAAGCCGCCATTTTTACTCCAGTGCGTAAGTCTGTGACATCATGTACTTGTCCTAGCGTGACGTCACAATTAAAACAATTGAATCTTTCAACCAACTACAGGACTGATAGGTCATACTACATGGGCTAATACGCGAAAAAAATATGACATAGGTACATTCATTGGATAACACAGTACATTATGTGATAAAAAAGAATATCAAAGTTTTAACAATTAGTGTGTACCTTGGTGACAAAGGAATAAGACTGTTCAGGTGAGATGTCCACATTACACTGGCAGACCATGATGAGCGGGTTCTGTGTACTTCTGTACAGGTAACACGTTTTATCTGTGGGAGATGTCTGTTGAAATGTGTTAAAGTCATGTTCCTTTATACCACCAAAAATTCCACCAATTAAGTCAAACTCTTCATGCAAGATGTAGACTCTAGCAAAACCTGAAACATATCAAAGACTTCCATGGTAAAAAAATCAGAATGAATTGAACGATTTATAAACCATACCTATCAACTGACTGTTTGACTAAATCACATTAGCAACAATTGAATTAAAAAAATTATCAGCTTACAGCAATTTTTTTCATCACAATATCTAAACAAACAATATAGACTTCAAGATGAATGTACCACTGTATGGCCTTATACTCTCAAACACTTTAAGGATGATTGTACCTCAATGTTGATTGTACCTTAAGGATGATTGTACCTTGCTGTCGGTTGTACCTTAAGGATGATTGTACCTTGCTGTCGGTTGTAACTTAAGGATGATTGTACCTTGCTGTCGGTTGTACCTTAAGGATGATTGTACCTTGCTGTCGGTTGTACCTTAAGGATGATTGTACCTCAATGTTGATTGTACCTCAATGTTGATTGTACCTCAATGTTGATTGTACCTTAAGGATGATTGTACCTTGCTGTCGGTTGTACCTTAAGATGATTGTACTTTAATGTTGATTGTACCTTAAGTATGATTGTACCTCAATGTTGATTGTACCTTAAGGATGATTGTACCTTCATGTTGATTGTACCTTAATGTTGATTGTACCTTAAGGATGATTGTACCTTAATGTTGATTGTACCTTAAAGGATGATTGTACCTCAATGTTGATTGTATCTTAAGGATGATTGTACCTCAATGTTGGTTGTACCTTAAGGATGATTGTACCTCAATGTTGATTGTACCTTAAGGATGATTGTACCTTGCTGTCGGTTGTACCTTAAGATGATTGTACCTCAATGTTGATTTTACCTTAAGGGTGATTCTACCTTAAGGGTGATTGTACCTTAAGGATGATTGTACCTCAATGTTGGTTGTACCTTAAGGATGATTGTACCACAATACGGACTGGTTATCTATAAAACCTTATGGATGAGTGTACTACTGCATGGACTTGTATTCTCTAAAAACGTTTTTTGTTTCGATTTCACTGAATCTTGCTATCAAAATGTCATTACATTAATACATTTTTGTATTTTATGGTGGTTTCTACCAATATGGATGTTTGTTTTACCTGTGGCTGCTGGGCCTATGGCCACAACTAGTGTGTGACATTGAAGTGTTCCATCATCAGATGTTTTCATATCAGCCTGGGCTTTTTCTGACCATCTCATCCACAGATCACTGAAACAAAAACATGCACCATTGTAAATGTATGCAATGTTCTCACAGCAAACACAGTAACTCTGGTTGACAATTTACACTATATGCGAACAAAATAATTTAAATGCCTTTGAAGTAATCCAAAAGGTTACGAAAAGGGCTTCATTTACCCTCATACCCCTAAGTTTTGCTGTTTTCGGTGCCATTCCACTACCCATATTAGGGATAAATTTGTATTAACTGTGGTGTTGAGAAGTGCCAATAATTTTGCGCTGAAGCATGGCGATCCTACCTAGCCTATTGTCTGGGATCAGACGGTATGCCTTCCGGAGTCCGGTCAACTTACCTGTAACAACAGGCCCAGAGGGCCTTATCTCTCACCTGAATATGTTTAAAATAATTGGTATGAAGTAAAGATATAGCACTCCATGGTAGGCGCTGTAAGTACATATGAAATTTCAGAAAAAGCCATCCAGTACTTGAGATATAACAAATTTCAAACAGAGCCCCACCCCTATGCCCCTAGGGGGGTCATACCCACCATTTATACAAAATTGAGTCCCCTTGGCCAAAGGATGCTCCAGACTAAATAAGGATAAAATCCCTTAATTACGATGGTCGAAGAAGGATTTTAAATGTTTTACTTCTATTTCCCCTCTAGGGCCAAGCCCCTCAGGTCCCAGGGGGGACCACACCCACCGTTTATACAAAATTGGTTCCCCTTTACCCAAGGATGCTTCACACCAAATATGGACCAAATCTTTTCATACCTACAGAAGAAGAAGGATTTAAAAAAATAATTTGCTATGTTTCCCCTATCGGGCCCCACCCCTCAGGCCCCTGGGGGTCAGACCCATTGTTTATACAAAATTGGTACCCCTTCACCCAAGGATGCTTCAGACTAAATATGGAATAAATCCTGTCATTCCTACAGAAGAAGAAGAAGGATTTTTAAGAATTTGCTATATTTCCCATATTGGGCCCGGCCCCTCAGCCCCTAAGGGGGCCAGACCCACCGTTTATACAAAATTGGTTTCCCTTAACCAAAGGATGCTCAACACCAAATATGGACCAAATCCTGTCATTCCTACAGAAGTAGAAGGATTTTAAAGAATAATTTGCTATGTTCCCCTATTGGGCCCCGCTCCTCAGGCCCTTGGGGAGGCCAAACCCACAGTTTATACAAAACTGAGTCCCCTTGGCCCAAGGATGCTCCAGACTTAATAAGGATAAAATTCCTTAATCCCTAGGGGAGGAGAAGGATTTTGAAGGTTTTACCTCTATTTCCCCTATTCGGCCCCGTCCCTCTGCCCCAAGGGGGGCCACACCCACCATTTATACAAAATTGAGTCCCCTTGGCCCAAGGATGCTCCAGACTAAATTAGGATAAAATCCCTTAATCCCTACGGTAGGAGAAGGATTTTGAAGGTTTTACCTATTTCCCCTATTCGGCCCCGCCCATCTGCCCCCAGGGGGGCCACACCCACCATTTATACAAAATTGAGTCCCCTTGCCCTAAGGATGCTCCAGACTAAATTTAGTCAAAATCTAATTGGCCGTTCAGGATTAGTAGCGTTTTAAAGGAAAAGTTGATGGACGGACGGACGGACGGACGGACGACGGACGCTGCAGACGCTTCTGACCAGGTGAGCTAAAAATGTTACCTGTGCCCAGCTAGTGTTTGTCACCAAATCAGCAGTGATGACCACATATTACCGATTTTAATCATTTAAGAGAAGGTAAAAATTGTGTCTCCAAAGAATTTCATTCTTTGTTGTTATTTTAATCTTCAATCTTATCATATATGACCGATGACTCAAAATAAAACTATTTGAAGGGAGGTAATCCAATATGGCGGACCAGAAACTCGAGAACGATAACCCAAGAATGACTTGTTCCTGCGTATAGTGCGCACCCCCTTTTTGTCATGACAATATTTACCTAAAAATGTGCTTACTATACACGCAAATTTACGGTAACTTCAAACATATTACTTCGAGCCATCAACACAGGGTAAACAAAGTCACAAAATACATTTTGTAATTCACCATAAATAGCTAAAATAATACAGAAATAATTCATTCTTTACAATTGTCTCCTGCAAGGAATGCACATAATTATGTATGATAAAGCTGGTACATTTGTTTTACAGTGATTGAATGAAACACAAATTATAAAAAAAGTGATCAGTGAAGCAGAAAATATAGGTCACATTCTGATTGTAAAAATATAGGTGAAGGTCATTCATTTGAACAATCTTGATAGCCCTTTACCCCAGCATGCTACTGGCCAAATATCATCACCCAGGGCATTTTGGTTATTGAGAAGAAGTTGTTGAATGTTTTTCACATATTTGACCCCTGTGACCTTGAATAAGGGTGAAGGTCATTTATTTGAACAAACTTTGTAGCCCTTTATCTCAGCATGCTACTGGCCAAATATAATTACTGTGGGCATTTTGGTTATTGAGAAGTTGTTTAAAGTTTTTAACATATTTGACCCCTGTGACCTTGAAAATAGGTGAAGGTCATTAATTTAAACAAACTTTGTAGCCCTTCATCCTAGTTTGCTTCAGGCCAAATATCGACACCCTAGGTCTTTCGGTTATTAAGAAGAAGTCGTTTAAAGTAAAATATTGGTGAAGATGGGTGAAGGTCATTCAATTGAGCTTGCTACTGGCCAAATATCATCACCCAGGGCATTTTGGTTATTGAGAAGAAGTTGTTTAAAGTTTTTAACATATTTGACCCCTGTGACCTTGAAAATAGGTGAAGGTCATTAATTTAAACAAACTTTGTAGCCCTTCATCCTAGTTTGCTTCAGGCCAAATATCGATACCCTAGGTCTTTCGGTTATTAAGAAGAAGTTGTTTAAAGTAAAATATTGGTGAAGATGGGGGAAGGTCATTCAATTGAGCTTGCTACTGGCCAAATATCATCACCCAGGGCATTTTGGTTATTGAGAAGAAGTTGTTTAAAGTTTTTAACATATTTGACCCCTGTGACCTTGAATGTGGGTGAAGGTCATTCATTTGAACAAACTTTGTAGCCCTTCATCTCAGCATGCATGCTACTGGCCAAATATCGTCACCCTGGGCATTTTGGTTATTCAGAAACTTGAATATAATTGAAGGTCATTCATTTGAACAAACTTGGTAGCCCTTCACCCAAGCATGCTACTGGCCAAATATCATCTCCCTGGGCAGTTTGGTTATTGAGAAGAAGATGTTTAAAGTTTTTAAGACATCTGACCCCTGTGAGCTTGAAAATGGGTCAAGGTCATTCATTTGAACAAACTTAGTAGCCCTTTATACCAGCATTCAACAGGCCCAATTTAAGTAACCTGGGACTTTTGGTTATTGAGAAGACTTTGTTTGAAGATGTTAAGACATCTGACCCCTGTGACCTTGAAAGTGGGTCAAGGCCATTCATTTGAACAAAATTGGTAGCCCTTCATACCAGCTTGCTACAGCCCCAATATCAGTACCTGGGGAATTTTGGTTATTGAGAAGAAGTTGTTTGAAGATTTTAAGACATCTGACCCCTATGACCTTGAAAATGGGTCAAGGTCATTCATTTGAACAAACTTAGTAGCCCTTTATACCAGCATTCAACAGGCCCAATTTAAGTACCCTGGGACTTTTGGTTATTGAGAAGAATTTGTTTGAAGATGTTAAGACATCTGACCCCTGTGACCTTAAAAGTGGGTCAAGGCCATTCATTTGAACAAATTAGTAGCCCTTTATACCAGCATGGTACAGGCCAAATATATCAGTACCCTAGGCCTTTTGGTTATTCAGAAGAAGTCGTTTGAAGATTTTAACACATTTGACCCCTCTGGGCTTGAAAGTGGGTCAATGTCATTCATTTGAACAAACTTAGTAGCCCTTCATCCCAGCATGCAACAGGCCCAATTTAAGTACCCTGGGACTTTTGGTTATTGAGAAGGAGACGTTTGAAGATGTTAAGACATCAGGGCCTACTTGTATAAAACATCTCAAAGTTATAAGAAAAATCTCAAGCAATGTATTGTCTATGGGATATCTTAGACTGGAGGAAATCTCAAGAGTTGAGATGTTTTATACAAGTGGGCCCTGACCCCAGTGACCTTGAAAGTTGGTCAAGGTCATTCATTTGAACAACTTGGTAGCCCTTTATCCCAGCATGATACAGGTCCAACATCAGTACCCTTGACCTGTTGGTTACTGAGAAGAAGTTGTTTGAGGATTTTAAGACATTTGACCCCTGAGAGCTTGAAAGTGGGTCAAGGTCATTCATTTGAACAAACTTGGTAGCCCTTAATCCCAGCATGCTTCGATTCTGGCCACATATCATCACCCTATGCCTTTTGGTTACTGAAAAGTAGTTGCTTAAAGTGAGAAGTTGACGCCGGACGGAAGACAGGCCAGGTGAGCTAAAAATTAAATAAAATGTTTTTCCTACTTAACCTACCCTATTTTTTTGGGAGCACACAGGAAACACACATATATGTTTATTAGGCCTAAAAATAAAATGAACCTGCGATCGCCACCTATAATGTAGAAATATCGTCAAACAAATCATTTACATGTAAAGAGAACTATGCTACATCTCATTTTCCTTTTAGATAGCTATATAGCGAGCGTACTTTACTTATTTGTTGACGGTGACAAAGCAAATTATCAACCCAACCGCCCATAACAAAACCAGACAAAAAAGGCCAGTTAACATTTATTATAGAAATCAACATTATTCACAAGAAAATGGGTGCAGTGCCAAATGTATATAAAGACGATATTAATTGGTTCCAGAAGATAAAGTCCATATCAAGTAAATAGGAAACCAATTAACTGTGTCACATATATGTAAATTCACAAATATTAAGGCACTGCACCCATAAATATCATACAGTGATGCAAAATTTATATCAAGAAGTACATCATTTGTCCTATATAATATCAGTATACTCACTACATGCAGATGTATTACAGGTACATCTACAGGTACCTCACTCCTACTTGTACACCACTCTCCTTCACATACTGATACATTTTAAACTGAGACAACATTTATAATACAAATATTACACTCAAAAGCCTAACTTATCCCAGTGAAAAAGGGGGTAAATCCTAATAAATAAACCCGCCAAGCCTCCGGCCCCCCAAAATACCCCCACTCCGGAAACTCCTAACCTAATTACATGCCTGCACTATGACTATGGAATCTCTAATGTGTCTGCAAACCGAGAGTTTATCTTCGAGGGAAAACTCTAGATAACATTTGTATGCATCACTAGACCAATCTCCCAAGGCCTGGATTGTCTCCCCCGGAACTTGACAACTAAAGGCCCACGTAGCCCCTCCCCTCCGAAAACTATGTGAGGAAAAAGGAGCAGGATCATGTCCTGCCTCAGCCAACACTTTTCTCAAGAAGGAGTGGAAAACAGGGTAAGTAATAGGGCGACTTTTCCCATTTTCTGATAACTGAAAGGCAGCCCTATCGGCCTTGGAAGGATTTAAACTACACATATTGTGGAAGGCCTGAACCGGGCAAAGGGGGGACCCCGGGATAGAAATCAGGGGGGACCTGACCAACTTGCGCCCAAACTGATTGGTTTTGGACCATTTGAGCACAACAAGCAGCAGGTTCTCATCTGCCAAGATATCACGGCGTAATAACTGCTTTCGAGGGTCAAAGGAACGAACAGAGTCCGACACTAAGTTGGACTTCCTGACTAACAGGAAGAAGGCAAACAAGAACAAACACCAGAAACTGGTATGTGCTGGAGACTCCATGTCTAAGACTCGGTAAATATCCAAAAGGATGAGGGGGGTCATGGGCGCTGCCCTAAGGGGAAGATGGGGATGTAGTCTAGCTATACCTCTCAAGGCTAAACTCACTTCATACTGACGCACGACAAAGGGAATGTCTGAAAGGAGATGAAGGGTTTTAACCCCACTTACATAATTACGAATAGAATCAGTGCTGCGCATCGAACGACTGAGAAACTGGATAAAAAGACACACAATATTTGTATCTGTGGGTAGGGACTGGAAGTTGAAAACTTCACAAAACAGGAAGTAGGCTTTCCACTGAGTGTGGAGATTCCTTAGGGAGCCAGAGGCGAAGGCTGATCTCATTGTAAAGGATAAATCCTTCTTCAAGGCCACCAGGACGGGATCTGCAAATCAAGTAAAGAAAAGGGAAAATTTTACCACCTATTTTACCACCTATGTACAAATAAAAACGACTCTGGATATACTACACTTTCAACCACATCCCACTCATTGACTAGCTGAAAAAACTTGTCTCTGTGGTCTGCGCTGAGGTGCCATCTGGAAAGATGATCGGGAATCCGATTCTCAGAACCGACAATATGCCTAGCCCTTACCTCAAACTCCCCCACAGCTGCATGAAAACACACCTCCCTCAGACAACTCTGCATAAACTTTGTCCTTGCCCTTCCCGAATTCAAAACCGCTACGGAAGACTCGTTGTCACACCAAATCAGCATTCTTTTTCCTTTAAAATGCTGACCCCACAGCTTAACACATATGGTAACCGACAGCAACTCGAGGGCATTAATGCTAAGTTTTTTGTTCAAAATAAACTCGGGGAAAGTGGAGTGAAAATATCTGCCTCCGAAAAAACCTCCACAGCCAGACAAACATGCATCAGAGGCAAACTCCCCGTCTGGGTGACTCCAATTCTCCACTGCCATCATGGAGACCCCATTGTATTGCAATAAAAACACCTGCCACCACAGCAAATCCTTCTGCACCTCATCTGGAATGCTCAAAATAGCCAAAGGATCCTCATGCAAAGTTCTTAACCAATTGAGCAACCTACTGACAAAAATGCGGCCTGGTCTAACACACGAGGCAACAAACATGAGCTTGCCCAACAAAGACTGTACTTCCTTTAAGCTAGCACTATCCTTGCCTTGCCATTCTCCTACCAATAATAAAATTTCCTGTAGACGCTCCTGTGGTACCTCCAACGTCATCTCGTCCGAGTCAAATAAAACCCCTAAAAAGACCATTTTTGTAGACGGAGGAACAGACTTAGCTTTAGACTCTACAAGACCACACATCTCTAGTAAACTACCTAAAACAACAAAGGCTGTCTCTGCCTTCTCCTGCGTCTCTGCCCCTGCAAAATCGTCTAAATAATTTAAAATTTGGAAACCTTCCACTAAGGCTAAAAAGGATACTACACTAGTCACTCTTTGACATATATAGGCCGCGGACCGCAACCCCATAGAAAGCACTCTGTCAAAGAATAATTCCCCATCCCAACTAAACCCCAGAAAGGGAATGTCAGCTGGATCAATAGGAATCTGTCTGTAAGCTTTCTTCAGATCCTTCTTAAAAAGAAGGCAACTTCTACCCTTTTCCTTGATTAACTCGACCAAGTCATCCACACGCGGAAACTGAAGTGATATAGGGACCCCTAAGTAACTTTCCTTGGGAATACAACCGTTTATGGAATCCCCCTCAGGCCAACTAAGATCTAGAATCACACGTCTTTCATTTGTGTCCTTTTTTGGTACGGAATTCAACGGAGACACCACGGTCTTACCTGTAAACGGATTTTCCTTAAATGGACCAAGTATAGCACCCGAACTAATTCCCTGCTCTAAACATCTCGCCATTGCCCCTGGGAATTCCCGAGCCCCTCTGTGATTTCTAGGAACTGTACCGAGACCCCCCTCAGGGTTTTTATTTACATTATGTACAGGTTCATGGGCCATGCCTATAGGGAAACCATATTCTAAAAGGTCACATATTTCTGAGTCACGGTATTCCGTTAGATGTTCCCTTAAAAACTGAACATTTATTCCTGAATGAACTGGAATCTTTGCCCCTTTGAAATTAGGGACACCAATCGCTTTAACCGCATTATGCTCTCTAAAAACTCTACTGTTGAAATTGTCATCCTTTGACCCTTTTTTACCCACATTTAAATCCTCGATAATAAAGGCCTTATTACGAGGGCAGAAACTATCAACCTTTCCCTGAACTTCTACCCGCTCTTGCTTCGTCTCTGGAAAGTTTACAAATGAAGGCAGGAACAATTCCTCCTCTTGAGAATTATGAACTTTCCTACAAGTATTTCCTAGTCATAACGAATGGGGACACACTGCCATACATTCAGGGTGGACCCGTTTGGCACCATCCTTTTTCCAACATGTTGCACATATGTGGAGCAGGTGCCTCTTGACCCCTCTAATTTCACCCTCATGGTCTCCTGATTCTGCACATCTGTTCTTTTGGTACATCACACAAAACCACACTCTCTCTCCTTCATACACACTTTTGTTCTCAACTTTCACATTCGCACTAGAACCGGTACCTTTCCCTTTCGTTTCTTGTCTCAACACATGCTTGGCCAAAATTGGCACTTCAATTGATGCGGGATCATCTCTCCACCTACTCTCTCCCAACTCAATCCTTCTCAACCAAGCAGCATACCATGCCAACAACGCTTTCCATTCATAGATGTTAGAATAATATGTAATCTTCATGAGGAAGGCTGTTCGACCGGCCTTTTCCTCACTCATGCTCGCCCGGGCTATTACCTCCAACTCCCCGGCTACAAACAACCGAAAGTTAAGGTCCCCGAACTCTATGTTTCTATTGACATATTCGTACTGTAAATAATGGTGTGGATAAGCTTGTGGAAACCTAACTATGTCACCTGCTTTGGAATTTAGCCCAGATTTCATTGTCTTTTTTTGTCTACGAGCCCTACTGTCTCTACTGGCCCTGCTGGACTGATCCGACTCATCAGAGCTTGAAATTTCACTCTCTGGATTCATGAAAGTCTTTAACTTTTTGTTTGCCCTCGCAACCATATCGTCCATCTTTTTTACCTTTCTCAAGTCGACATCATAGTCCGTATGCGTCTCACCTGTTGCTTCTCTCACCACGGGTGCCTTTTTTGTCCGAGATCTGTCTCTCCGACTCGTGTGCTTCACCCTCGAGGAATCGTCATCCCCGAGCCTACTCAGTTCCTCCCTCAAGGCAGCAATCTCCCTTTCTCGATCCCTCACATAACGTCTGGTTTTAGCCTTTTCCAACTCGTCCCTCAAACCGCGCACTTCCGCATCCCGGTCGTTTGCGCTCTTGTGTAACAGATCGGTGTCATCTTGGACGCTTGCCTCCAGTACTGCTTCTGTTATCGTATCATCGTCACTGTCCAAGTTCGACGTTTGAGAGCTCATATCTGCTCCAGACGAATACATTGGCGACCCCCCTTCGTTCATGGCTTTATAGTCCTTTCGGGGTTGATTTCTTGTTTCATACGCCATTCACAGAATTACTTGGCAGTGGATAACCTGTCCATTTACACAGGTAACTACGATTTAAATCATCTTCTTTTGCCCGGATACCTGGGCTCTCGTATTCGTTGATCGTAGATTCGTAATGTTCGTCTATCATAAATTGTGACAAGACTCGAATGTGTCGAAAGAAAGAATGGACAGTTTGGCGCCAACACCTAAATACCAGCTGGGAGCGGAGCCGAAGTGACCACTAGCTCATAGGGACTGACCAATCGGACGGGGGGGACTGAACTGTAATCACAGTGAACTAGCCAGGGGTCAGAAATCTGACCAGGGACGTAAGGAGATAATTAAAAGATTTGAGAGACGCCAAATCGCCACAATAACGTTACACGTGTTTTTTTCTAAATTGAATGAAACCTGTTTTTTTGCACAAAACATACACGTGAAATAAGATTTAGAGATGGAGTTGAACATTATTGTTTCCTTGAAATAATTACCAATCTAAAGGTTCCAAATCGTCGTCATCGTCGTCATCATCTACTGCTCTCGATGAGACAGGCAAGATTTCTCCAAAGAACGTCGCCATGATAGAGTTTTGTTCGACGTCAATAATAAGCTTTGAATCTCGTTACTTTTTCATAAGTCCCAGCACGATCATGTCAATCGCAGAAGAGACCCGAATCAGATGTTTTGGTTTCGGTCAAGGTCGGGCGACGTAATTCACAGATCCATTGGTGAAGGTATATGACGACAGCTATTGAATTTCATTTAATAGGCAACTGCGTAGCATTTAAATGAAGTCATGTTTAGTTCTATGACAAGTTGGCTTGGTGTTGGAGGTGAAAAAAGTCCGACTGAAGATTCATCAGTAGAAGAAAACAAGGAAAACGAAAAATCAGAAGACAAGACCCAAGAGCAGAATCAGCCATCCGAAACGAAGTCAACAGAAAAGGACAACGTTAACCCAGACATTGCCACAGAGGAAAAAGACTTGTCTTTTGATGAAGCTAAGCAGGCATTGGAAGACGCATCGTCTAAAGCAATAAATACAGCAAAGGAATGGGGAAGTGAGTGTGCATGATGATATAAAACTTGTCACTTTGTCTGAGATCATCTACTCATTCTAAATTTAGAAACGGATAATAAACTTCAGTCATAACCTAGTGACCTACCTGTATATATGTGCACTACATAATGGTACACGTACATTAATGTGTGTCCACTGTATACAGTAAACATACTTATATTCACAATTATGTACATAGTTGCTATTTTGCCTGTAGGGGGTAGTAATTGGGTATTTAGTAAATACTCAATACTACCCCCTACAGGCAATATAGCAACTAAAGTAGACGCGCCGCCTGTAGGTTGTATAATATTATGTTTAAAAGGTGCTGGACACACTAATAGTGTATATTATTATATAGTACAGTGTATATAGTATCCAGCACCTGTTGTATTGCTTATTTGCTATGGTAATGTTTGTATCAGCTACATTTTTTAATCACAACAAAATCTTATGTAAAGGCTTTACTTACATTAAATAACAACAAAGAAGGAAAGTCACAAAACATAGTAACCCATATATCATTAAGGACACCAAACACACTTGTTTGTAGATCTAGAATAGCCAGGTAAACCAGACCACATGAGACTCAGGGGAGTTTATTGATTATACATTGTACACAAGCAGACGTTGATGAGTTAATTGTTGCACATATGAAAATCATGTAAAATAAAATTGCTTTTTTCCAGGTATATTTTTATTGTTTTATAATCTAATAAAAGGTAATACTGTAGTAGAACAGCTACTGTCTTTGAGTAAATGAAAATAATGTGGATTTTACTTTCACGCATACATGCATGCAACTAGACTTGATCGATTGTATTTAGTATTTATTTATTTATTTCCAATTCAACAGACCCAAGGGTCCACTTCTAGAATGGGTAACAACATTACAACACAAGTATAAAATATCACAATCGGTTATGCATGTAACACAGACTAAAAGATACTCATATGTAAAACAAAAGGAATTAGTGATAGCAAATATTCTTTAATCGTACTTTGAACTCAGCGAAAGAGGAACAAAACATATCACAGTCTGGTGCAAAATCAAGATAGTTAAAATTACATTGAATCCTGTTTAAAATACTATACTTTCTAACGTTTGTTCTACTTCTTTCTGGCAGTAATAACTGGTTAAAACGAATTGATCGTAGATTACGACCAGGGACTAAAAAACACATTTGCTTGACTAAATATGGACAATCAAAAGCACTATAAATGTCAGATTTCAAAGATTGTCAGTGGTCATGTACGTAGCTCAATAGGTAGAACGTCGGTCTAGAGTACAGAGGGTCTCGGGTTTCGAACCCTGGTCAGGCCGTAAATTTTCCGCTCCTATATTTGGGCTCAACAAAATCTACCCACGGAAGTTAAGGTGGTATAGGGTCTTGTGTGTCTTCAATGCATCATTTTTGTTTTTGTGTACAGAGGTGATTTATCTATGAGTTCTGCTTCAAATACAACACTAGAAATATATTCAAAATTTAAAAAATTGTTATTTGTTTACATTGTGGACAGTTGGCATGTGTGAGGACTTTGCCTGCTATTTCAAACATTGAGAACTAGCTATAGAAATACTTTCGACTTTTGCTCATACAAATTCCAAAAATCATAAAATGTTGATTTTACATTGAAGATTTGTTCATTTGAAATTAAAGTTATAGCAAAGTTCCAACCATGATCTGTTTTTAGCCCACCATCATCTGATGGTGGGGTATTCAAATCACCCTGCGTCCGTCGTCCGCTGTCTGTCGTCCATCCTTAAACAATTCTTGTTATCAGTATTTCTCGAGAAGTACCAGAGGAATCTTTCTCAAATTTTATATGTAGGTTCCCCTAGGTCCTTAGCTGTGCAGGGCAACTTTTGGGACTGATCAGATAAACAACATGGCCGACAGGCAGCCACTATTTGATTTTTTTAGTGAAAGTTTGTTATCGCTAATTCTCGGGAAGTACCAGAGGGATCTTTCTCAAATTTCATATGTAGATTTCCCTTGTTCCCTTGTTGTTGCAGCAGTGCCTGAAATGGACGGTCGCCTGCTCGCCAATGGTGGTTAAAGTCTTGCTCGAGCGACCAAAAGTTGTCAAAAGTGAGGTAGTCACTGGCCCAACAAAAATAGTTTGGGCGACTGTCGAAAAGTTAATGAATAAAAGAAATTATAGTCCCTTCCACATTAACTGGGGGACAGTACATTTTTCAATTGTCATTACTTCAATTTGAATCGAACTGTCCGTGATTTAGAAAATGTGATGATTTCTTTTCAGATTTTCTATATAAATACTGCCAGGTCTTTGAGGTGCAAGTTTTGTGGAGTGGATCATGTCAGGTTTTAACTAGGGTTGAAGAATTAAAAATATAATGTTTTATTCTGTTTTACATATTACAAACATTGTCATGTTATATGTAATTTAAATGTGCTGAAGCATTGTGTTAAAATGCTGTGGAAATATTTCTTCCCAAAATTATTTGGGCCACCAATATGTCATTTGGGCCAGTGCTTCAAATTTTTTACTCGAACAATGCAGGTTCCGGCCCCACTATCCTTTATTGTTCATGTTTACTTTTGAAACTGATCAGTTAAACAAAATGGCCTACCGACAGCCATCTATGATTTTTGACATTGAAGGTTTGTTAGTACTATTTTTCAGGAATAACTTGAGGTATCTTTCTCAAATTTGATATGTAGGCTCCCCTTGATCCCTTGTTGTGCATGTTATATTTTGAGACTGATCATAAAAACAAAATGACTAAAGGAAGAACTAAACAGATCTTTCTCATATTGCAATGATTGATTCTATTTCTTTCACATTAAGTAGTACTGTACAAGTAAATATGTGAAATGACAAACTCACTTTGAAGCTTGGCTTTCATACACATCAGTATTTAGTTTAGATCAAAAGTTACCTCAAGGTGCATTTACTGTTAACATGACTCGATCAAACAGATTAGAGGAAAGAAGAGAAAAGATTGAACTGACAAAGAACTAATGAAGATGGTACAATGGTGGGCGTCAATGCAAGATCCCTCTGGGATCTCTTGTTTAGGTACCGATGATGTCATTTTCAAAAACCGAAACTGCTTATTGGTGATATCAGAGAGCATTCTGTAGGTGTCTGATGTGAACATTATATATATTGGTGCTAATTATGTTTGCAAGAACACGTATCGATACTTTTCCTTTGATATAACCAAAATAAAAGGTCATAAAGGAATATAATTCATGCTCCAAATTTCCAATGAATGAATAAAGTCAGGGCTTTCAGCAGACTCTTGAGAGTATGATTTTGACTCCCAAAAATAATCTTTGACTTGTGTTTTAAAGGATCGTCCTAGTTCTCTTACGTTGTGACTCTCCAAAAGTCACTGAAAAATTGTCTTTGACTTCTGAAATTGCTAATGTCAAAGGTCAACTGAAAGCCCTGAAAATGATAGTTTGGGCACTATTACCTTATGTATATGTGGAGAAATAAAGTATCTGTCTGTCGGTCATTACTTGCATTGCACACATATAGATCTAACAGTTTAAGTATTGACTTTGAAGCATGCTACATTTTAACCTACTAGTAATTATAAGGCATGCATATATAGAAACTCTAAAACAGATAGTTGAATTGATAAGCATCTCCCTTCATCCCATAGAAAAATAGAAATCAGCATTTTACTATATATTGGAGGTATTGCTGATGCACAAGTTTACCAAAACTATCCATGCATGATCTCCCAATGATGTTTATATACTGGGTAATAGGATGTCGCTTACCTGGAATAATGATGCTTCATGTCTGACATACAGATTTTTTGTCAAGCTGTCATCATCAAAGGTCTGAGTGTGAAATAACACCATTCAACATGATGTGGCACTATTTTAATTGTAGATTGCTTATAAGGTTGAGCATGTACTCATTGATTACTCTATACCATGCATGTGATGATGTACTCATTGATTACTCTATACCATGTGATGATGTATACATTGATTACTCTATACCATGTGATGATGTATGCATTGATTACTCTATACCATGCATGTGATGATGTACTCATTGATTACTCTATACCATGAGATGATGTACTCATTGATTACTCTATACCATGAGATGATGTATACATTGATTACTCTATACCATGTGATGATGTATACATTGATTACTCTATACCATGTGATGATGTATACATTGATTGCTTTAATTTACAGGTTTCCTGTACAGTTATGGCAAAGCAGCTACTAAAACAGTGACTGACCATGCCAAACAAATAACAAAGTCTGTTGAAGATAAGGTATGTGTCTGCTTTCTATTATTAATGGTATGTTGACAGCTGTAACATGATTAATCCCACCCCTTGTCATTACATAAAGCTATAACTTTATCAAGCACATTCCTCTTGGACAGGTCAATGGGATATTTTCTGGAGGACTCAAAAGATTTTTTTCCCCAATGATCAAATATAAGAACAAATTAGAAACTGTCAGAATTTAGTTGATAGCCAGCTGGTATTAAGAACAAAAGGAAAGATGGGATTTATGTTGCTTCATAGGATAACAGTACATAGATACTCTAGCTATAGATATAGTCGTAAATACAGTTGAAGTATTTTGTTTGTTGACAAAAGTATACTAAAACATTTGTAGTTTTTAATTTGTGTGCAAAAGTACTAAAATTTTCATATGATATAGACTATTTATGTCTATTCATAACTGCGGAGAAATTAAAATAAAAGTTCACCATTATACCATTAAAGGAAAGCATAAGAATCAAGTCCTGAATTCTGTATATATAGCTGCAGATTTTCAGTTTCAAAGCAATTTCAAGAGTAATTCAGTTTGTGCTATTTTTTTTACATAGTTACATTTCTAGGTAGAAGTACAATACCTACATGTAGTAGAATAACTCAATGAAAAAGAATGATTTATGTTTTGATTAATTTTTTAATATTTTGAAGAAAATAATTGCCGTATACAACTTAAAGCATCGTGTTTCAACATAAGATAACTATACCTTTGCAGACATTCCTCGGGGATTTCAGTCGTGAACAAGATAAGTTTGTGACAGAAAAGAAAGAAAAAGTAAAACGTTCCGAGGCTGCTGTTCCACCATGGATAGGCTATAATGAAGAGGAGAGCTTGAAGGAACAGATCCTAGCACTGTCAACAGTAAGTTCTCCTGTCCCAGTTAAACAAGAATCCTAGCACTGTCAACAGTAAGTCTACAGGTCCCAGTCCTACACAAATCCTAGTACTGTCAACAGTAAGTCTACAGGTCCCAGTTATACACAAATCCTAGCACTGTCAACAGTAAGTCTACAGGTCCCAGTTATACACAAATCCTAGCACTGTCAACAGTAAGTCTACAGGTCCCAGTTATACACAAATCCTAGTATTGTCAACAGTAAGTCTACAGGTCCCAGTTATACACAAATCCTAGCACTGTCAACAGTAAGTCTACAGGTCCCAGTTGTACACAAATCCTAGTATTGTCAACAGTAAGTCTACAGGTCCCAGTTATACACAAATCCTAGCACTGTCAACAGTAAGTCTACAGGTCCCAGTTGTACACAAATCCTAGTATTGTCAACAGTAAGTCTACAGGTCCCAGTTATACACAAATCCTAGCACTGTCAACAGTAAGTCTACAGGTCCCAGTTGTACACAAATCCTAGTATTGTCAACAGTAAGTCTACAGGTCCCAGTTATACACAAATCCTAGCACTGTCAACAGTAAGTCTACAGGTCCCAGTTGTACACAAATCCTAGTATTGTCAACAGTAAGTCTACAGGTCCCAGTTATACACAAATCCTAGCACTGTCAACAGTAAGTCTACAGGTCCCAGTTGTACACAAATCCTAGTATTGTCAACAGTAAGTCTACAGGTCCCAGTTATACACAAATCCTAGCACTGTCAACAGTAAGTCTACAGGTCCCAGTTGTACACAAATCCTAGTATTGTCAACAGTAAGTCTACAGGTCCCAGTTATACACAAATCCTAGCACTGTCAACAGTAAGTTTACAGGTCCCAGTTGTACACAAATCCTAGTATTGTCAACAGTAAGTCTACAGGTCCCAGTCATACACAAATCCTAGCACTGTCAACAGTAAGTCTACAGGTCCCAGTTGTACACAAATCCTAGTATTGTCAACAGTAAGTCTACAGGTCCCAGTTATACACAAATCCTAGCACTGTCAACAGTAAGTCTACAGGTCCCAGTTGTACACAAATCCTAGTATTGTCAACAGTAAGTCTACAGGTCCCAGTTATACACAAATCCTAGCACTGTCAACAGTAAGTCTACAGGTCCCAGTTGTACACAAATCCTAGTATTGTCAACAGTAAGTCTACAGGTCCCAGTTATACACAAATCCTAGCACTGTCAACAGTAAGTCTACAGGTCCCAGTTGTACACAAATCCTAGTATTGTCAACAGTAAGTCTACAGGTCCCAGTTATACACAAATCCTAGCACTGTCAACAGTAAGTCTACAGGTCCCAGTTGTACACAAATCCTAGTATTGTCAACAGTAAGTCTACAGGTCCCAGTTATACACAAATCCTAGCACTGTCAACAGTAAGTCTACAGGTCCCAGTTGTACACAAATCCTAGTATTGTCAACAGTAAGTCTACAGGTCCCAGTTATACACAAATCCTAGCACTGTCAACAGTAAGTCTACAGGTCCCAGTTGTACACAAATCCTAGTATTGTCAACAGTAAGTCTACAGGTCCCAGTTATACACAAATCCTAGCACTGTCAACAGTAAGTCTACAGGTCCCAGTTGTACACAAATCCTAGTATTGTCAACAGTAAGTCTACAGGTCCCAGTTATACACAAATCCTAGCACTGTCAACAGTAAGTCTACAGGTCCCAGTTGTACACAAATCCTAGTATTGTCAACAGTAAGTCTACAGGTCCCAGTCATACACAAATCCTAGCACTGTCAACAGTAAGTCTACAGGTCCCAGTTGTACACAAATCCTAGTATTGTCAACAGTAAGTCTACAGGTCCCAGTTATACACAAATCCTAGCACTGTCAACAGTAAGTCTACAGGTCCCAGTTGTACACAAATCCTAGTATTGTCAACAGTAAGTCTACAGGTCCCAGTCATACACAAATCCTAGCACTGTCAACAGTAAGTCTACAGGTCCCAGTTGTACACAAATCCTAGTATTGTCAACAGTAAGTCTACAGGTCCCAGTTATACACAAATCCTAGCACTGTCAACAGTAAGTCTACAGGTCCCAGTTGTACACAAATCCTAGTATTGTCAACAGTAAGTCTACAGGTCCCAGTTATACACAAATCCTAGCACTGTCAACAGTAAGTCTACAGGTCCCAGTTGTACACAAATCCTAGTATTGTCAACAGTAAGTCTACAGGTCCCAGTTATACACAAATCCTAGCACTGTCAACAGTAAGTCTACAGGTCCCAGTTGTACACAAATCCTAGTATTGTCAACAGTAAGTCTACAGGTCCCAGTTATACACAAATCCTAGCACTGTCAACAGTAAGTCTACAGGTCCCAGTTGTACACAAATCCTAGTATTGTCAACAGTAAGTCTACAGGTCCCAGTTATACACAAATCCTAGCACTGTCAACAGTAAGTCTACAGGTCCCAGTTGTACACAAATCCTAGTATTGTCAACAGTAAGTCTACAGGTCCCAGTTATACACAAATCCTAGCACTGTCAACAGTAAGTCTACAGGTCCCAGTTGTACACAAATCCTAGTATTGTCAACAGTAAGTCTACAGGTCCCAGTTATACACAAATCCTAGCACTGTCAACAGTAAGTCTACAGGTCCCAGTTGTACACAAATCCTAGTATTGTCAACAGTAAGTCTACAGGTCCCAGTTATACACAAATCCTAGCACTGTCAACAGTAAGTTTACAGGTCCCAGTTGTACACAAATCCTAGTATTGTCAACAGTAAGTCTACAGGTCCCAGTCATACACAAATCCTAGCACTGTCAACAGTAAGTCTACAGGTCCCAGTTGTACACAAATCCTAGTATTGTCAACAGTAAGTCTACAGGTCCCAGTCATACACAAATCCTAGCACTGTCAACAGTAAGTCTACAGGTCCCAGTTGTACACAAATCCTAGTATTGTCAACAGTAAGTCTACAGGTCCCAGTTATACACAAATCCTAGCACTGTCAACAGTAAGTCTACAGGTCCCAGTTGTACACAAATCCTAGTATTGTCAACAGTAAGTCTACAGGTCCCAGTTATACACAAATCCTAGCACTGTCAACAGTAAGTCTACAGGTCCCAGTTGTACACAAATCCTAGTATTGTCAACAGTAAGTCTACAGGTCCCAGTTATACACAAATCCTAGCACTGTCAACAGTAAGTCTACAGGTCCCAGTTGTACACAAATCCTAGTATTGTCAACAGTAAGTCTACAGGTCCCAGTTATACACAAATCCTAGCACTGTCAACAGTAAGTCTACAGGTCCCAGTTGTACACAAATCCTAGTATTGTCAACAGTAAGTCTACAGGTCCCAGTTATACACAAATCCTAGCACTGTCAACAGTAAGTCTACAGGTCCCAGTTGTACACAAATCCTAGTATTGTCAACAGTAAGTCTACAGGTCCCAGTTATACACAAATCCTAGCACTGTCAACAGTAAGTCTACAGGTCCCAGTTGTACACAAATCCTAGTATTGTCAACAGTAAGTCTACAGGTCCCAGTTATACACAAATCCTAGCACTGTCAACAGTAAGTCTACAGGTCCCAGTTGTACACAAATCCTAGTATTGTCAACAGTAAGTCTACAGGTCCCAGTTATACACAAATCCTAGCACTGTCAACAGTAAGTCTACAGGTCCCAGTTGTACACAAATCCTAGTATTGTCAACAGTAAGTCTACAGGTCCCAGTCATACACAAATCCTAGCACTGTCAACAGTAAGTCTACAGGTCCCAGTTGTACACAAATCCTAGTATTGTCAACAGTAAGTCTACAGGTCCCAGTTATACACAAATCCTAGCACTGTCAACAGTAAGTCTACAGGTCCCAGTTGTACACAAATCCTAGTATTGTCAACAGTAAGTCTACAGGTCCCAGTTATACACAAATCCTAGCACTGTCAACAGTAAGTCTACAGGTCCCAGTTGTACACAAATCCTAGTATTGTCAACAGTAAGTCTACAGGTCCCAGTTATACACAAATCCTAGCACTGTCAACAGTAAGTCTACAGGTCCCAGTTGTACACAAATCCTAGTATTGTCAACAGTAAGTCTACAGGTCCCAGTTATACACAAATCCTAGCACTGTCAACAGTAAGTCTACAGGTCCCAGTTGTACACAAATCCTAGTATTGTCAACAGTAAGTCTACAGGTCCCAGTTATACACAAATCCTAGCACTGTCAACAGTAAGTCTACAGGTCCCAGTTGTACACAAATCCTAGTATTGTCAACAGTAAGTCTACAGGTCCCAGTTATACACAAATCCTAGCACTGTCAACAGTAAGTCTACAGGTCCCAGTTGTACACAAATCCTAGTATTGTCAACAGTAAGTCTACAGGTCCCAGTTATACACAAATCCTAGCACTGTCAACAGTAAGTCTACAGGTCCCAGTTGTACACAAATCCTAGTATTGTCAACAGTAAGTCTACAGGTCCCAGTTATACACAAATCCTAGCACTGTCAACAGTAAGTCTACAGGTCCCAGTTGTACACAAATCCTAGTATTGTCAACAGTAAGTCTACAGGTCCCAGTCATACACAAATCCTAGCACTGTCAACAGTAAGTCTACAGGTCCCAGTTGTACACAAATCCTAGTATTGTCAACAGTAAGTCTACAGGTCCCAGTTATACACAAATCCTAGCACTGTCAACAGTAAGTCTACAGGTCCCAGTTGTACACAAATCCTAGTATTGTCAACAGTAAGTCTACAGGTCCCAGTTATACACAAATCCTAGCACTGTCAACAGTAAGTCTACAGGTCCCAGTTGTACACAAATCCTAGTATTGTCAACAGTAAGTCTACAGGTCCCAGTTATACACAAATCCTAGCACTGTCAACAGTAAGTCTACAGGTCCCAGTTGTACACAAATCCTAGTATTGTCAACAGTAAGTCTACAGGTCCCAGTTATACACAAATCCTAGCACTGTCAACAGTAAGTCTACAGGTCCCAGTTGTACACAAATCCTAGTATTGTCAACAGTAAGTCTACAGGTCCCAGTTATACACAAATCCTAGCACTGTCAACAGTAAGTCTACAGGTCCCAGTTGTACACAAATCCTAGTATTGTCAACAGTAAGTCTACAGGTCCCAGTTATACACAAATCCTAGCACTGTCAACAGTAAGTCTACAGGTCCCAGTTGTACACAAATCCTAGTATTGTCAACAGTAAGTCTACAGGTCCCAGTTATACACAAATCCTAGCACTGTCAACAGTAAGTCTACAGGTCCCAGTTGTACACAAATCCTAGTATTGTCAACAGTAAGTCTACAGGTCCCAGTTATACACAAATCCTAGCACTGTCAACAGTAAGTCTACAGGTCCCAGTTGTACACAAATCCTAGTATTGTCAACAGTAAGTCTACAGGTCCCAGTTATACACAAATCCTAGCACTGTCAACAGTAAGTTTACAGGTCCCAGTTGTACACAAATCCTAGTATTGTCAACAGTAAGTCTACAGGTCCCAGTCATACACAAATCCTAGCACTGTCAACAGTAAGTCTACAGGTCCCAGTTGTACACAAATCCTAGTATTGTCAACAGTAAGTCTACAGGTCCCAGTTATACACAAATCCTAGCACTGTCAACAGTAAGTCTACAGGTCCCAGTTGTACACAAATCCTAGTATTGTCAACAGTAAGTCTACAGGTCCCAGTTATACACAAATCCTAGCACTGTCAACAGTAAGTCTACAGGTCCCAGTTGTACACAAATCCTAGTATTGTCAACAGTAAGTCTACAGGTCCCAGTTATACACAAATCCTAGCACTGTCAACAGTAAGTCTACAGGTCCCAGTTGTACACAAATCCTAGTATTGTCAACAGTAAGTCTACAGGTCCCAGTTATACACAAATCCTAGCACTGTCAACAGTAAGTCTACAGGTCCCAGTTGTACACAAATCCTAGTATTGTCAACAGTAAGTCTACAGGTCCCAGTTATACACAAATCCTAGCACTGTCAACAGTAAGTCTACAGGTCCCAGTTGTACACAAATCCTAGTATTGTCAACAGTAAGTCTACAGGTCCCAGTTATACACAAATCCTAGCACTGTCAACAGTAAGTCTACAGGTCCCAGTTGTACACAAATCCTAGTATTGTCAACAGTAAGTCTACAGGTCCCAGTTATACACAAATCCTAGCACTGTCAACAGTAAGTCTACAGGTCCCAGTTGTACACAAATCCTAGTATTGTCAACAGTAAGTCTACAGGTCCCAGTTATACACAAATCCTAGCACTGTCAACAGTAAGTCTACAGGTCCCAGTTATACACAAATCCTAGCACTGTCAACAGTAAGTTTACAGGTCCCAGTTGTACACAAATCCTAGTATTGTCAACAGTAAGTCTACAGGTCCCAGTCATACACAAATCCTAGCACTGTCAACAGTAAGTCTACAGGTCCCAGTTGTACACAAATCCTAGTATTGTCAACAGTAAGTCTACAGGTCCCAGTTATACACAAATCCTAGTATTGTCAACATTAAGTCTACAGGTCCCAGTTATACACAAATCCTAGCACTGTCAACTGTAAGTCTACAGGTCCCAGTCCTACACAAATCCTAGTATTGTCAACAGTAAGTGTCTACAGGTCCCAGTCCTACCCAAATCCTAGCACTGTCAACTGTAAGTCTACAGGTCCCAGCTATACACAAATCCTAGTATTGTCAACAGTAAGTCTACATGTCCCTAGTTAAACACAAATCCTAGCACTGTCAACAGTAAGTTTACAGGTCCCAGTTGTACACAAATCCTAGTATTGTCAACATTAAGTCTACAGGTCCCAGTCCTACACAAAGCCTAGCACTGTCAACAGTAAGTCTTCAGGTCCCTGTCCTACACAAATCCTAGCACTGTCAACTGTAAGTCTACAGGTCCCAGTTATACACAAATCCTAGTATTGTCAACAGTAAGTCTACATGTCCCTAGTTAAACACAAATCCTAGCACTGTCAACAGTAAGTCTACAGGTTCCAGTTATACACAAATCCTAGCACTGTCAACAGTAAGTCTACAGGTCCCAGTCCTACACAAAGCCTAGCACTGTCAACAGTAAGTGTCTACAGGTCCCAGTTATACACAAATCCTAGTACTGTCAACAGTAAGTCTACAGGTCCCAGTCCTACACAAAGCCTAGCACTGTCAACATTAAGTCTTCAGGACTCCGGTCATACACAATCCCATCCTTGATACCCCTATATATGGTAGGATGACACAATCTTAGTATTGTCAACAGTAAGGACATGTGAACCTATCTTTTCATAACATGCATGTTTGTATGCTGATTCTATGTTGAGAATAGATATCAAATTAAAATAAGTTAAAAGAATAATAAATCATCATGGAAATATCCATTATTTTGTAAACGTTTGAACATGTTTACTTTGAAATTCTGATCTGTTGTGACATGTTTCAGGACAAGCGGCACTTCCTACGCAACCCTCCCTCTGGGATCCAGTTCCAGTTCCATTTTGAAAGCATGTTCCCTATTGCCACAGCAACTCTTCAAGAGGATCCAAACCTACAGAAAATGAGATTTGAACTTGTACCTAAACAGTATGTATTTCTTAATGTATAGAACAGTTCATATCTCCATGGATGCACAGTTTTCAACAGTCACACACAATCTTTTCTCTCTGTAAAGAAAAGCACAAATCATTCATAGGTATCTAAAATTTGTATCTGGTAAAATTTGGAATATGAAATATTATAATATTTGTCTGTTTAAGGATGCCTGTACCACTGCACAGTGTTTTATCGTATATACAGTATCTCCCCCTTAACTTCTGTTTGCATATAATTACAGCACAGTTGGGCCTGGACCCTTCCATTGACTGTAGCTGTCAGGTAGAGCAATAGTGTGACAGACCAAAGTCAAGGGTCCGAAACCTGGTCTCCTGCGAAAATTATACATTCAGAACACTATTGTCAGTTATAGTTTGCTTACCGATATTTCATCTTTATTATTCACAGTTTCCAAAACTTTGTTACATTTTTTGGCAGTGGTACGCGGACCCTTAAGGTATTTCGGAAACTGTTTTTGATGAAAATATTATATTATATGTCTGTATGTATCTTTGAACTTTCAGTACATACTCTGCCCCTTCACCCATTGATTTGATTGTCTTCCTGGTACTTAGAGTGGAACCAAAAGAGAATTTGTGATTTTGATACTCAGAAGACAAGTTACAAACTGCCTGTGTGATTATTAGTTACCTCCCTTATATTAGAAAAAAACTTGTTTGTCGGCATGTACAATTGTAGTTTTACTAATCATTATTCAATCTCCTCTTTCAGGATAAATGAAGAGACATTTTGGAGGAATTATTTTTATAGGGTCTCCTTGATCAAACAATCAACACAACTTACTGTTCTGGCACAAGAAACAGGTAAGAAATCAATCTCTTTACATATATTTACTTTACATATGTAAAGCAACACACATTTCTCCTGTCAATAGTTGGGTCTCAATCTAGACTTTCTTTGAAGGAATTTCTGAGTTTTTATAAATGACTTAAAAGTGTTAGCTGACTGGTGTTAGAGCCAGTTGCCTGTGGATCGTTTTGAAGTCAGAAATGGGTAGTCTTTAATTTGAAGAATTAATTAAGGAACGGATTGCATTTGTGAAAATAAAAGCATATTTTTTCAGCTTTATGCATGTAATATAGACACCAATTTATAAAAAAATGATCAGATAATTCCCTTGATAGGTGAAGTTCAGCTAGTGGTGTTCTCAAAATCCATGTTACGCCATTATTAGAGATATCAGTATTTAATCTGAAGGTAGGAATTTTGACTTGAGTTAGCAAAGTTTTCACTAAAATCACAATCATGCATATTTTATGACACAATCAGTTTTTCAGGTATACCTCTGTCAATTAATCTCTGAATTAATCTGTCAAATAATTCGCTACCACAAACATATGCTTATATGTTAGTAGATCTATACCAGGGCTATGGAAATGTGTCTGATAAGAAGCTATAGGACTTAAATTAATAGTCTGAACTACAGCTGTCTACTACAGTTCACCTCTGAGGCATAGGTTAAAAGGGAAAAGTGTTGTTAGATATACATGTAGACGCAGAAATACACCCACATTTCACACTTCAGTGACGTGGTTAAGATAAAATGGTCTAATCCATGAACAAGATTAGGAGGAATTGTTTTGTCCATATCTTGTAACTGTACATGTAAGTGCTACATGGTTTATACTTAAAATAAATTGTTGTTTTCAACCACGAAATGTGTTCGTTATTGAGCATATATTGGGGCATTAAAATAATGTTAATGTTTTGACTATTGCTTTATGCCTTCATTTCGTAGGAATATAGCAAATATGAGTTGTGGAGCTTTGTACTTTTCACAACTGTAAAGTCATCCTCGATATCCAGGGGTTACGCTCACTTTCGCTCTCTACNCACACGAATCCTAGCACTGTCAACAGTAAGTCTACAGGTCCCAGTTATACACAAATCCTAGTACTGTCAACAGTAAGTTTACAGGTCCCAGTTGTACACAAATCCTAGTATTGTCAACATTAAGTCTACAGGTCCCAGTCCTACACAAAGCCTAGCACTGTCAACAGTAAGTCTTCAGGTCCCTGTCCTACACAAATCCTAGCACTGTCAACTGTAAGTCTACAGGTCCCAGTTATACACAAATCCTAGTATTGTCAACAGTAAGTCTACATGTCCCTAGTTAAACACAAATCCTAGCACTGTCAACAGTAAGTCTACAGGTTCCAGTTATACACAAATCCTAGCACTGTCAACAGTAAGTCTACAGGTCCCAGTCCTACACAAAGCCTAGCACTGTCAACAGTAAGTGTCTACAGGTCCCAGTTATACACAAATCCTAGTACTGTCAACAGTAAGTCTACAGGTCCCAGTCCTACACAAAGCCTAGCACTGTCAACATTAAGTCTTCAGGACTCCGGTCATACACAATCCCATCCTTGATACCCCTATATATGGTAGGATGACACAATCTTAGTATTGTCAACAGTAAGGACATGTGAACCTATCTTTTCATAACATGCATGTTTGTATGCTGATTCTATGTTGAGAATAGATATCAAATTAAAATAAGTTAAAAGAATAATAAATCATCATGGAAATATCCATTATTTTGTAAACGTTTGAACATGTTTACTTTGAAATTCTGATCTGTTGTGACATGTTTCAGGACAAGCGGCACTTCCTACGCAACCCTCCCTCTGGGATCCAGTTCCAGTTCCATTTTGAAAGCATGTTCCCTATTGCCACAGCAACTCTTCAAGAGGATCCAAACCTACAGAAAATGAGATTTGAACTTGTACCTAAACAGTATGTATTTCTTAATGTATAGAACAGTTCATATCTCCATGGATGCACAGTTTTCAACAGTCACACACAATCTTTTCTCTCTGTAAAGAAAAGCACAAATCATTCATAGGTATCTAAAATTTGTATCTGGTAAAATTTGGAATATGAAATATTATAATATTTGTCTGTTTAAGGATGCCTGTACCACTGCACAGTGTTTTATCGTATATACAGTATCTCCCCCTTAACTTCTGTTTGCATATAATTACAGCACAGTTGGGCCTGGACCCTTCCATTGACTGTAGCTGTCAGGTAGAGCAATAGTGTGACAGACCAAAGTCAAGGGTCCGAAACCTGGTCTCCTGCGAAAATTATACATTCAGAACACTATTGTCAGTTATAGTTTGCTTACCGATATTTCATCTTTATTATTCACAGTTTCCAAAACTTTGTTACATTTTTTGGCAGTGGTACGCGGACCCTTAAGGTATTTCGGAAACTGTTTTTGATGAAAATATTATATTATATGTCTGTATGTATCTTTGAACTTTCAGTACATACTCTGCCCCTTCACCCATTGATTTGATTGTCTTCCTGGTACTTAGAGTGGAACCAAAAGAGAATTTGTGATTTTGATACTCAGAAGACAAGTTACAAACTGCCTGTGTGATTATTAGTTACCTCCCTTATATTAGAAAAAAACTTGTTTGTCGGCATGTACAATTGTAGTTTTACTAATCATTATTCAATCTCCTCTTTCAGGATAAATGAAGAGACATTTTGGAGGAATTATTTTTATAGGGTCTCCTTGATCAAACAATCAACACAACTTACTGTTCTGGCACAAGAAACAGGTAAGAAATCAATCTCTTTACATATATTTACTTTACATATGTAAAGCAACACACATTTCTCCTGTCAATAGTTGGGTCTCAATCTAGACTTTCTTTGAAGGAATTTCTGAGTTTTTATAAATGACTTAAAAGTGTTAGCTGACTGGTGTTAGAGCCAGTTGCCTGTGGATCGTTTTGAAGTCAGAAATGGGTAGTCTTTAATTTGAAGAATTAATTAAGGAACGGATTGCATTTGTGAAAATAAAAGCATATTTTTTCAGCTTTATGCATGTAATATAGACACCAATTTATAAAAAAATGATCAGATAATTCCCTTGATAGGTGAAGTTCAGCTAGTGGTGTTCTCAAAATCCATGTTACGCCATTATTAGAGATATCAGTATTTAATCTGAAGGTAGGAATTTTGACTTGAGTTAGCAAAGTTTTCACTAAAATCACAATCATGCATATTTTATGACACAATCAGTTTTTCAGGTATACCTCTGTCAATTAATCTCTGAATTAATCTGTCAAATAATTCGCTACCACAAACATATGCTTATATGTTAGTAGATCTATACCAGGGCTATGGAAATGTGTCTGATAAGAAGCTATAGGACTTAAATTAATAGTCTGAACTACAGCTGTCTACTACAGTTCACCTCTGAGGCATAGGTTAAAAGGGAAAAGTGTTGTTAGATATACATGTAGACGCAGAAATACACCCACATTTCACACTTCAGTGACGTGGTTAAGATAAAATGGTCTAATCCATGAACAAGATTAGGAGGAATTGTTTTGTCCATATCTTGTAACTGTACATGTAAGTGCTACATGGTTTATACTTAAAATAAATTGTTGTTTTCAACCACGAAATGTGTTCGTTATTGAGCATATATTGGGGCATTAAAATAATGTTAATGTTTTGACTATTGCTTTATGCCTTCATTTCGTAGGAATATAGCAAATATGAGTTGTGGAGCTTTGTACTTTTCACAACTGTAAAGTCATCCTCGATATCCAGGGGTTACGCTCACTTTCGCTCTCTACACCCCTGGAATATGTCATAGCAAAATCGAAGGCTCAGTGTGCAGCACCTTGAAGATGAGACGAGAAGACTAGTTTGATCCTTTGATGTACATCAAAAGAATCTCGCGGTCACGTAGCGGTAAAAATTGACAGGCTTGGAAGTTGGGCATCTCTACTTTGTAATCTACAAAGGACAGGCATCAGTCTAGCGATTTGTCAGGGTTTTTTTACCCGAGACCAATCAAACAGCTATCTTTGTGCCTTCAATTTTGCTATGATATATTCAAGGGGTGTAGAGAGCGAAAGTGAGCGTAACCCCTGGATATCGAGGATGCTGTAAAGAAGGCTAAATTGTAACTTGGGCATACCAACCTGACCTGTCTTATCTACCAAGCATAGAGTAGTGATGACATGATCTTCTTATTAACACTCTTATAACATTTTATGTTTCAGTTTTCAGGTACTTTAGGTAAAATTGTATGTAAATTTAATTAAACGAAATATTTTTAGGGAGCACGGGTGAGAAATCCAGCAATGGGTCAAGGCGGTCATCTGTAGGAAGTGTAGATAAAGGTAAGTGGTCATTTTCTCCTGGGACACTCACACCCAAAGTTCCATCTTTACAAGATTAGAAATTGTATTGGTATAGGTAAACAAGCTTCACTCTATCTTCTGGTATATCATAAATACCTGAAATACAATTTAGACAGAATATGTACCAAGCATTGTTATGGTTTCCATACACACTTATACGTGTAATTCAAAGTAAAAGGTGCTGATAACGAAATAAAAAATGAGATAGGCAACAAGAAAGTGATGGAATTTACATTGTTTATAAGAGAAATTTGTGTATGGTGAATGTAATTATTGTAGTTAAGCATCTCATACATTTATACATCATACGTTATTGTATGTACCTGTAAACAATCCACTATGATGTCAAGATTTTCTTCCCTTGCACTGCAAAAGTTCAGGTGCTTGTTTGGAAGTTTTAATTTCAAATTTTATTGATATTGAAAGTTAGACAGTTTAAAAACAAATTATGTTTAAGAGTTTAATTAAATGAAAGTGTGAAAAAAACTTTTATTTGTACCATGTGATGTGACATATTTTTATGTAAATTTCTAAAAAGAATGTCCACCTGAATACTCCACATTACCTCATAATTGTCATACTTTTGGTGGTAAGAACAAATATCACTGTTATTTATCATAATAAAGCAAATGTTATGGTTTATTATCAAAACTGAGTGCCACTGCTTTCTGTTTCAAACTAAATTCTGTTTGTAACATAGAACACTTTTTGCAGGGGAATACATACCAGTATGAAGTATGAAGATTATACACTTGTCTCAAATGTTTTGTGTCATTATTTTCAAGTGTCAGTACATTGTACATGTATTGTGCAATGATAACATAAACATTTCATGATAAAGTCCAAAGCTCTGTCTGGGCTATCATTTGGTGATAATCAGACTGGGTTGATTCCAATCAGGATGTAAATACTATAGATAAGAGGTCTTGTTGTAATTAACCAGATTTTCAACTCTATGGGGTTGATCTTCGTTTGCTGAATCAAAAGGTTACCAGATCATAAATTCTGATCATGAGAGATTTTTTATCATGATTGAAGAAGAAAGAAATTTAAGTTACTTGGAATTAAATCATGTAACTGAATCATTTAAATTTCATCAATCGAATCATGATTTGGAATAATTAATTCAATAGTAATAAGGTTGTAATAAAATTTTAAAATCATTTTGAAAAGGTTTTTTGTTTGTGGAAACGAAAAATTCTGCACCGAATGGTATGTACTTTGTTATTACTATGGCTTGTGAGTAGGACATATCACCTTCAATCAGTTCTTGTTTGTTTATAGCTTTCTGGCTTGGCGGATTTATGATGCTTCTTGTAAAATATCTCTAGATTGACCTCAAATACCTGTAGTGCAACAAAGTACAATGTAGGGGGACAGGTACTGCATATGTTTACTATTATAGGGGGACAGGTACTGCATATGTTTACGATTATAGGGGGACAGGTACTGCATATGTTTACAATTATAGGGGGACAGGTACTGCATATGTTTACTATTATAGGGGGACAGGTACTGCATATGTTTACGATTATAGGGGGACAGGTACTGCATATGTTTACTATTATAGGGGGACAGGTACTGCATATGTTTACTATTATAGGGGGACAGGTACTGCATATGTTTACTATCATAGTGGGACAGGTACTGCATATGTTAACGATTATAGGGGGACAGGTACTGCCTATGTTTACTATTATAGGGGGACAGGTACTGCATATGTTTACGATTATAGGGGGACAGGTACTGCATATTGTTTACACTTATAGGGGGACAGGTACTGCATATGTTTACAATTATAGGGGGACAGGTACTGCATAGGTTTACAATTATAGTGGGACAGGTACTTCATATGTTTACGATTATAGGGGGACAGGTACTGCATATGTTTACTATTATAGGGGGACAGGTACTGCATATTGTTTACACTTATAGGGGGACAGGTACTGCATATGTTTACTATTATAGTGGGACAGGTACTGCATATATTAACGATTATAGGGGGACAGGTACTGCATATGTTTACAATTATAGGGGGACAGTTACTGCATATGTTTATAATTATAGGGGGACAGGAACTGCATATGTTTACAATTATAGGGGGACAGGCACTGCATATGTTTATGATTATAGGGGGACGGGTACTGCATATGTTAACGATTATAGGGGGACAGGTACTGCATATGTTTACTATTATAGTGGGACAGGTGCTGCATATGTTAACTATTATAGTGGGACAGGTACTGCATATGTTTACGATTATAGGTGGACAGGTACTGCATATATTTACTATTATAGTGGGACATGTACTGCATATGTTTTCGATTATAGGGGGGCCGGTACTGCATTTTTTTACGATTATAGGGGTACAGGTACTGCATATGCAGTACCTGACCCCCTATAATAGTAAACACCTGCAGTACCTGTCCCCTATAATCGTTAACATATGCAGGACCTGTCCCCCTATAACAGTAAACATATGCAGACCTGGCCCCCTATAATAGTAAACATATGTTTACTATTATAGTGGGACAGGTACTGCATATGTTTACTATTATACCGGGACAGGCACTGCATATGTTTACTATTATAGGGGGACAGGTCTGCATATGTTTACGATTTTAGGGGGACAGGTACTGCATATGTTTACGATTATAGGGGGACAGGTACTGCATATGTTAACGATTATAGGGGACAGGTACTGCATATGTTTACTATTATAGGGGGACAGGTCTGCATATGTTTACGATTTTAGGGGGACAGGTACTGCATATCTTTACGATTATAGGGGGACAGGTACTGCATATGTTAACGATTATAGGGGACAGGCACTGCATATGTTTACTATTATAGGGGGACAGGTACTGCATATGTTTAAGATTATAGGGGGACAGGTACTGCATATGTTTACGATTATAGGGGGACAGGAACTGCATATGTTTACTATTATAGTGGGACAGGTACTGCATATGTTTAAGATTATAGGGGGACAGGTACTGCATATGTTTACTATTATAGGTGAACAGGTACTGCATATGTTTACGATTATAGAGGGACAGGTACTGCATATGTTTACGATTATAGGGGGACAGGTACTGCATATGTTTACCATTATAGGGGGACAGGTACTGCATATGTTTACTATTATAGGGGGACAGGTACTGCATATGGTTTACTATTATAGTGGGACAGGTACTGCATATGTTTACTATAATAGTGGGACAGGTACTGCATATGTTTATGATTATAGGGGGACAGGTACTGCATATGTTTACTATTATAGGGGGACAGGTACTGCATATGTTTACTATTATAGGGGGACAGGTACTGCATATGTTTACTATTATAGGGGGACAGGTACTGCATATGTTTACTATTATAGGGGGACAGGTACTGCATATGTTTACTATTATAGGGGGACAGGTACTGCATATGTTTACTATTATAGGGGGACAGGTACTGCATATGTTTACTATTATAGGGGGACAGGTACTGCATATGTTTACTATTATAGGGGGACAGGTACTGCATATGTTTACTATTATAGGGGGACAGGTACTGCATATGTTTACTATTATAGGGGGACAGGTACTGCATATGTTTACTATTATAGGGGGACAGGTACTGCATATGTTTACTATTATAGGGGGACAGGTACTGCATATGTTTACTATTATAGGGGGACAGGTACTGCATATGTTTACTATTATAGTGGGACAGGTACTGCATATGTTTACTATTATAGTGGGACAGGTACTGCATATGTTTACTATTATAGTGGGACAGGTACTGCATATGTTTACTATTATAGTGGGACAGGTACTGCATATGTTTACTATTATAGTGGGACAGGTACTGCATATGTTTACTATTATAGTGGGACAGGTACTGCATATGTTTACTATTATAGTGGGACAGGTACTGCATATGTTTACTATTATAGTGGGACAGGTACTGCATATGTTTACTATTATAGTGGGACAGGTACTGCATATGTTTACTATTATAGTGGGACAGGTACTGCATATGTTTACTATTATAGTGGGACAGGTACTGCATATGTTTACTATTATAGTGGGACAGGTACTGCATATGTTTACTATTATAGTGGGACAGGTACTGCATATGTTTACTATTATAGTGGGACAGGTACTGCATATGTTTACTATTATAGTGGGACAGGTACTGCATATGTTTACTATTATAGTGGGACAGGTACTGCATATGTTTACTATTATAGTGGGACAGGTACTGCATATGTTTACTATTATAGTGGGACAGGTACTGCATATGTTTACTATTATAGTGGGACAGGTACTGCATATGTTTACTATTATAGTGGGACAGGTACTGCATATGTTTACTATTATAGTGGGACAGGTACTGCATATGTTTACTATTATAGTGGGACAGGTACTGCATATGTTTACTATTATAGTGGGACAGGTACTGCATATGTTTACTATTATAGGGGGACAGGTACTGCATATGTTTACTATTATAGTAGGACAGGTACTGCATATGTTTACTATTATAGTAGGACAGGTATTGCATATGTTTACGATTATAGTGGGACAGGTACTGCATATGTTTACAATTATAGGGGGACAGGTACTGCATATGTTTACTATTATAGGGGACAGGTGCTGCATATGTTTACTATTATAGTGGGACAGGTACTGCATATGTTTATGATTATACGGGGACAGGTACTGCATATGTTTATGATTATACGGGGACAGGTACTGCATATGTTTATGATTATACGGGGTCAGGTACTGCATAAGTTTAAGATTATAGTGGGACAGGGACTGCATATGTTTATGATTATACGGGGACAGGTACTGCATAAGCTTAAGATTATAGTGGGACAGGTACTGCATATGTTTATGATTATACGGGGACAGGTACTGCATAAGCTTAAGATTATAGTGGGACAGGTACTGCATATGTTTTCTATTATAGTGGGACAGGTACTGCATATGTTTACAATTATAGGGGGACAGGAACTGCATATGTTTACTATTATAGGGGACAGGTACTGCATATGTTTACTATTATAGGGGGACACGTACTGCATATGTTTATGATTATAGTGGGACAGGGACTGCATATGTTTATGATTATACGGGGACAGGTACTGCATAAGTTTAAGATTATAGTGGGACAGGTACTGCATATGTTTACTATTATAGGGGGACACGTACTGCATATGTTTATGATTATAGTGGGACAGGTACTGCATATGTTTATGATTATACGGGGACAGGTACTGCATATGTTTATGATTATACGGGGACAGGTACTGCATAAGTTTAAGATTATAGTGGGACAGGTACTGCATATGTTTGTAGTTTACAATTAAGTAAAGATTTCATAGGAAATCTTTCATATCAGGATCAATAAGTTTATTACTCTCTTATAAATCTACCTGATTTGACTGAAGGCATGCTCTCCACCTTATTTCATATTCTATCCTCAGTATTCCTCCCTTTCTTTCCCAATTTTTATAGGACATACTTGCTATACAATTCAATCTTAAGAAACCATCTAATTTGGTAGACATTTTTAAATTTGGTACACAAGTACATCATGTTATGGTTGAGGGTTTCGTTAACAGAATGAATTAAAGTCACTGTGACCTATTTTTTGACATCTGACCAGTTTGTCTTGAGCATATCTCCTTTACTATTAGACATGGAGTTACTAAGTTGAGTAAACAGGTACATCTTTGTATCACATACAAAAAGTAGGTCACCTCTGACTCTTTTGTCCCTGGCATAAGGCCACTGATATAAATCATGTGAATATTGTATAGCTGGTTATTTTCATGAAACGTCAGAAATTAGTCTGCCATTGACCAAGACACATCAGAAATTAGTCTGCCATAGACCAAGACACGTCAGAAATAAGTCTGCCATAGACCAAGACACGTCAGAAATTAGTCTGCCATAGACCAAGAAACTTCAGAAATTAGTCTGCCATAGACCAAGACACGTCAGAAATTAGTCTGCCATATAGACCAAGACAAATCAGAATTTGTCTTGCTACTGTTTATCAGGGAGACAAGGTTGAAACCTAATTGCTTGTATGTAATATATATATGTAACATTTTTGGAAATGGGGGATATTAATTTTGGTTTGTCCATCTGTCTGTCTGTCTGTCTGTCACACTTCGTTGCCATGAAATAACTGCAACAAATGTTAAACTA